CAGTCATCACCTGGCGTATATTATTACTGACATGGTACCTTCTTCTGTTGCAGGGACGGTGCCACCCGAAGCGGTCTGTTCTGTGTAGTGGCCGGTGCAGTGCAGCGACTGCTGTTGGAGAAAGAAGTTGCCCTCCAGCAGACGATACGCAGCATACGTTTTGTCAGGAAACAGGTTATTCCTAACCGGGTATGGTGTTGCGTTCATTCAACTCGTTTATTAAGATGATCAATTATAGATACTATTTGGATCATATACATTGACACACATGGACATATTTTCGAGTTACCCGTGGTTCGAGACAGGTGTAGTGGCGATGTGGACTTTTTGTACTCATGCATATTCTGCCAGAACCACAAAGTTGTATCGTCAAGTTAACAGAGCCCTCGATGTTTCGCTGCACATCGAATCTGGTTAAATGTCATCGTGTTCATTTTCAAATTGACTATTGATGCTATTTCTCGGTTATATATTATGTAAACTGCTTTCAAACTTTAATGTGTTCGACATCTGACACCCTTCTTGGCGTCCTTTGGGCGTAACTGAATCATATGATCGTTGGTTCGAATCCCAGATTGTCTCTGATTCTGATTCTTGGTTTGTCATCACCATACCCCTTCTGATGTGTTTTGTCACCAGTGGGGTATACTGCTATGACCTGAGTCACTTAATTCTGACTTTCCGAAAGCAGACACGCCGGTTAAACTGAAATAATATATACAGGGGCGTTAAATTAAATTCAATTGATGACGAAGTATGTATCATCGTGACCTTAGATATTCATGTATTCTCCCAGAGTGGTTGGTTCCGCTCTCATGTCCAAATCAGACACAACAGACAATGATCATTTGAGAACAGTTGCGGGAACACTTACAGATGCACCGGCGGAGGTATGCAATCAGACCAAACCTTGAGAGCTTCAAGAAGATGTTTCCGAATATAGACATATGGTCATGTCGTTCAAACTGTTGACAGTACATTTAACAATCACGTCCGACAACACAGTAATACAAAACTTTGGGTACATTCACCTGAATGTAATCATAAATAATCAGTTACAGTGACCTTTGTTTCGAAGTTATGACTGTTTGTTTTTAATATATTTCAGGAACAATTTGAATTCTGCTTTGACTCTGTGAAGGTCTACATGGACAGTTTCCAGGAATATTCAAACTTTGCTTGAGAAGAATGTTTTATTGAGTTCAGTTAACTTGTTCTTTGTGTTTTTCTTTTTAACGTTGTTATAATTCCACTTTGTTACTCGTGGTTTCTTTCATTTATTGAAAATATAAATACAATTTTTGTGTTATTTCAATTGATTTCAAGTCCACTCTGTGAGAATTGTTTACGTGAAAGAATCTGAATACTATCTCAGAAGCATTAAAGATATATAACTGACATATTTCTTTTCAGATCGGTCTCGTCAATGTGAATACTTTTTTGAGAGTACTTTTGGTTCGTTCTTAAATATTATTGCCCAAGACTATTGTCTTTGTTACCACATAGTGCGACGTAGATTAAGATCAGATAAAATCAAGATATGTTTACAAAAGGGTATGACGATATATATTTTCCTGAATACCTCGTATTGTCAGGCTGATATCAACTTGTCAGTATTTTCAGTTACTTTGATTATTTGTTTTTGATTCATTTTATATAAATTACTGTTTAATTTTTGTTTAATAACTTTCCTCCTTAGATTATAATTTTAGCTGCAAACGCGGGATATCCTCGTAACAGTTATTTCTATTGTTAAAAAGTGACTCATCAAACAATAAAAAAACCTCAAACGTCTGATTGGTCTAGAAGGTTTGCGTTTCCTTAATGCTACTTTCAGACAGATTTCCCGTTTATTGTTCCTGGTGTAGGGACAGTCTATCCTTGTAAATTGTTCCTACTTAAAAGTGTATGTAAATTTAGATTTTTCACTTGCATGTCGGCTGTTGTTTAGAGTCCACTTTAGGCGTATATATCGATGAGCAAAGTCATCTGGAAAGTGTGAATTAAATTAAAGCCCAGACTCTATATTTTTAAACGATCCATTATTTTCCATAATTGGACAGTTGGAGGTATATAATGTACGCTTGGAATTAATGGAACTACTTTGTATTTTGACAATCAAGTGAATGATTCCAAGTTTTGTCCGAAAACTTGTGTTGCCAGCAGGTTCGAACCTGTATCCTATAATTTGAGGACGTGTAATAGTCAACCTCGGCTTCGGCGATACACGCCAAAACATTGTGAAAATAACTATTACATTTTTTTATGTATAAAATGTAAAGGCTTAGTGAATAATATGTACAATGTTGTGTTATGTAATGTTACCTATATTACAATGTTCATTCTGAAGTTGAGGCAATCCTTTGTTAAAAAAGCTTATGTGTGCTCTACATTTCCTATTGTCCTCATCAACATGTACTAAAAACGTACAACCGATGGATAAAAAAACTTGTTTAGGTCCTCGTGAAATGGCTAAGCGCCCTGTACCATGTACCTGGCGCAAGTAGGGATGTAATGAAAGTCTGAGAAAGTAGGGATGTGTTTTAAGCCCCAGAACAAACCAGTAACAGTGGACAGTTACTTGAACAAATACAATTGAAATTGAAATTTAAGATTTAGAGGTATGTTCAGTCGTGGTTTGCAGTTTAACTGTGTTGTTCAACTTGCTCGTTTTTCATTCATTTATTTGTTTATGTTGTAATATAATCAAAATACTTCATTTTAGTGTTATCCTGATAAAATATCCTATTAATACTTTAATGCCGCTGTCGGTCTGGAAAACACGACTCACACAATCTCATACTGTCGCCTCAAAAATACCGTGTTTGATTCTATTTCAACAGAATTAGTTGTGCGGAACACAAAGTTCCTATAAATGAAAGATCGACATTAGAAATTGTTTGGCATTGTTCATTTACATGTTTTCATGTATGCAAACTAGACACTCACCAGCGTGAACACGCTTGTAGCATGGACGTTGACATTAATCAGTCAACTGGACAAAACGTTCGTGAATGTCCCGACCTGTTCAGGTGATTGGAGGGAAAGGTTAACGATACAAGTGAGATCTAGATGTCAGCACAACACCTGACATGTATTTTTAGTTATATTGCATGTATTGTTTCAGAATATTCTATATTTATTTTCTTTTTGTTGCTATTTTTATACTTTTTATTTGAAAACTTATATTTTTTCTATTTCTAACAAATAAAAGCATCCTAATTATCACAAGTTGTGCGTCTTTCTTTACAAGTCGGCCTTTACAAGTATTGGTTTTGTACCATATGTTCAGGTGAACAATTGGCTTGCCTTTGTATTTGTTTGTGACGGTGAAACCTCTTCGCGAACACCTGGTATCATCACTATTTGATAGTGATTCATAAACACATGTTCATGATATAGTCGGAAGCTGTTGGCAGAGATTTCTTATGAATATGGACAGGGTTCTGTCGCTTTAATGCATACTGAAAACACTGAAGAAGGACGACACTGCGAGTGAGGATTACGGGTGAGGTCCCCAGCATCCCACGCCCATGCTTGTCGTAAGAGCTGACTGAAGAAAATCTGGTGGTAGCGCTCGGTGATTCAGCTCAGGGGGTGCGGGTTAGTCATTAAGGTGTCATCGTACCCGAGTTGCGTGGATCGTTGCTCATGCTGTCAGTCACTGTTTTTTTCTGAATCAGATTCGATTATTTACTGCCTGATATTATACACCTGGAATGTTTATGACTGTGACGTAAAAACACATTCACTCACATTAATTTGAATTCAATTTAGGGGCGGTGGGTTAGCTTAGTGGTTAAAGTCTTCGCTCCTCACGGCGAAAGTCCAGGTTCGATTCCACAAATGGATACAATTTCTGAATTCTATTTCTGGTGTTCCCCGCCGCGATATTGCTGGATTACTGATTGGTTTGTTTCTCCTCGTAGAACCACAGCCATTGTGTCCAGGTCTTCCCTCAGGGTGCGGATATCTGTTTCGTATATTTTACCCCTTTAAAACATGATCTAAACGAGAAATGTGAGTCATATCAACAACGAAATTGTGCACTGTATTTACATGAGTTTACATCTGTATCCATGGTAACGTAAAATATGAAGCAATCATGCAAGGCCTGGGGAAATGTGGCTGATGTGCTCTAATTGAATAAATCAAACGCCGTGCTATACAGCCTTGTTTATATTCCGTAGGGGGCAGGGATAATTTACTGATACAGAACCCTCCTATCAATAATGAAACACGTTGATGGCTTTGATGAATTGGTGTTGTCTTAATAGCAATGATATATACAAGGAGAAACCTCCGGCATGTTATCAGTGGATCACCTGGTGCCATTGCCCCAACAGAAGGCACTAGGTAATCGATTACTGTAGAAAATGTGGAGTATTCGTTGTTGGACGTCATCGTGACTTAAAGTCTAGTTTCTTCCATTTATTTCGTCTCGGTACCATTCCATCTGAATTTCGAATGTCTTATCTGTATGTTATATTTAATAGTACGCAAGGTGAATTTAAAATAGTCTAGTCACGGAGATTAACGCATAGTGTGCGAGTGAGGGTTTAACGCCGCCTTGAAGGATATTTCAGTATATATCACAGCGTGTCATGTTGGTGTGAGAGGAACGGTCTTAGATGGTTTTTTCACTGTGGTGAAACCCACGACCACGGGTATGGTGCTGACAAACCTAGAAACATGATCAGGGAGAATGTGAGATTCGAACCCACTATTACAGGTTTTTGGCACGGCGAAGGGACGAAATTCTCCACAGCGAACAGCTGTGCCTAGGACGACTGGGATTTCGAGGGCCAAAAGTACAAGTGAAAGTATACTAAAACATACATAGCATGTGGTCATATTTTGTTTCGGAGTATAGCGATCTTACGCAATATTTCAATGAGAAAAAACATGTTGAACTGTTTTACAAAGTGTATTTGTTTGTCAGGATGCGTTGTCTGAAATTCAAACGTGTACATAACCGACCATAACAAAACGACGATACAAAGTTGAAATGACCATGTCTTTATAATTAAGATCGATGGAGCGGTAACGAACAAGGCAAAGAGAAGGCTCAACTTAAAAATGGACAATACACACATTACGAGTAAAAGATGAAGTAACTTCCTGATTGTGGGTGCTAAAAGATTCAGTGACCAACCTCGTATGCCAATCCATGTTGTACTGCATCATATCACAAGTGCCATCTAAGTTCTAACTTATCTGACTGTTATATGAATGTTAATTTAAGCATGCCAACAAGCCGTAGACATCAATATCAAGATTATACCATTCACACAAGAGGTCCTGCAGGTAAGGCAAAACATGCGGATGAGGAGTTCTCGGGGTCATTAACATTAATATATGGTCCTGCTGTGTCTGAACCTTTACATCAAGGTTCTGAAACTTGATACCACTGGGAGACGTGTTATACGGTCATGGTACCAAGGGCGGATCCAGAATTCTTCAAAGGGAGGGGTCCAAAAATTCAAAATGCTCTCTCAGTTGGGGGTGGGCAGGATTGTCTACAACATACTACATTTGGGGTTGGGGGTGGGCAGACCCTCTTGATCCGCCTATAGTGGTACTCTGCATCACTTTAACCCTCCACAACAAATAGATCCCCCTGTTCCCTCGTGTAATCTTAAGAGTCCCATTGGCAAAGTTTTTCAGTCATTTCTCTTTCTTAAAATTAATTCACGACTCTCTCTGGGTCGTGTTCCAAATTGCCCTTGACCCGCTGCTGGGGTTGACCTTTGACCTAGGACAGCGAAGCAGTCGCTTACACCCGTCCCTGAAATCCCTTTTCTGCCACGCGTAAACGATAGGATTGAGAAGAGAGTTGGATATTCCGAGGTATACCGATGTCATTCGGACGTACGTTAGCACAGGATGGTAACTGAAGATCTGAATGAGGCCCAGTATGGCAAAGGGGGTCCAGCAAAGGGAGTACACAATCAGAACAACACCCATGAACTTTGCACCTCGTAAGCTCTGTTCTCGCCTGGCGGATCCAGCTTCTCGACTGACGTTACGGCGTCGACTGTGGGCGACGTGAAATATTGCAACGTAGAAACAGATTTCGCAGATTGTTGACAGTATTTGTTGACAAGATCCAAATCCGATATACCATGCTGGGACAACACGGACAAATTCACATTTGGGGTAAATGTCCCAATTGTTGACGAAAAACGGCACCCCTGCGTAGCAGAAGGAGTAAATCCAGGCAACGGCCACCATGATCTTTACGTTCCGCATCGACATTATGTTGTGGTACTGGTTGTTGTACACGATTATCAAAAACCGGTCTATTGTCGCAAATATGCCACTAAGCAGTGACACTGTCGTTAAGAAACTCATTAGTTCCATTTGAAACATGCAAAGGAACTCCGTCGAATTCAGTTTAGGTAGAAGGAAAAACAACATTTGAAAAAGCATGTTAAACGACATGCAAAAATCCACAACCGATATATTATATACGAACACATTTGTGTGTACTTTAAATCCCAGGTAGCGTTTGTAAACTATCAACACAATGAGGTTACTTGTAAACATGAAGAACCAGATGAATGGCTGAGCGATGGCGAAACCGAGCAACAGGGGAGGTAACCCTTGCGATTTGGATCCACCGGTGACGTTGGTAGCGTTAAGTGTTTGGGCCAGTGCATCCACCGCTGCATTCATGGTTGTGTTGGTAATGGATCTAAAACAATGTAATCATCTGTCATCAACGTGCCTTAAGACAGAATAGTGATTCCAATCGTTATTCCAAACAATAATAAAACATGTTTGCTCTGCTTGTTACATGAAGCCTCATGTAACAAGCAGAGCAAACATGTTTTATTATTGTTGTCCTGCATTCATATGTAGTTAAGATATTTGTTTTAAATTTATAAAAATATCTATGCTACCTATGTTTCATTTTTGACATATGTGACACGAAAAGACAACTTCAACGATGCAATTTAACTTCTTTTCAAAATGATAAATGTATTTTAAGCATGCTTTCATCAAACTGTAATCACCCTAAACAAAGAATAGATATTGCTCCTTTCGGTCTTTTCATTTCGAAAGCTTCTATCCATCTACAGTAGTTTCTAACAGATACATGTTCAGATCAATCCAAATGAACTTGCCTTTTGTCTGTGCCCAATGAAATGTGTTTCGGCGGATACTCAAGACTGGTTATTCTATGGATTTTGACGTTTTATTTTTACTTGAACGGGGTCGATGTTTCTTCTGGTGGACTAAAGTCTCCGATTTCCACCATAAGGTCAGTAGAATTTATTAATTAAGCTGTATCAACTACAAGAAAAATGTTTTGGCTGAGACATTATAAACCTGCCAACTATTGTGTTTGCAAAACGAACATATTTTATAAGCAGCAGAATCTTTGTACTTGTACACAGAAGACGTTATCCAAAATTAACATATCGTTTTCAGTTTTAACAGAATCAGTAAAAACGCTATCGTGTCACTGGATTTTATTGTCCATCGATCACTTGATTGTGTGGTTTGTTTACAGGCTGCGCGTCGCATGGCAGGAGTACTGCTTTGCGTCGTTCAGGCAACAAACACTTACACCTTTATGCAAATTGTGTGTGTGGTAGGTGCTACTAGTAGAACAGAACATGCTTACCCTTTTCGCGAACACGTTCCGTCACCTCTGACTTTTAATGATCCATTCATATCAATTTCATCGCTATTTTGCCTTTTGTGCCCGATGGATAATCGAGACAGGTTATTCTCTTACGTTGACAATATATTATACATCAAAAGACTTTGCGTTTTGATTCCAATTTATCGTCATGTTTATTACGGCAATGAAAAGCGTATTGCAACAAGTCAATGGCTTTATTGTGCAGGGGCGTTCTCCATGTAGTTGGGCTAATTGACGCAATAAAAGACAGCTGTTATGGATATATCTGACGTAAGACGAGATAAGGGCTGTTTCATGTGATCGTAATGCGAAAACGTTAGTTGGGATAATCTGAGTCATAAAACATTTATAGAGTTCACTGGGTCCAGTCTTGGCATGTTTGCATGACAATAGTATTAGTTGGCACGACAAGACTCCAGGTATATGGAGCAAAGATATGTGCAAAAGCGCATCAAGAGTGTGGGAGGCATCCATATTTTCACATATAACCTTTTGCAGGATTCTTTGTATGTATACATTCGATCATATAGGTAGTGTGAATGTATTACAACACTGTAACAATCTGGACTCTATTTCGTTATGGATTTAAAAAAGTACGACTAACTCCCCTAGCAGCTGCAAAACGGATTGGGCGGTCAGGTTGATTGAGTGTCATCTCACCCCGACCGATGCTCATAATATCAATCACAGAATTGTCTGGTCCAGATTTGATTATTTACAGGCCGCCTCATAGAGCTGATATTGCTGAGTGCGACGTTAAGGAACAAACAAACACAATCTTAGTATGACAACTACATATAATTCACGCTCGCGTTAATTTTAAGATTTACAGTATGTTGGGTCTGTTCACCGTGTCCCTATTAAGCCCCCTTTACACAGGGCAACGACCTTTGTGCCTCCTTTGAGCCTCCAACGACGACCTGGCAAATTTTATGGCTGCGCACTGGAGGCACGAAGGTCGCCATCCTGTGTAAAGGCCCCATTAGATGCATGTGCCATGAGTCTATGACTTCAACTCTGATTCCATGTAAAATATGGCCTCCTTTCTGTATTAAACTCTGTCCAAACTGAATCAAACTAACAGACAATGAGCAAGAGATAATCGGAGACCATAACTGCTGATTGTGTCTATCGAGGGCAGATTTAGAAATATAATTGTATGTCATTGATAACGGCTTGATCACCGTTTCGCGAACACGTGGTGTCATCACTATCTGACAGTGATTCATAAACACATGTTTAGGATGTGTTAGTAGTTGGAATTGTAAAATGGACTCCGCTCTTACAGATATTTCTTATTATTATGAAAATGTTTTGGTCGCTCAGGTCGAAGCATGTATTAAGACCATTATTACCTCGGCTCGATAAAGTCCTATTCCATAAATGAAACAATACTTTGTTAGTTTTCTTCCCTTTCGAGATTGCTTTAAAGGTAACATATAATATGACCGACCCTCTACTTGTGTATTCTTGCAAACTGAAGAAATATAGAAATGTATAAATATTGCACGATTTTGTTTACAAACGGGTGGCGGCATTTATGAAGTTTACATTAGATCTAAAAAAACTTTCAGAACAACTAAACAAAGACTAAGCTATTGCCATTTGAAAATAAGCGTTCGTACATTAATCAAGCTATGCATCACTTTGATGTAATAATTTTCATTAACCTGCCTCGCTCAAGGTAATCTTATTTTTCAAATGAAATCATAATTGACTTTCACTTGTTCTGAAAATAATATTATAAAGTTTTGTGTGAAGAAAGATATTTCAGATTTGCACTTACCTGGTGGTCGGTCACACGTGCATTGAGGAGATGGCAACAAGCCTGAAAAGTCTTCCGAGTGAAGCACACCAGCTATCGACCGTTCCCTAACTGTTTTCTGTCGTAGCCCCGGGCAAGCATCCGGACACGATTAATTGACGTGATGAAAACGACACTATTCAGAATAAACAAACTGACAAATTACATGTCATAAAATATTAGGCTGTGGTATCAACAGGAGCATAATGGTGACAAGGCGATATTGACGGGAATAAATTTTACATGAAGTCATTGAAGTGACATTTATGCCTGGGTGAGCGATGCTAAAAGGCAGATTTGTGATTTCTTGGGTACCTTTGCCCCGCTGTCATAATTCAGATTGCATTTAGCACTGGATTTGCAGGCCTCCTGTGAGTTTCCCTGACATAAAGGATATTAAATCAATTATTTCTTTTAATGGTGTTCCTGAGACAACTTCTTCTCACTGATAAGGGAAATTATTTCCGAAACTCAGTAGGTGTGTGTATTCGTCGTAAATATGAATAATATAATACTTTTCATGACTTCACCTCATTAGTACATTCTACATTATTACACAGTCCGGGCGTGAGCCCTTATATATATATCAAAAGTTTATTTGTATTCTACAAGACATTAATAAAATCATATTCTTCTGATCAACATTCCTAGGTGACCTTTATATCAATGGTTCTCATTACTCTCGGTCAACGGGGTTCTTCGTGGATGCGGGGGAATTTTGTTTTATGCTGCAGTCAACAAAACATTACCGGGCACAAGAAAGTATACATCCATGTTTCATGGTGCTGAAACATGAAACAAACAAGAAATGGTTAATCGATGGCGATGTATTTGATACGGGTGTCATAGTTGTGTCTTGGACCTCAAGTTTCCTGTGTTTCGGCGACTGTTTTGAGCCTAGTAACGTTTGTAACGCTTTTAGTCCAATCTAATTGCAGAAGTATACTTTCTTTTGCCCGGCAGTTTATATCATCGCGACCTGTAAATAGTCGGGTCTGGCGAAGTAAATTAATGGTCAACAACATGAGCAACGACCAATGCCGTCGAGGTACGACCACGACACACGACTAGCATGATGACACGTTATTGCAACAAGCATGGGGCACTGCAGAGCTGCCTCTGTATATCAACAGGGTGCAGATGATCACAATGCACAGAGCAAGTAGAGTGTATATGAACACGTAACTCTCACAATTTCTCTCCAAAAACGTTTGAGTAACATTGAAAGTGACAACGCCTCCTTGTGTCAAATGAAACGTGAAAACATACTAAGCAAACAGGGTAACCTCATTAAAATGTCTTAAGGTGCGTCAAATACAACAAATTTCGAACGAGAGCCTTGACATCGAGTCATTAAGGACGCACAGCCGTTGTCTGTAGCTAGAATGAGAGTCTTGACCGTGTGAACTAGGATGCTATCGTGTATTATGTTACAAGGTTTTTAACGATGATATGGAATGTCTCACAAAGTACCCTTACATATAACCTGCGCTTGTGTAATAAACCAAATGCGTGAAAACATGTAATAAAAGTTGATAGCTTGATATATTGACTGAACCAGTGGTAAGCCCCGACAACCAGAGGGCAGAGTGGTGTTGACGCCTGATTTTACCATCGTTAGGCCATACCGCACAGACACCAAGCATAGCTGTTCCACATTATAAAGGATGGACTGGCCCTTCTTGTAGCAGAGACCCACGACGTTAAATATAATCAAAATTCGTTCAATAAGAAATCATCGGGATCATAAAATATATAACCTTATTTCAAGGCGAGTCCATTTCAGACCATAGGGAGTGAGTGAGTATGGTTTTACGCCGCTCTTGGCAATATTCCAGCAATATCACGGCGGGGTCACTAGAAATGGGTTGTAGGTTTGAATCCCAGTTCGCCATGATTGTCTTTACAGGTTAGTCAGAACCACACCCGTGCTCGTGGTTTCACCAAACGTCTAAGATGGCTCCAACCACAACAAGCTGACACGCCGGAATGTATACTAAAATACTTCAGCGTTGAAGCAAACTCACTCACTCTCTTTAGGTGAGTTGTGCAATACAAAGATTCCGCTCATTTATCTTTCACTGCAGATTCAATACTCAATGATTAGCTCAAAGCTACAATGGGAGGGCGTTATATATGCACAGGACAGACTGCATTCACTTGTTAGAAAGTGGGCCTCCTATGGTCTGCCAGTGAGAATGATACTCAAATCGTCATGTACTCACTAACAACATTTCCATTCTCTTACATCTTTATTCAAACCATTCAGTAACATACAATATAAATTCATCATGCATTATTGATACACAAAATACTTCTCGCATTTCATTTTACTGTCCGATCATGGAGAGTTCATCGCCTAGATCTGCACAAGTATAGTCTTTGTCAAACAGCATTATCCCCCCGCCCACGCTCGTGGACTGCATCAAAGTTATAAACCTGCCTCACCTCCGCTCCCCCTCACATTAAGCTGTCACGCCGTGAGATAATTGAAATATTGTTCATCACCCAGCTCACTCATTCATTTTTCAGCTTCAGTGCTGGGGCAGTGATAATGCAATTCCACCCAATGACAATAGTAACAAAATCAGATGGTCTTCAACACTGACATGACATCAGTCTGAGCTCTCGGGTCTCGGGTCTAGGGTCTCGGGTCCCGGGCCTCGGGTCTAGGGGCTCGGGCTACTCAGCCTGGGGTGTCAGGAGCGCCTCGGTGTTGGTGCCGGGGCGTGGTATCTGCTTCTCGTCCCTCCTCCATTTGAAGACAAGACAGGTGAAGAGGAGGCAGAGGTTACAGCAGACGATAGAGGCTGACACCACCATCACTGGCATCACTAGGGCACTGGATAGGTCACGGAACCCCTTGGCTTCAGGAGAAGAGGCGTGTTAAAGGAACGTATTAAAACAAGTACATTAACTGCACGATCTCCAATTTATCGATCTTTACAATGTGAGGATCCGTATTTTAATATGGGGGAACTTAATAGAAATGTTTTCTGACGGTAAACTATGTGTAAAATTCGATGCAAAGTAGATTACCTGAACGGTATCTGTCTATACAAGGTGAGGATACCTCACTTGAAAAAATGGAAAATCTGAGGATGCTCAAATTCCTGGGCTTCAAACAAAATGAGATAGCCTTCTGCCATATTCAGCTGAGATTAGATGAGGACCTGTTTTCTTGTTGTTTTGTTGTTGTGTGTATTGTTCAACGCCGCACTCAGCAATATTCCAACAATATGACGGCGGTCTGTAAATAATGGACTGGACCAGACAACCTACGAGTGACATCATGAGCATCGATCCACGTAATTGCGAATGATGACATACAATCAACAAAGTCATCTTGGCTGACCACCCGATCCACACAGCTGCCTCTTGCAACAAGCATAGTCGCCTCTTACGATAGGCATGGGTTGCTGAAGACCCGGATCTTCACAGGTCGATGTAAAATGTAGGGTGACTTTCACCTTCATCAAACTGAAACGAGTCATCCTTTCGGATAAAGTTCAATAATGGGCATGTTATATTTGTTTCTTTGTTATATAAGGCTGTACTCAGCAATAATCCAGATATATGACGGTGATCTGTAAATAATCGAGTCTGGACATAGATTGCTGGGGACCTATATTCCTACCCTGAATCACAACAGGTCCCTGCTTTGTTATCGATTTCGCAGAATTATCTTTCCAGAAGAACAATATAAAACATTGTTCCTTGTTGACCTACCTGTATCACAATATGTACCGGAGTATCCCACAAAACAGCCTTCGTCACACAGTCCCGTTTCAGGGTTGCATGCCTTGTTCTGATGGCACAGGCCACACGTCTCTGAACAGTTGCCTCCCCACGTTCCGTCCAAACATGCTGGAAGTGAGTTAATGAGTGAGTGAATATGGTTTTACGCCGCTTTTAGCAATATTCCAACAATATCACCGCGGGGGACACCAGAAATGGGCTTCACACATTGTACCCGTGTCGGGAATCGAACCCGGGTATTCGGTGTGACAAGCGAAGGCTTTAACCACAAGGCTGCCCGACCGCCCCACATGTTGGGGTGGACCAGGTATAGAGGGGTGGTATTCACAAACAGTAGAACATGATTATATCGTATATGGTCACAATAATTGTTTGGTGGAGTAGACTGTATACAGATGTGCTATTATTCTCATATATACCTTCCTAATACGATGGAGTAGACTATATATAGATCTTATTATTCTCATATATACCCTCCTAATATGGTGGAGTAGACTATATATAGATCTTATTATTCTCATATATACCCTCCTAATATGGTGGAGTAGACTGTATACAGATGTGCTATTATTCTCATATATACCTTCCTAATACGATGGAGTAGACTATATATAGATCTTATTATTCTCATATATACCCTCCTAATATGGTGGAGTAGACTGTATACAGATGTTATTATTCTGATATATACCTTACTAATACGATGGAGTAGACTGTATACAGATGTTATTATTCTGATATTTAATTTCCTAATACGAAGGAGTAGACTGTTTATAGATGTGCTATTCTTCTCATATATACCTTCCTAATATGGCAGCGTACACTGTATATAGATGTGCTATTCTTCTCATATATACCTTACTAATATGGTGGAGTAGACTGTATACAGATGTGCTATTATTCTCATATATACCTTCCTAATATGGTGGAGTAGACTGTATATAGATATTATTATCATATATACCTTCCTAATATGGTGGAGTAGACTGTATATAGATATTATTATCATATATACCTTACTAATATGGTGGAGTAGATTGTATACAGATGTGCAATTATTCTCATATATACCTTCCTAATATGGTGTGGAGTAGACTGTATATAGATGTTATTATTCTCATATATACTTTCCTTATATGGTGGAGTAGACTGTATACAGATGTGCTATTATTGTCATATAGACCCTCGTAATATGGTTGAGTAGACTGTATACAGATGTTATTATTCTTATGTATACCCTCCTAATACGATGGAGTAGACTGTATATAGATGTTATTATTCTGATATATACCTTACTAATACGATGGAGTAGACTGTATACAGATGTGCTATTATTCTCATATATACCTTCCTAATATGGTGGAGAAGACTGTATACAGATGTGCAATTATTCTCACATATACCTTCCTAATATGGTGGAGTAGACTGTATATAAATGTGCTATTATTCTCATATAGACCCTCGTTATATGGTTGAGTAGACTGTATACAGATGATATTATTCTTATGTTTACCCTCCTAATACGATGGAGTAGACTGTATACAGATGTGCTATTATTCTCATATATACCTTCCTAATATGGTAGAGTAGACTGTATATAGATGTGCAATTATTCTCATATATACCTTCCAATATAGTGGAGTAGAATGTATAGAGATGATATCATTCTCATATATACCTTCCGTATACAATGGAGTAGACTGTATATAGATGTTATTATTCTGATATATACCTTACTAATACGATGGAGTAGACTGTATACAGATGTGCTATTATTCTCATATATACCTTCCTAATATGGTAGAGTAGACTGTATATAGATGTGCTATTATTCTCATACATACCTTCCCTATACAATGGAGTAGACTGTATATAGATGTTATTATTCTTATATATACCTTACTAATACGATGGAGTAGACTGTAAACAGATGTGCAATTATTCTCTTCTATACCTTCCTAATATGGTGGAGTAGACTGTATATATATGTGCTATTATTCGCATATGGACCCTCGTTATATGGTTGAGTAGACTGTATACAGATGATATTATTCGTATGTATAACCTCCTAATACGATGGAGTAGACTGTATATAGATGTTACTATTCTCATATATACCTTCCAATACGGTTGAGTAGACTGTATATAGATGATATTATTCTCATATATACTTTCCTATTATGGTGGAGTAGACTGTATACAGATGTGCAATTATTCTCATATATACCTTCCTAATATGGTGGAGTAGACTGTATATAGATGTGCTATCATTCTCATATATACCCTTTCTAATACGGTGGAGTAGACTGTATATAGATGTTATTATTCTCATATATACCTTCCTAATGTGATGGAGTAGATTGTATACAGATGTTATTACTCTTATTTATACCCTCCTAATACGATGGAGTAGACTGTATAGAGATGTGCTGTTATTCTCATATATACCTTCCTAATACGGTCGAGTAGACTATATACAGATGTTATTATTCTCATATATACCCCCCTAATATGGTGTATTAGACTGTATACAGATGTTATTATTCTCATATATACCTTCCTAATATGGTGGAGTAGACTGTATACAGATGTTATTATTTTCATATATATACCTTTCTTATATGGTGGAATAGACTGTATACAGATGTTATTATTCTCATATTTACCTTCCTAATATTGCGGAGTAAACTGTATACAGATGTGCTATTCTTCTCATATATACTCTCCTAATATGGTGGAGTAGACTGTATAAATATGTTATTATTCTCATTTCTACCTTCGTAATATGGTGGAGTAGACTGTATAGAGATGTGCTATTAATCTCATATATACCTTCGTAATATTGTGGAGTAGACTGTATACAGATGTGCTATTATTCTCATATATACCCTCCTAATATGATGGAGTAGACTGTATATAGATGTGCATAGTATATACATAGATATACTATGGGGAAAATCATACATAGATTTTATCATTCTATACTTCCAACGTATGCTGGGGGCACAGATGACACAGTCGTCTAAGATGACTGAATTCGCTGTTCAGAGTTGCGCTCCTTTGCATGCCAGAATCTTGTGATTCTTGGTTTTTCAGCATCACAAATGTATGTTACCATTCTCACGTATATCATCCCACATGTTGGAGAAGACAGTACATAATTCTCATGTATTTCCTCAACTTTTCAGAACCCTCTGATTTTGGTGTTTCAGTATTCACCAACGTGCTTTACCATAGAGGTAAATGTCAAAGATCTGCCTCACATTGGGCTTTCACGCATGTTGGAGTAGGACATAGTATATGTTCACATTACAGGTGCATGTATACTTACTTTGGTCGCACTTGTCACCGTACCAGCCATGTTTGCATGCAGAGGAGCATGTGCCGTCCATGAGGTCGCACTCGACGTCGTCCGCACAATGTCCGCACTTGGAGTCACAGTTTTCGCCATAGTAACCCGTGGCACACGCTTTAAGATACCATGTATAGCATTAGGCAATCCATATTGTTTTCTTCGTTTCCCATCTCCCGCCCGCCCTGAATTTTCATTCCGACGTGAAATAATAAAAGAAATTCTTATCGCAATGTTCCCCGTCGCTGTTGGAAATGTATGCCCCGATGTGATAAAAACAAAAATACTTCTGCCATTGCACACTGATAAAGAACCCAAGTCAGCTTGATCTATCGGCAGCCATTTTTATGAAGAATTCGTTTCCGAAGCAAAGCAAGTGTATGAACTTTTACACAATTGGTTAAACACAATTCTTTGGAGGAAGAACATTTCTGAGTGTGAACTTCTTTACTATGAGGAACACAATTTTTCGGAGTATATATTATTTACGCCTTCATCAGGTGAATAAATGCTATGAAGTAGAGAAGATATATGTACCCGTAAGATTCGTACACATATATGTGTTAGGAGTAAGTATATACTGCGAAATGCTGTGTTCCTCATAGTAAAGAAGTTGACATCCAGAAGTTATCTTCCTTATGTTTATCACATCTTAATGCCATTCAAAAACAATATATATATATTTTTTATTTTATTTTTTTTATTTTTTTTATTTATTTTATTTATTTTTTTATTTTTTTATTTTTTTTTGGGGGGGGGGCTCTTTTGATTCATTTTCGCCCGCCCGACCTCTCGCTGGTTGAGGTTGGAGATGAGAATCAGACTAAAAAATATGTATGGCTTTATCTATACGCGAATATAGGCGTGTACCAATGTATAACAACTGTAGAGGCTCATGTCACAGGCTTCAAGAATACATGTATAACATCAACACGAAGTTGACAAACAAACATATAAACAAACACGAAAAAATAGTATAGGTTCGCATTACATGCTAAATCATAGCGTACTAAGACAAAATATTTATGACTGAACCAAAATCTAGAGATTTTCCGACATGCAAACACAATGAGAGGAGGATAGCAGTCGATTTCAGTTTAGATTATGAAGTATAACCAAGATTATGCTACTGTCATATCAGTCCTGTTTTATTCTTAAAGTGATTGATTGTTGCAATATCGTGAACTCACCCTGATTACAAATGTCCCCAGACCAGCCCTGCAGACAGCCTCCCTCCCCACAGCTTCCGTTGCGTCGGTCACACGGAGGCTGCAGGCACCTCCCACACGTCTGGTTGCAGTCAGGTCCGAACCGACCAGGCATACATTCTATAGTGAAACAAAACAGAAATACATGTATTTCTTATGGGGACACTTCAGTCGTTACAGAACCACCCGTCCCCTCAGACAACCAACTGTATCTGAGATCCTGGCCAACAGACACACCTACTTACAGGACGCCCCGCCCGAACAGACACACATACAGTAGAGGACGCCCCGCCCCTACAGACACACCTACTGTACAGGACGCCCTGCCCCTGCAGACACACCTACTGTACAGGATGCCCCGCCCCTACAGACTCACCTACTAACAGGATGCCCCGCCCCTACAGACTCACCTACATACAGGATGCCCCGCCCCTACAGACTCACCTACAGTACAGAACACCCCCTCCCATCCGGGCTCGCAGCCAGCTTGACACCGTCCATTACGACTGTCACAGCCTGTACTTGACACACAGTGACTGCATCTAAGGACACAGTTTTCCCCGTACTCTCCGAAGTCGCAAGCTGAAAAGCATGTGAGCCAAACATCACAAATGTGTAGTTAAAGAAATTTCAATAATCAAGGTTTGAACCAATGAAATTGTCATATCTATAAGCATGTAATGTTAGTTCTGTCGTATGTCTATCTGCTTTATGTACTGTACAGAACAAGATTGGTCTGGCCCTACTCTGTAGTGACTTACAACGATCACATTTTGGACCTTTCCATCTAGCTGCGCATCCTTTCACGCAAGTTCCGTTTGTTGGAAAGCACGTGCTTCCTTCTAGACAATGGCTGCAGGCTTCACTGCAGTTATCGCCATAACTACCGACGGGACACTCTGGAATAAGAACAAACGAAAAACCTGACATCCTGAGGAATCAATAACACACCCATTACAAAGGACCATTGCACCAGCACTGTATTACGTGGTATTACGACTGCTCAACACGTTAACAGTGGTATAATGGGCCAGTCATCTAACACGTCGATGTAGAGTTGCGTCCCTTAGGCGCGCCAGACGCCTATTATCGGGTGTTCGCCCTGGTTGTGCTGTTTTTTTCAAACACCATACCAGTAACGTGGTACATGTATATGCCTGACAGCTGCGTCACATCAGGCTTTCCTCGCACATCAAGCTGACACTGTTCAAATTGTTTTGATTGATTTAGTGTTTATTCTTGTTTCATGTTGAATATTTAAATGACTGAACGTTTACTTCTTGTTAATCTCTCATACAGACCCTGATACAAATATATCCAACACAGCCCATGCAAGTCTATAATGTTTGGCAAGTCTAGATTACTACAGAATCGGGAAATTAAGAGAGTTTCTGGGCTTCTTTTTAATATATTTTTATTGAGATAATTTAACAACTCTTTTTTCTGTAAGATATGTTCATTTCAGAGACTAGATGTTAGTCTAACTTCTAGTATCTACTAAGGCTTGTTCTACATGTTCTACCATTTACTCACTCACTTATATTAACGTCAGTTATGTTTTTGGTTTTTGTTATAACATTTCCTTTATACAAGATGGCGACCCCCTGGAGAGTCTTGGGTTAGAACTGTTCCCCTGCAGCCTAGATTTGTCGCAAGAGGCGACTTGATAGATTGGGCGGTCAGATTCGCGGTTGATTACTGTCATTGTACCCTGTCGTGGAAGTGGCTCATCGGTGTCAATCACTTGATTGTCTGGTCCAGAGTATATTATTTACAGACCGCCGTCATACAGCTGGAATATTGCCGCGTTAAACAACCAACCAACAAATAAACATAGAGACATACTCGCATGGCACGTTGGCCCCGTCCATCCGGTTTCACAGCCGTGACGACATTTCCCAGTAGTAGTGTCACATGCCTCTCCACCACGACATCGACCACAACGATGAACACAGTTCCTTCCGTAAGTTCCATTGCAGGCTGAAACATGACGAAACCGGTCATGTACGTGAACATAGACTACGGTAGATCTTTGTCACATAGCATCGTATTTATTGTCATCAATAAGTTCATCTTCATGGTTTTAAATAGTGGCCACGGGTGAACAACTTGTGTAAGGCGCCGCAAGTCGCTGTGCATAGTTGCGTCCCTTAGGTGTACCAGACGCCAATGATCTCAGATTCGCCTTATTGTAAGCTTTCAAACTGACACGCCATTGTATATTTATACCTGCAAAGTGGTTCAAAAGCGCCGTTACACAAAACTCATTCCCTAAACGGCGAGGTCACATGATATTGTCATGATAAAAAAGGATAATTTGGCAGAACTTTTGATTTAACCCGGTTACTGGCAAAGAGATACAAGGGCATATCAACAAAAGGTTACATGTTCATACACAACAAAGAGGCGCAGGATAACCATGTGCTTCAAGCGTTTAGCATCCCGTGAATATTCCGGGTTAGAATTGGTCTTCAGCAACCCATGCTTGTCGTAAGAGGCAACTGACGGGATCGGGTGGTCAGGCTCACTGACATGGTTGATGCATGTCATCGTATCCCATAGTATCGATGTTCATGATGTCAATAACTGGATTGTCTGATCAAGACTCGAGTAGCTGGAATAGTGCTGAGTGCGGCGTTAAACAAAAAAACAAAAAAACAGTCAGGCGTTAAGCCGAAACCCGCGTTTCCTTCCCGTCTGAAACCAAACTCACTCGCTTAAATATTCAAAATATGGCATCTGACACAAGCAAACCAAACGTTCAAGTGCGTTAGTGTGAACTCCAATATAATGGTCCTGGTACACTTATTATCTAATGGAAGAGCTCAATCAAGATCCCTTTAAAGTAAAATGAATGTTTAACGTTCTAGTGGTTGCTTTAGCTTTAACCTATGCGATGACCGTCAACGTGGATGCGGAGGATGTTAAAGATGGTGTGATGTACCCGTCGTCCCCAGCAGACACGTACCTTGTTGACAGTCGCTTCCTGCCCAGCCCGGCTGGCACCCCGTCGTGCACGTGCCGAACACGTGATCACACACTTCCAGGGTTTCAAAGCAGCGGCAGCGGGAGTTACAATCTTGTTTGCCGAATGTGAAGTCGGCACAAGCTGGATAAAGTGATTCATAATTGAGGAAGAATTCACACGTCACACAGTGTTTCTACACAATGCACAACGGCTTGGATGAGAACAGTCTAGTGAATGGCACCTTTGCATATTTGCGTATACATATAAGTCTAGCTTAATGAATACTTCAAGCCTAACTTCATTAAAACTTCACTCTTGATATAGAGTATACCCCAAGTCTAGCTGAATGAATACTTCAGCCAGATATACAGTATACCCCAAGTCTAGCTTAATGAATACTTCAAGCCTAACTTCATTAAAACTTCACTCTTGATATAGAGTATACCCCAAGTCTAGCTTAATGAATACTTCAGCCAGATATACAGTATACCCAAAGTCTAGCTTAATGAATACTTCAAGCCTAACTTCATTAAAACTTCACTCTTGATATAGAGTATACCCCAAGTCTAGCTGAATGAATACTTCAGCCAGATATACATTATACCCAAAGTCTAGCTTAATGAATACTTCAAGCCTAACTTCATTAAAACTTCACTCTTGATATAGAGTATACCCCAAGTCTAGCTTAATGAATACTTCAGCCAGATATACAGTATACCCCAAGTCTAGCTTAATGAATACTTCAGCCAGATATACAGTATACCCCAAGTCTAGCTTAATGAATACTTCAGCCTGATATACAGTTTATCCAAAGTCTAGCTTAATGAATACTTCAGCCTGATATACAGTATACCCCAAGTCTAGCTTAATGAATACTTCAGCCTGATATACAGTATACCCCAAGTCTAGCTTAATGAATACTTCAGCCTGATATACAGTATACCCCAAGTCTAGCTTAATGAATACTTCAGCCTGATATACAGTTTATCCAAAGTCTAGCTTAATGAATACTTCAGCCTGATATACAGTTTATCCAAAGTCTAACTTGATGAATACTGCAAGCCTGAAATACAGTATACCCCAAGTCTAACTTAATGAATACTTCAGCCTAATATACAGTATACCCAAAGTCTAGCTTAATGAATACTTCAGCCTGATATACAGTATACCCCAAGTCTAGCTTAATGAATACTTCAGCCTGATATACAGTATACCCCAAGTCTAGCTTAATGAATACTTCAGCCTGATATACAGTATACCCAAAGTCTAGCTTAATGAATACTTCAAGCCTAACTTCATTAAAACTTCACTCTTGATATAGAGTATACCCCAAGTCTAGCTGAATGAATACTTCAGCCAGATATACAGTATACCCAAAGTCTAGCTTAATGAATACTTCAAGCCTAACTTCATTAAAACTTCACTCTTGATATAGAGTATACCCCAAGTCTAGCTTAATGAATACTTCAGCCAGATATACAGTATACCCCAAGTCTAGCTTAATGAATACTTCAAGCCTAACTTCATTAAAACTTCACTCTTGATATAGAGAATACCCCAAGTCTAGCTGAATGAATACTTCAGCCAGATATACAGTATACCCCAAGTCTAGCTTAATGAATACTTCAGCCAGATATACAGTATACCCCAAGTCTAGCTTAATGAATACTTCAGCCTGATATACAGTTTATCCAAAGTCTAGCTTAATGAATACTTCAGCCTGATATACAGTATACCCCAAGTCTAGCTTAATGAATACTTCAGCCTGATATACAGTTTATCCAAAGTCTAACTTGATGAATACTGCAAGCCTGAAATACAGTATACCCCAAGTCTAACTTAATGAATACTTCAGCCTGATATACAGTATACCCCAAGTCTAGCTTAATGAATACTTCAGCCTGATATACAGCATACCCCAAGTCTAGCTTAATGAATACTTCAGCCTGATATACAGTATACCCCAAGTCTAGCTTAATGAATACTTCAGCCTGATATACAGTATACCCAAAGTCTAGCTTAATGAATACTTCAGCCTGATATACAGTATACCCCAAGTCTAGCTTAATGAATACTTCAGCCTGATATACAGTATACCCCAAGTCTAACTTAATGAATACTTCAGCCTGATATACAGTATACCCCAAGATTAACTCAATGAATACTTCAAGCCTGAAATAGAGTATTCACCAAGTCTAACTTAATGAACACTTCAAGCCGAACTTCATGAATACGCCAAGCCTGAGATACAGTCTAACTTAATGAATACTTCAGCCTGATATACAGTATACCCCAAGTCTAGCTTAATGAATACTTCAAGCCTGAAACACAGTTTACCCCAAGTCTAACTTAATGAATACTTCAAGCCTGATAAATAGAATACCCCAATGAACACTTCAAGCCGAACTTCATGAATACGCCAAGCCTAACTTAATGAATACTTCAAGTCTAACTTCATGAATACGCCAAGCCTAACTTCAATGAATACTTCAAGTCTAACTTCATGAACACTTCAAGCCTAATTTAATGAATACGTCAAGCCTGATACACCGAATATCCCAAACCTAACTTACTGAATATCTCCACTTCACATACTGTTATAAGCTTATGCAGGTTCATGATGCCCACATATCGGCCGGCCACAGGTTTGTCACAAGTAAAGGACGTCCCCGTTCCGTCGTAGCGCAGTGTCGTACACGGCACTGACCAGAAGAGGCTGTCCTCGAAGTCGCCCACGTACACACCCCATGACCGGACCGACACGTTACCTAGAAGATATAACACCTTGGACATTCTAGGATGTTATTGCGAATCGATATTATCGAGGAGACAAATATAACGCTATAGCTGCCGTGCTGCTGCTGATGATGATCATGATGGTGTGAATTCAATAGGGGTTTGTGATATTTTGATAGCAGCGATACTTAAAATGAATTTTGTACATAGAACGCGGGCCTATTGATGGCCATCTTCGATTAACCAGGGTATTTGATATCCATTCTGTTATAATATATACCTTTGGCCAATTCGCCACCGTTGCATCGTTTCAATTCAGGTTAGAATGGCGCTGAAATAGCGTCCAGAATTCTGATTCTAATAAATATATCAAGCGCTCACCCCATGTTCAAAACTCAATAGAGTTCAAGGTTCAACAGAGTCACTTTGGTATGTTGTTGATTACACTGGAACATCGATGCTGACAATAACTATTAACATGTTCTTCTGCATAACAGTGAAGAAAGTTTTGTCATTCAGTCAATAGTTTATACCCTCCTCCATGTTCTCACTTGCGAAACGAAACAAATGATAAAATGTTTGTAAGTGAACAAATCTGATAAGATTTCAGAAGCGAAACGTCCCAAAATAAACAAAATCTGTAATACCTATTCCATGATACGTCATCAATTGCTGAAAGATCAGAGTTTGCCATATGAATATTTTTACATCTTGGAACGCATTAAATCCGTAAGACAGAGAATTTTAAGGATGTCAACTTCTTATTATGATTAACACAACGTTACGGAGTATATGCTTACTCTTTCATCAAATGGACGATTCACCTGATGAAGCATACACTTCGAAACGTTGTGTTTCTCATAACAAGAAGTTGGTATTCATAAACTTATATGACTAATGTGTATCACTTCTAAATACCATTAAATCCGATTTACAGATACTAAATTTGATTTCGAGTTCATGCCAACCTGCCCGTATCCTCATACTGTGAACTGTCTGTTTTACTAGAAGATCTACCATCCACCTTCCTGTCCTATTAGGGCGGGAGGAGATACACGTGGTCACGTCGCCGTCTGTGGTCACGCCCCCTTCCGCCACGTTGCCCGATATAGAAGCAGCCATGTTGAACACGATGTTCCCTGTTTGACAAAGCAAAACGCAATCTCATTGGAATTAGATCTTAATTAAACAGCGAAATTTATTACAATGTAATAATAAAAGACAACAATAAAGTCTATATCAGGGCTAATTTCCCATTGAAGAGAAGATCAGTCATTTACTTGGACTAAATGAGATTTTCAGTCTGATGCACTATTCACAAGAATCATGCGAAATCAATATAACTATAAGAAAATTGTCTTTGTTTTCAGTAAACTATATGATATTTCAATGGTCCGTTTTGACCAGAAAAATGTGTCGTTATAACCAAATCGGCTTTTCCGTCTTGAACGACACCCCCACATATTCAAAACTCTTACTTCTTTGGCAAGCATTCCCTGACCATCCTTCTGCGCATCCGGAAGAACAATTTCCTGTGACGTCATCACAGTTTGTGTCCTTCAAACAATGACACTGGTAAATACAGTTGTTTCCAAAACGACCATTTGCACATCTTCCTAAAACACAATGACGAACTGTCAACTTGTTAACTCACATACAAATTTAAAATAACAAGTATCCAATATTGTTGGTTACAATGATCCTTCCCTGTTAATTATCGCTCACTGCTCATTATGGTATAGTGAGTAAGTACGTCTCTACGTCATAGCAATTAGCATGATTGCCGTCATATTACGGCATAGGAAATGGGTTTCATGCGTTGTATTTATGTGTGGAATTGAACACGGGTCTAAGGTATGACGAGCCAACAACAATGAGGCTCTACCACTTTCCCAGTAACGCTACAGCAAAGCTCAAAGTGACGTTGGTGCTAGGTGTAGGGTCCCAAATGTACTTTACTTTTAACAAGATGATTAGTCTTAGTTAAAGATTCAAGGGATCTTCCCGAGGCAAGGGGGTTCACTGACTATAAAAATCCAGTTTAAAAGTCCTTGCCGAATTAGGCTGGAATTTCTGGACTCGATCGTAGCGCCACCAGGGCTATTACGAGTTATGCCCCTGTTATGTCCCTCCGATTGACCCAATCAGATTCCACTTCTCATGTCACTTGCATTTGCTTCAAACAAAATGGCGGTGCCCAGTCAGGACGATCGCAATCGACCGAAATCAGCACGACATTTTACAAACCAGATGTCGATATCGTTAGGCGATTTTGATTGGACTATGCATAGACTCGTTAGTCCAGCCAAAATACTCCATATATCCAGCCTAGTTCGGCAAGGGAGGAAACTGGACTGTGATAGTCGGTTCATTCCCTTGCCTCGGGAAGATGGATTCTACGTAGATATACAGTGTATAAATAGCTAATATAGTGGACACCACCACCATTAAGTTAGCATTGATAACATAGTATCTTCCAAAGGACTTTATGTGTTGGGGACCGTTTATCATGAATCAGTGCGTTATTGAATATACGGGAATGCGTCTGATTCGCGTTGTCATATTTGAAAACTACTTCATTAATATGACCAAGTGTGACGTCAACCAGCATGTCCCGGGGCACACAGGGATTGACGCTCCTCGGGAAAGCAGGGTGAACTACCGTGGACAAACAGCATGGTTGTCCTCCCCAGGGAAATCTTAGTCATTTAGGAAATTCAACAAAGAATCGATATTTCAGTTAATCAATGTGTTTGTAGCTACACGCTCTGCGCTAAATTAAAGGTACGCAACGGTTTGATATGTTATGTTCAAAGGGGATACGAGTTTCGTTCTAGAAGTATTTCTATTACCATATTCTTTAACACCTACAGTGAGTGAGTATGGTTTTACGCCGCTTTTAGCAATATTCCAGCAATATCACGACGGGGAACACCAGAAATGGGCTTCACACATTGTGCCCATGTCGGGAATCGAACCCGGGTCTTCGGCGTGACGAGCGAACGCTTTAACCACTGGGCTACCCGACCGCCCCAACACCTGCAGTGAATACGTCTGTATCATGCATATTGTTTTAAGTATCCATATTCGTTTATTTCTTTCCTAAAGTGAAGTAAAATAATCATTTTAGGTGTGACATGGCGCTCATTCGCTGCTGGCCAATGAAAACAGATGTGAATGGTATTTGGAACCGTATGCCCTGTGCGGAGACTCTTTTAACAAGCATGTGGACATTTAACAATGAGTATAGAAGAATTGTTGTTTTCGGCTATTGTTTTTGTAACCATCATTATTATTTGTGATTTTATCAGAACTGTAGAAATTGTAGGAATGTCCAATCAAAAGTGCCAATCAAGGATATGGTTACATATACAATGTCTACATTATTAGTTAACTTGGAGATTGGGGGATATGAGCACATATACACGATCACGAACGCTGATACTACTTCATTTCGTTTATCCGACATACTCGTTAATCCGACATAATCATATGCAACCATCGATGTCGGATTAACGGGACTTGACTGTACAATGTCTATTGACCTTTTTCACACTTCGCTACTTCCGGTTTAAAAGCGAGGCTTGGAGAGCAGAAGGTGAAGGCTGGATCGCACATGAAACACATGGAGATGTCAACAAGGCACGCAATCGGGACAAACTGTGACAATTTAACCATCCCGGTACATTTATCGTAAGTATTGAACATTGTTCTTATTCTTATCATTGACAAACTATTCAACTGTTATCTGGTCTCCTTACCGATATAAATTTGAGTCTGGACGTGGTGATTTCATTTTAAAATATCTATGACCACCTGGTAACTCCCAGTGCAGTTTATGGTAGCTGAACAGACTTAATACAAATGCTACTGAGATCTTGTAAAGAATAATTAATTGTTTACACACCATTAAGCCAAACTATTTATTGTGAGTTTAAATAACTTTGCGGGTTGTATTTGAAGTCGAAATATTGACCTTTTGACCATATCTAGATATATGTCAGAAACTAACTAAATTGATACGTTGATATAATGTATCAAATTGTAACCTACTGAGAATTTACAATCGTAATAAATCAGAATTTTGCATCAGTTGCGTATTTGATGTAAATTGTAATGGACTCAAATGCATTCCAATAAAATATTAGACCTCTAGATCTACTTCATCTTCCCGAGGCAAGTGAGTTAACTCACTATAAAAGTCCAGTTTCCACCCTTGCCGAACTAGGCTGGCATTATGGAGTTACAATTTGGCTGGACTAACGAGTCTATGCATAGTCCAATCAAAATCGCGCAAGGAAATCGAAATCCGGTTCGTAAACTGTCATGCAGATTTCGGTCGATTGCAGGATTTGCAAAGCATCTGCCCCGCCAACTCGTTGTCAACAGATATTTGCAAAATCTTGTCATGTTTTTAATCAAGGCGCTCACGTGATTTGATGTATTTCGCGATGTAAGACCCGTTTTATCACAATATAGATCTTGATTGTCGAGCAGATCGTCCTGACTTGGCGCCGCCATTTTGTTTGAAGCAAATGCAAGTGATACGAGAGGTAGAATCTGATTGGTCCATAGGATAGGCTTAGAAGGGATATAATTGGTAATAGCCACTAGTGGCGCTACGATCGAGCCCAGGAATTCCAGGCTAGTTCGGCAAGGGTGGAAACTGGACTTTTAAAGTCAGTTACCTCCCTTGCCTCGGGAAGATGAATCTACTTGTGCTGTCGATATTGTGAAAGTTGTTATTTTGATTCTCAATGTTGACAGATTAGATACCATGAGGTGTAATATTTCAACTGAATTATTACATAAAAGGTGTTTAAATATTTGAAGTAAAGTACAGTTTGATCTGCAATTTTGTAAACAATATTTCTACGAAAATGATATTTACTTTACTGTACCAAATTAATAATGTCATGAAATGAACAAAAACCTAACTAATTAATGGCCAGTAAATGTTCAATCTACATGTGATTTTATATAATTTACACAAACAGATAACTCTTTAACAGTTTGTATTCAAATATTTCAAATGCATAAGGGGCGGTCGGGTAGCCTAGTGGTTAAAGCGTTCGCTCGTCACGCCGAAGACCCGGGTTCGATTCTCGACATGGGTACAATGTGTGAAGCCCATTTCTGGTGTTCCCCGCCATGATATTGCTGGAATATTGCTAAAAGCGGCGTAAAACCGTACTCACTCACTCACTCACTCAAATGCATAAATTGATATTGACATTACTATAAACTTAAAGTATAAACAGAATTATTTTTAATTCCAATGCGTATTGCAATCATAACTCATTTGTTCTCTTTGTTTAATTGTGAAACCCATCTGGCTTTATGTCCACAAACATGTTTCAAAACTTTAAAAACAAAATGATTTCTTTTGTGTAAGCAATTGCCATGTATTATTGATTATTATTCATATCAATTTATATGTAAGAATATAGTTGTGCTTACTGTGTCATTTTGCAATAATTATATTGTTATGATGTAATATTTTACTATTGTTAACAATATTTAGAACTTTAGTTTATTTCAATCAAGTCAAGTGGTGTGATAATTTTGATAATTTTTATAATTCAATCAAAACGAGAAATATAATAAAATATAAATACATGGAAGAAATTTGTTTTCCTTGTCAAATAACGATGATAGCATGAATTTATCTCATCTTGTGATGTGACAAAGTTAATATTTTCAAGTCAAGATATCAACTTTAGTAATTTAAACAACAAGAAGAGATAAACATTATATTTGACAAAATATATTCAAGTCTTATATTTTCATTGTGATCTTCATGACCTTACCATAGTGTCAACGAGGCAGACTGACTGTAGGGATGACAAAACGTGATATCTCACCTGATATTAATACAAATCTTATTTATTTCACTCTAGCGAAAGTATATTTTCAGCATGGTCAGACTAAACAAAGTATGTCATGATTAAATACATACCGGTAATACAAATATCAAAACGTGTTTCATTAAAACAAGAGTAAATCTCTGTGTGACATTGATATAAAGAGCTGTAGTACACTGTCATTAAATTGATGCATCTGTTGAGTTTACTGTTTATACAGAATATACTGTTTGAGTTTGAGACATATCAGATGAATTGATGCCTTCAAGATTATTCTAAAGTTGCATGTAATGTAACACACTATTATTAATTTTCCTTAAATTTCTCTATTTGAGATGAATGTTGTTTTCTAAATAAGCACTATTTTGAGAGAAGGTGAATATGCATTGTTTAAAAAAATTTTTTATTGAAGTAGAAATATTATAACAATATTATTGAATTGTTCATTTCAGGCCAGCGAGTCAACACAATGAAGTACTAGTATCCGGTGATGGATGTCTGGAGGAGCTTTCTGCTGACAGTTACACACTGGTTACAATGTGCGTCCTGTCAAAGGACGAGGAAGTGAAAAACCATTTTCTTTCAATCAACAAATGTGCTTCCTGTCACATTTCTCTTAAATAGGACGAGGAAGTGAAAAACCTTATTCACTCACAAAACAACATGGCCAATATTTATCAGACACTAAAAAAGCACATTGTACCATTTGTTTACAATCAAGAAAATTATTTTCTCCTGGAATTTTCGACTGACAAAGACACCCGGTCCATGTTAAGTTTTGAAAACTTATATTGTGAGAAATAAAGACATGAAAATTTCGGTTTGTTTTTCTTTGTTAAATATAAGAAATCCAGATTGTTCCAACAACATAATTTGTACCGATACATATATTTTATCTTGGCTTGATTACCAATTGAAATTGATTCTTTTTTTATCTTTTGTTATTTTATTTGTACTCATATCTGATCAAGACATTTTCAAAATATTCAGGATAAATGTATTAGTAGCTTCCTTTTGATATACAATTACCTATCATCATACAGGATTAGGTGCGGGTGTTCGTTCAAGAAGTTGGTGGTTGTATCAATTCTTATATTTCTTCAATTTCATGCATTATTTATATTTATCAATTTTTAGTATCCTTTTAACTTATTTTAAACAGTTCACACATTATTACTTTTGTCGTGCAATCTCAATCGGCAATAATCAGTTAAGTAAGTGGTGTTTGAAGAACAAGTAAAGTATCATCTGTCATTGTACACACTGAATAGAGTTATCGCCCCTTCTGAATATTTATTTTGACACACGAATTATTTTGTGAACTAATTTCATTTACATCGTAATTTGTTAAGATGAAACTCATAGCAGAAAAAGTGTATCTTGTCAACTGGACTCATGGCAAAACGATAGTGCGTTGTGCAGCAAACACCACTATGAAACGTGAAATAAACATGATCGATGATCTCGAGTTCGCCAAGCCACACACTGACTGAGCAAATTTGCAAAAGTACACTGACGTGTTTCATGTTATGTGGTTCATTTGCAATACAAAACTTCTGTCATTGAATGTTCTGTCACATTGTATCTATATGCCGACGAGGTTATGATAAAACAATCTATTTCTGAAATATGTATCTCGAAATGCACCTTTCGATTCACATCCGGGATCCTGACAGCAAAATGCTAATTCCAGTGTATTACAGGCATATTTTAGTTGGACCTCATGATTAAATGGGAAATATTTTCTGTATTAGATTTGTTTGTTTGAAATGTCCATCAGAGAAATGCACAACATGTTGTCTGTTCCCTATGAGCTGATGCGACTTACACTGCATGGAGCTATGCTCTCCAAGCCTCGTTTTCGAGGTCAATAGCTACGTGATGTACTCACGTTCGTCCAGACTGGCCCTCCACACCACGCAGCCCAGCACGACAGCATACAGGTACACGTTGTATCCCATCATGACACAGTCACTCCCCGTGCTCAAGTACTACCTGTACAACAACAAATATGACCATGGTTGCCATAGGTACGTACAACCTGATGGTGACAATCGTCAACCAGCAAGAGTTTAGCCACACATATTTAGTATTCAGCAAAAGTTGCTTCTAAATTATTACTGTTGCGAATGACAATATGCATTAAGAATATTATTCTTCACCATTAGTTGGGACTAAAGCGTTCAAATCAACAAGGTTTCTTTCCAGTTTGCAAGATTGTTCATGATGGGTTTACGTGAATGTTCACACAGTTAACAGTCGTTAACATAAATTGTCAATGCAAGAGAATAACCAGTCTAGATTATCCACCGAAACAGATTCCATTTGGCGTAAAGGGCAAAATAGCTATGAAAATTATATGAACGGACCACTGAAAATCAGTGATGACACGAGCTGTTCGCAAAAATGGCAAGCATGACCTGTCCACCCGGTAGCAACCGCCATTCACACAATTTGCATAAACAAACAAGTACGTATTGCCTCACGCAGCACAGCACTACTCCTACCCTGTAATATAACATACAAAATTCGCTCCTGGTGAATGCGAGTGAGTATGCTTGTAAGCCGCTTTTAGAAATATTCCAGCAATATCAGGGCGAGAGAACCAGAAAAGGAGACAGGGATGCCACATGATGCCATGTGTATCAATATAGACTAAAATATATATTTTGTTTTTATCTAATTTCATGAAGAATAAAGCTATCTAGTCGTGCTTATGTTTTTCATCTAGACTTAGTTTTATTCAATTATATCCAAATATTCTGGAGTCATGGTGGGCTAGTATCTATATTATTTGTTGTTTTGAAACTTTCGCATCTAGATCAGGAGTATCTACATTTCATTTTTGTCTGTTTGTTTCTACTAGAAATGCATATACATTTAAGTTGTCAAATTGTCCTGACATGATGAGTATATTTCTGATAGCTCCTTTTGTATTGAACGTCGTGCTATGGCTGAAAGCCTTTGCGACGTAAAACTTCATATTTCCATTCCATTCCTTTTGTATTCCTTTTGTATTTTATACTACTACTGCTGCCACTGTGGTTATTACCACTGTTATTACAATACCTCTATTACATGTCAAGCATCATATTAGTTATCCAATAATTATATAATGCGATGTACAGCTGTAAGTGATATTGTTTATCTGTATGTGTATATGGGCCAATGACCTTTCATACAATAAAGATTGATTGATTGATAGTATCTATATCACGGCTAGGACGTTCCGGTAGAGGGTAGAGCCACCAGGTAAACAACATTGTACTTTCACACCACTACTCCTGTATTGACAACCCACACAATCGGCTCAGGCAGTGCTATATATCGAACGTGTGAACATATTCTGACGAATAGAACAATATATCATATCAGAAAATATTCATTATAGAACATGCACCAGATGTTAATACCTGTTGACTGTTGACACCCATTAAACATTATTGGTCCACAATGCATGTTTTTATGGGTAAATGTATATTCCTGCACGGATCTGGTATTACTCTGCCCGAGTCGTTAATGACATACAACAATTATACTTACATACAACAGCTATACATACAATAGATAGATTAACAACAGATAGACAGAAGGACAACGTCATATAACCTACTTACTAAAACTTTGTGGACAGTGGACGTCATCTCGCGATCAAAATAAGACACTTGAAGTAAGTGGAAGGTTCGCCCAGGCTGAACACATAGCAGTGCCATTGTGAAACGAGTCACAATGTTCATGAATAGCACCGTGTATATACATGTACCTGCACCCGCCACTCGAAGCGGGGCATCTATTGACGGTGACCTCGACAAGCCTGTATGAAAGAAGCTCTCAGGATCTAAACGTCATGCATGCTTACGTTTGTCTGACGGTCGCCTGGCAGAGTGTCCCATAGGGTATTTATTTGGTTGTTTGTTTGTTGTTTAATGCCGCACTCAGCAATATTCCAGCTATATGACGGCGGTCTGTATATAATCGAGTCTGGACCAGATAATCCATTGATTGACATCATGAGCATCGATGGGATACGATGACATGCATCAACCAAGACAGCGAGCCTGACCACCCGATCCCGTTAGTCGCCTCTTACGACAAGCATGGTCGCCTTTTACAGCAATCATGGGTTGCTGAAGACCATAGGGTGCCATAGGGTATATGTTAGTTGTGTTTGGTTGTTGGGCTAATAATGGTACTTTTTATATATCTATTTCATATAGCAATTATATCATATATCATTTGAGTGGTGCGCGTAGTATGGTTTAACGCCTCTTTCAGCAATATTCCATTGAGACATTGAATGTGTGTGTGTGTGTGTGTGTGTGTGCGTGCGTGCGTGCGTGCGTGCGTGCGTGCTTGCTTGCGTGCGTGCGTGCGTGCGTGCGTGCGTGCGTGCGTGTGCGTGTGTGTGTGCAATAATCTGCAAACCCCAAAGACGTTAAAAGATGGTACTTGTTGTTACTCTGTCTGGCGCTCGGCATTAAGGGGCTAAAACAAGGACTGGTCGGCTCAGAGTCAGTATACTGTGTTATACTGGGTATACATGTTAAACTGGTATCTCAGTGAGCTACCACTATAAATCGGCATCAGACTGGTACAAGCAGCCACACACACATGCACACGTCGCTACAAAAGTGCAATAATCTTGGACGCCACGTTAAACCCCATTTCACCTCACGACCTTTTCACATCACCTTATACTGTAAGCCTAACGTACGAAATGTCCCAAGCCGAACTTATTCAGCTAATCTTCCAGTTCTACTTTTCCATTACGCCCTACGGAAACTGTTTCATGGGATAATCGGGACTGGTTTATATTCACTGAATACTTCAAACGTCACTTACTAAATTCTCCAGGCCTCAGTGAATACTTCAAGCATACCCTACTGAATACTTCAAGCCTGATAAACAGAATATCCCAAGTTTAACGTACCGATTATTCCACGCCTCACTTACTAAATACTCCAGGCCTCAGTGAATACTTCAAGTATAACGTACTGAATACTTCAAGCCTGATAAACAGAATATCATAAGTCTAACGTGTCGATTATTCAACGCCTCACTTACTAAATACTCCAGGCCTCAGTGAATACTTCAAGTATAACCAACTGAATACTTCAAGCCTGATAAACAGAATATCCCAAGTTTAACGTACCGATTATTCCACGCCTCACTTACTAAATACTCCAGGCCTCAGTGAATACTTCAAGTATAACGTACTGAATACTTCAAGCCTGATAAACAGAATATCATAAGTCTAACGTGTCGATTATTCCACGCCTCACTTACTAAATACTCCAGGCCTCAGTGAATACTTCAAGTATAACCAACTGAATACTTCAAGCCTGATAAACAGAAAATCCCAAGTTTAACGTACCGATTATTCCACGCCTCACTTACTAAATACTCCAGGCCTCAGTGAATACTTCAAGTATAACCTACTGAATACTTCAAGCCTGATAAACAGAATATCCCAAGTTTAACGTACCGATTATTCCACGCCTCACTTACTAAATACTCCAGGCCTCAGTGAATACTTCAAGCATAACCTACTGAATACTTCAAGCCTGATAAACAGAATATTCAAAGTCTAACGTACCGATTACTCCACGCCTCACTTACTAAATACTTCAAGCCTCAGTGAATACTTCAAGCCTAATGACACATAGGCTGCGCGTTCGGTTCCAAATTCAATTTAGCACGGTTATTCTACAGGCGGCCTATTCACGAAGCTGTCTTAGCGCTAAGATTGGCGTAAATATGTCGTAGCGAAAAACGTCTTAGTTAAGTCTATTCTCGAAGCTGTCTTAGCGCTAAGCTATCTTAAGTTTAACCAAGCTCTCCATTGAAAACACAGTATGTTCATCTAAATATACGGGCGAGAAGCTCCCATATTACCATAGGTGGCAGAAGGGTCGACTGTATAATGTACGGGCGTGGATCTTCCAAATAACATAGGTGGCAGAAGGGTCCACTGTTTAATCTACGGGCGAGGATCTTCAAAATAATATAGGTGGTAGAAGGGTCGACTGTTTAATGTACGGGCGTGGATCTTCCAAATAACATAGGTGGCAGAAGGGTCCACTGTTCAATGTACGGGCTAGGACCTCCCAAAGAACATAGGTGGCAGAAGGGTCCACTGTTTAATATACGGGTGAGGAGTTCCCAAATAACCCTTTAAAACATCATACAAAACGCTACTCCAACACACTATACGCTAGTGATATTGGTGCACATGTTTCAGTACCCGTGAAGATCCGGGGTAGAATAGGTCTTCAGCAACCAATGCTTGTCGTACAAGGCGACTGTGCGTGTCATTAGAGGCGACTGACGGGATCGGGTGGTCATGCTCGCTGACTTGGTCGATGCATGTCATCGATCCCAATTGCGTGGATCGATGCTCATGATGTCAACCACTGGATTGTCTGGTCCAGACTCGATTATTTACAGACCGCAGTCATATAGCTGGAATATCGCGACAAACAAACAAACAAAACATATTTCAGTCTGCTGTCACATCAACAGCTGCATCCTGCGTTGATAAAAAAAAAATATCCGCAAACCAATTATTGTTGCTTCCGGTTTTGAGATGATGTATACATAAGACAATGGCAAGGAAGTGGAGATCCCAGAGATTATTGTAGACGTAAGCTGGAAATAGCTGTATAAGGATGCGCACAACTGAGATAATATCAGTTTTACAATGCCCTTATATCCGCCGGGATATTTCTCTTACACTTTAGATTCATCAAGATAATCTCAAACAAATCTATGTTTACACAATGCCCTTTAAAAAGTGGTCAAATGTAACAAGAAAGTGTTATCCCAAATATAACATTAGTTAAATCTCTGTTTCTTCAGAAATGTTTCCGTATTCAGTGCCTACACGCCCGTGTGTTCTGCGAGATATACTGAACAAAAAAGGTTGGGGTCGTGAATGTTTGGGGGATATTATTTGTAGTAAAGACTGGGCACACAATTCCATTAAAAAAATTCATGGTCCCAAACTTTATTGTTTAGTATAATTATCTACAATTAATGCACTGGAGCAGCGTTAGAAATTGGCACTAGTCATGTAGTCCTTGCAAAACTGCCCAATAGTTAAGGTATCCTAAGGACGAGTAGAAATTTGCCATTTGTAAGAGTTTTGCTGTATTTTCATAATAGGGTCTAGTGGACTAAAAATGTTTGTTTCTAATACTATAAATGTCGTGTGTCACGGTGAGTTTGTGTGGGTGCATTACTGCCTGAGCTAGTGCGTGAGTGAGTGAAGACTAAAATGATCCCAACAGCGGCGTTTTTAGTCGGAACTGTATTGCATCCTCTGAAAAGCAAAAAAATGGAGACTGGGTATAGCATTATATCAAAAATACTTTCTAGTCAAAAAAATATTTAAAAAGGTGGTGATTGTGTGTAATTGTTCTTATAAGGAAGTTATTGCTTCCAGACTCACTTTCTTAAAGACATGTGGTTTGGTTTGGTTTGTTCTTTAACGCCGCACTCAGCAATATTCCAGCTACATGACGGCGGTCTGTAAATAATCGAGTCTGGACCAGACAATCCAGTGATTAATATCATGAGCATCGATCCACGCAATTGGGATCGATGACATGCATCAACCAAGTCAGCGAGCCTGACCACCCGATCCCGTTAGTCGCCTTTTACGACAAGCAGTCACCTTTTACGGCAAGCATGGGTTGCTGAAGACCTATTCTACCCCGGAATCTTCACGGGTCTGATTCAGCTGGGGCATTAGTAAATCCAGCAAAAATAACCATTATTTAAGCAATCTTTCTACATTATACTAAACGTAATTAACTAATCAGCGCAGACCCGACTCCCTATCATTCTTCTACTAATACGAGACACGCGCTGCCCAGAGTTGGCTTCCACCCCTGGTGGTAGTTTCCGGTCAATATGTGCTCCCGGTTTTGACCCAAGACAGTCAACAGCACCTGTTTTGGGGTTGATAGTGCTAATTCTGTCGTAACACAGGGAAATATAACCGATGTGACCTTATATAATAACTCTCTCTCTCGATCGATCGATCGGTCGGTCGGTCGGTTGGTTGGTTGTTTAACGCCGCACTCAGCAATATTCCAGCCTGACCACCCCGATCCCATGGCGGCGCCCAGTCAAGACGATCTGATTGACAATCAAGATCTAGATGTGATAAAACGTATCTTACATTGCGAAGTTCATCAAATCATGTGAGCCCCTTGATTAAAAACATGAAAAGATTTAGAAAATATCTGTTGACACCGAGTTAGCTGTGCACATGATTTTGCAAATCCTGCAATCGAAATCTGAAGGACAGTTTACGAACCGGATTTCGATTTCATTGCGCGATTTTCATTGGACTATGCATATACCGTATTCGACGTAATAAGCGCCAAGGGCGCTCTCAAAATTAGAAATAGAGGACTCTTATTAAAATATTATTTTGGTGGGACAGCCTGAAATATTTGTGTACGGCAGATATATTTTTCCAGAATTTAATTGCCCATATTAATGGTGCATATAACACAGGAGGGCGTATTATACGCGAATGAATAAGTCTTGTTTACATTGATCAATCGGAAAGGGTGCTAATTGGGATTGTTCACGTGCCAATATATTAGCAAATATCGCCGTTGGGCGCTTATTAGAGCGATGCGCCTATTACGTCGAATACGGTACTCGTTAGTCCAGCCAAAATCTCGCCCCGTAATTCCAGCCTAGTTCGGCAAGGGTGGAAACTGGACTTTTATAGTCAGTTAACTCTCTTGCCTCGGGAAGATGTTCGATGACTTGTGTTTAGCCATAGTTCGTGAGAGACACGCTATACTTATCCTGACCGGGATACAATACAACACTTTCACATCCCAGCTCCAAACAAGAAAGACGCGACCTCAGCCTCAACAGTGTAGCCATTGGTTTTGCTGGGACAAACAAGTCTTATTGACAACATTAACTAACAAGAAGAAGTTAGAAACCATGACATCCCATTCCGAATCTACAATTTCAAAGAAAAGTTGAGCATACAGATTCATTTTTTTCCGAAAAAGTTTTAAAAAATGTCCACACTTCATGTTCCACGGATTTACTACAGTCTGCCCCGACACAGACAATAATTAGGACAAGTGATCTATAAAAAAAAACACCTATTTCATAATAACACAAGACTGCTCTGCTTAAAGCACTCTAAAAGTCTGCATAGAGGGAATGTGTTGGGAGCCACCCAAAGAAAGTATACTACTTAAGCCATGGAATTTGATAAAGTGGTCAAAGGGAAATAACTCTACGAATGTACATCATCCTTGATTCATCAATGAATGATATACCACTCAAAATATGTTAAGGCCCACACGATTCTTTCATTTACTATAGCTTACCTGTCACGGCAACTTATTTTGAGTAGTATATATCAAAGATGATCTAAAAATTAAATCCAAGCAATACATTTCATGTGTAAAAGTTTATTCCTCAGAAATTACATGTAGGCCACCCATTTCTTATTTTCCGTTTCATTGCCTGTCGCCTCAACTGAAAAGCAGCCTGTGTAAGAAATAAATTAAACATAAAAACATTAATTTTTATTATGTCAGTAATATAGACTCTCTTATACAATACAAGTAGTTACATATAAACCTGTGTCTCCTTCATTATCAGTGATTCAAGAGGCCACCTGCAGATTCAACTCCACGTCAGAATGACTTTCATATTAATAAATAAACAATTGACATTTAATTATTATTCTTATTTCAACCATCCTTGTGTGGAAAAGCTGTAATAAATCCGTGAAACATAAAATTAAAAACGTATGGCCTTACAATGACATTTATAACATAATTTTTAAAATCTATACAATTTCATCCAATACCTTTTAATAAAAGTAATAATATTAATATGTGTCTGATATCCAGCACCAGAAAGTATGTATTTGTAATATTTTGTATACATGTAATTTTTCCTCAAGAGGAATGTTTAACATGACTGTATTTCTGTTTGTTTGTTTGTTTAATGCCACACTCAGCAATATTCCAGCTACATGATGTCAGTCTGTAAATAATCAAGTCTTGACCAGATAATCTCTCTTTTGACAGCATGAACATTGATCTACGCAACTGAAATAGGGATGATATGCAATCATCAAAGTCAGTGAGCCTGACTCCCCTCCCCCCCCCCATGAAGTCGCCTCTTACAACCAGCTTGGGTTGCTAGGGACCAGTTCTAACCCAGAATCCCCTGTATAAGGAGGGGTTTAGACATGCATGCAGTAGCTGAGGCCTACCCTGTCCTATAACACCAGCAATGAGAATAATTGGCAGCTGACTAATGTCAACTGCCGTATCACATTCTCATGAGGGGCGGTAAATGTTTCCCTGCCCTGTGAGAACCATGTGAAAATCTTGCATTAATTTTATCAAAGATAAAAAGAAATCAATAGTAGAGTGAGTGAATGTTGTTTAACGTTGCAGTTGAAAACATTCCAGCTATATCCCAGTATCTAGCAAAAACTCAAGCCTCTTTGAGGAAATCCAGTAGTCTGTCTTACAGACCCTGATACAAATATATATCAAATACAGCCCATGCAAGTCTATAATGTTTGGCAAGTCTAGATTACTGCAGTGAAGAGAGTCACTGGGCTCCCTTTTATTATATTTTTATTAAGAACAACTGTTTTTTCTGTACGATATGTTCAATTCAGAGACTAGATGTTAGTCTAGAAATCCAGTGGTAAACAGCATTAGTTGTCATCAGAGCATATCGGCACAAGACACGTAATCAGCCAAGTCACACATAACATCACTCATTCCTCATTAGTCTGCTATTAGGGACTGGTCATTTATTATGATGATGTGGGGGTGGGGTTGGTCTTAGGACTGTATCATATTATTTTGCCAAACGTTTCAACATTGTTTTATGGCCCCTTCGAAAATACAGGTGACATTTACCCAGGACCTCCCCATCCCCTCCCCATACTCCCCTAATTTTCTGTGACAAAAAATAGAATTTTTTCATGCCCCCTTTTCCATCCTTTAATCCCCCTCCCCTATCATAAATGACCAGTCCCTCAGGACAAGTATGGGCACCATTTCTACATCTTCCCGAGGCAAGAGAGTTAACTGACTTTAAAAGTCCAGTTTCCACCCTTGCCGAACTAGGCTGGAATTCCTGGGCTCGATCATAGCGCCACCAGTGGCTGTTACGAGTTATGTCCTTTCTATGCCTCTCCTATTGACCAATCAGATTCAACCTCTCGTATCACTTGCATTTGCTTCAAACAAAACAGTGGCGCCCAGTCAAGACGATCTGATCGATAATCAAGATCTATATTGTGATAAAACGAGTCTTACATCGCGAAGTGCATCAAATTACGTGAGCACCTTAATTAAAAACAGGAAAAGATTTAGAAAATATCCGTTGACAACGAGTTAGCGGTGCACATGCTTTGCAAATCCTGCAGTCGACCGAAATCTGCATGACACTTTACGAACCGGATTTCGATTTCGGTGTGCGATTTTGATTGGACTATGCATAGACTTGTTAGTCCAGCCAAAATGTAACTCCATAATACCAGCCTAGTTCGGCAAGGGTGGAAACTGGACTTTTATAGTCAGTTAACTCACTTGCCTCGGGAAGATGCATTTCTTCCCCTGGATCCCGATCTTTGTCATGCATCAAATACAAGCATGACGTGATTGGGAAAGTCAGGAGACAAGCACAAGTCACACATGATATAATAAACTGGCGTATCAAATACAGGACAGGATCTGCATGTGCAGTAGTTTTCTTACCTGTATGACATGGACTGACTAATCACAATTTAATTCCATAATGACAACTACGGAATTGCTGATTGCCGCCATCTATGTTTACACTACAGTTCTCATTCATACGAAGTCATTAGGTTTTTTAATTCCTACTCAAATATTCTGATATATGTGACAAGTTATTGCTTGCAGTTCAAAACTAAGATTACAAAGAATTAAGTGTTTTCTTCGGCTGCGATCATGGTGAATTTATAGCTCATGGAGTGAAATGTAAGGCCCATGCTTGCCAAAAGTGGCCCATAAACTGTGTAAATTTGGGGTCAAGGCCCCGGAAGAAATTGTCCTTCCAATAACTGAGCATGATTCAGGAGGATGGTAAGCAGGCCTGAAGATGAGTCTTGACACTGTCATCAAGAGCAAAAAGATTCAACATGTCTACTTCCAGGGGGTGCATGTGACCTGGTATAACCAATGAATGAAGAGGTTCACCAAGGTCAACTGAGGTCAACTGCTGCAAAGTCGCAACACATATCTTCTGGTCATCACAGCCAACCCTTGCCAGTCCAACACACACAGTATCCTCTGACAGAGCTGAAACAGTTGCAACAGGACACTGAAATAACATGGAACTAGCATCCTCCAATTACAAAAGCATGTGTGATGAAATAAATGTAAATATGAATACCTCCCAGTACACAAAATCCATATGCCATAAGCGTTAAAAAAAATGTGGGCAAATGTGTGATTACATAAGGATTGACTGTGTGTAATTTTCGGTTTATTGAGGTATAAATTGAAAAAAATGATGATGTGCAATATGTATGAATTTTCATAGCCCACACGCACGTGCACGCACGCACACGCACACGCACACGCACACGCACACACATACCCCATACCCCTACTCACACACACTCTATATAAGTGCAATAATCTTGAATGAGATGTGAACCCTAATTCACCCCACATGACCTCTTATGCAATGGTCTGTAAATCATGGGAGTCAGACACATTATGACTTGTAGCAGTATCACTCAGGGCACATGATAAGTTGAAGCAGGATAATGAGGAGTGCATGGGGTTTTACATGTGTTAACGCGGGATACATAAAATCCCCATCTTCCCGAGGCAAGAGGGTTAACTGACTTTAAAAGTCCAGGAAGTCCTGGGCTTGATCATAGCGCCACCAGTGGCTATTACAAGACATGTCCCTTCTGTGCCTCTCCTATGGACCAATCAGATTCAACCTCTCGTATCACTTGCATTTGCTTCAAATAAAAAGGGTGGCACCCCGTCAAGACGATCTGATCGATAATCAAGATCTATATTGTAATAAAACGGGTCTTACATCGTTAAGTGCATCAAATCACATGAGCACCTTGATTAAAAACAGGAAAAGATTTGTAAAACATCTGTTGACAACAAGTTGGCAGTGCACATGCTTTGCTCTGCATAGACTCGTTAGTCCAGCCAAAATGTAACTCCATGATACCAGCCTAGTTGGGCAATGGTGGAAACTGAACTTTTATAGTCTGTTAACTCACTTGCCTTGGGAAGATGAAAATCCCATGTATCAAGTGATACTGCTACAACGTATTAATCTTACGACATGTTTTAATCTGTCATTGTAAAAGAATTAAAACAAATTTAAAATTGACAGAAAACAGCTGTTCGATTGAGCTGAGGTTTACCATGTCACGTGACTTTCACTGACTCGTAAAACATGTGCAGCTTTTTTGCTTCAAAGTGGGGTATAAGGGATTTATTTTCCTGGTCAGAAATCCATGTGCAGCCTGACTTCTTCGTGGCAGGGTATAAGGGATTTATTCTGCCGCTCAGAAACATAATTCCCTCCCAGGCGGGATACATTGTATTTTAGCAAGATCACATGAACCAATCAGATCTCATCATTCTGGAGGTATGATAATAGTTGTTGACAGCAACGATCAAGCCCTTTTGAGTAAGATGACACACAATCAACGAGGTCACACATCTCAATCCCTGTTTATTATATCTCCATCAAAAAACAGCTCTCTGTCATTTTGGTGTTGTAAGTGAGATATCACTGCAATAGGTTTAAGACAGCTTCAAGTATTGCTATTATGGCAGTCGTAGTGTTTGCTCTAAATGACAAAGATTTGTTTTAACTAAGACAACTTTATCAGTAAGCCCCCAGATCCTGATACACATCAGAACTAATGACTACCAAGGATTCTGGAGACTGCAAGAGAATTTCTTCCAGTGACTGAGGACACATCATATGATATGGTAGACATAAAAAAATTTTGTATACATAACATTGTATCCATCAGAGGTGAGGGGAAATGGGGTTTAACGTCGCGTCCAAGATTATTGCACTTATATAGCGACGTGCATGCACATGTATGTGTGTGTGGCTGCTTGTACTAGTCCGGACTGATGCCAATTTATAGTGCTAGCCCACTGAGATACCATTCCGCAGTTTAACATGAATACCCCACTCAGACACAGTATACTGACTCCGAGCCGACCAGTCCTTGTTTTAGCCCCTAATGCCGAGCGCCAGACAGGGTAACAACAAGTACCATCTTTAAACGTCTTTTGGTATGACGCGGCCAGGGATCGAACCCCGGACCTTCCGCTCTCCGGGCGGATGCTCTACCACTAGACCACGGAGGCGGTCTGTATCCATCAGAAGTTAGTGTACACATAATAAGATAGTACCAGTATATACATCTTGTATACATCAAGTGAAAATCTCACCGAGATTCTGTTCTCCCTCTTTACCCTTCCGCTGCACAATCTCCAGGAGCTGCTCCGCTGCCTGACTCACAGACATAAACCGAGGGGGCTCATATATCTTATTACCCCTGAAACAGAGATACATGAATGTTGGCCGTTCATCAGCATTTTGTCCATCCTATATTTTTTAAAGGGGCGGTCTGGTAGCCTAGTGGTTAAAGCGTTCGCTCGTCACGCCGAAGACCTGGGTTCGAATCCCGACATGGGTACAATGTGTGAATAATAATAACGTACACATAAATATGATTAAATTTGGGAAATATTTATGTCAATTTTATAATTGATGTCAGTGAACCAAAGGTTTATAGTTTTTCAGCAACAATACTCACTTCATCAAGTTTTCAATTGTTTGTTCCTTCATTTTTATATCTGGAATGAAAGATAAATAGTTGAAATGGGCATTTATGACTACAGATGTGTAGTTGACAGGAACAATCCAGATACTTCAGGGGTAACCTTGTGGTTGAAGCGTTCGCTCATCACGCCAAAAGGCCTTGGTTCACTATCCCACATGGGTGGAACGTGTGATGCCCATTGCTGATGTCCCTGCCATTATATTGCAGGAATACTGCTACACAGGTGCTACACTTGTGTATTGTAATCACTACACAGTTGCCATGGTAATTATGGGTTCAAAACAAAGCATGAACATCAGAATATTCAAATACGGCAGCAAAAAACTTACAAGTACCACATAACCCCCTTTGTTTCAAACACTCCAGTGATAGAAGAAGTAAAAATATTCAGGAATTTAAGGGTGATCCAGGAAGCAGTGAGTAGGTACGTGGAGGCCCATAAGAGTTGTGTCCCTTAGAACACAGTATTGTCAACACAAGCTGTAGCTCGGCACAACCTTCTTCAAATGATACTAGGGATTCTCCACTGTCCTACAATAACACGTCATGAAATAAAAAGTATTCTTATAAAAATATGTGAAACACCATCAATAATTATTCAAGCTTTAACATTCCATGCCAACTGGTGAAGAAGTGTTGTACATTGTACCATAGATACCTGCTTTTTACAGGTTATTTCATGCTGCACTCAGAAATATTCCAGCTATATGACAGCGGTCTGTAGATAATCGAGATTGGACCACACAATCCTGTGATTGACATCACGAGCTTCGATCTACACAATTTGGACATGATGACATGCATCAACCAAGTCAGCGAGTCTGACCCCCCGATCCTATTAGTCGCCTGTTACAACAAGCATAGTCACCTCTTATGGCAAGCATGGGTTACTGAAGACCTATTCTGTACCCTGATCTTCACGAGTCACCTACCTTTTAGATAAAGCCGAAGGTGGTGGTAGTTATGGGGGTCAAAACAAAACATAAACAGTTAAGTCTTTGATAGGCATTTAGAAGTTGGGTGAACATGACAGCTAGTTTCAAACACCCAAGTTTTTGAGGTGGTGAGGTGAAATGGGGTTTAACGTTGCGTCCAAGATTATTGCACTTATACAGCAACGTGCATGCACATGTGCGTGTCTGTGGCTGCTTGTACTAGTCCGGACTGATACCAATTTATAGTGTTAGCACACTGAGATACCATTCGCAGTTTAACATGAATACCCCACTCAGACACAGTATACAACAAGTACCATCTTTTAACGTCTTTTGGTATGAGGCGGCCGGGGATCAAACCCCGGACCTTCCGCTCTCCGGGCGGATGCTCTACCACTAGACCACGGAGGCGGTCCCTCAAGTTTTTGAAGTAACAGTAATAAAACAGATGGGTGATTCAGACAGCAGAGAGAGTCACAGCTTGAAAGCCTGCAAGAGTTGTGTCCCTTAGAACACAGTATTGTCAGCTCACTCTGAAGTATCGAGCACAAGCTTGTAGAATAATAAACAGGGATTCACCATGTCAGGAAATAACAGTATAAAAAGAATTGTTATGAAAAAATGGGAAACACTGGACATAATTAAATTCAGGCTTTATTGTTCTGTGTTACTTGGTGAAGAAATGATGTACCATAGACACCGGCCTCACAGATACAGCCAACAATCAAAATAGACTGCTGGCTATTACAGACAAATGTCTTGCTTAAAAAAACCTGTAACACACATTAAACATGACATGGCATTGGGTGTCCCGTGCAAAACAGTCCTTCCCATGACCATTCAATCTATCAAGATGTTCATCCTTCTGCAACACTTTGATCAAATATGAGACAAATATTTATTTTTACTATTTCATTATTTTTTCCAGAAGATAACTTCTGAACTTGTGTACATTACCTAGTAGACACAAGGTGTGCATCCCCCTGTCCCTGTTGACTGCTATCTTGTCATAGAAGCTGTCTGGTCTCCAGGTGTCTGTCCAGAACACAATAGACACTGCCTCACCATAGTTGTATAACTGGAAATCACAATATCTCTTCCATCAGAATTGCAAGAAAGACATACCTACGGTATGGATACAGGTGATTCCAAAGTGAGCAAACCACAAATTTGAAAAGAAAAAAATGGAGACTGGGTATAGCATTATATCAAAAATACTTTCTAGTCAAAAAAATATTTAAAAAGGTGTTGATTGTGTGTAATTGTTCTTATAAGGAAGTTATTGCTTCCAGACTCATTTTCTTAAAGACATGTGGTTTGGTTTGGTTTGTTGTTTAACGCCGCACTCAGAAATATTCCAGCTATATGACGGCGGTCTGTAAAATAATCGAGTCTGGACCAGACAATCCAGTGATTGACATCATGAGCATCGATCCACGCAATTGGGATCGATGACATGCATCAACCAAGTCAGCGAGCCTGACCACCCGATCCCGTTAGTCGCCTTTTACGACAAGCACAGTCGCCTTTTACGGCAAGCATGGGTTGCTGAAGACCTATTCTACCCCGAAATCTTCACAGGTCCTTAAAGACATGTGACTGTGACATACTTGCAACATTGTAATCGAGAAGTGTTCCAAGTTTTGGGAGGTACTTTTTAAGTTTGTGTCTGTAGAACTGAATCAAGGGACAACCTAAATCTTTAACATTAACACACCAGCAATGACAAGGACTTGGCTTACATGCTAAATTTCAAACACAGTAGCCATGGTAGCTGTTGATTACTGCTTAATGACGAATCTGCAATTTTGCCACTATTTGTGTTGATTGTAATATATCTGAATTTGAGCCCGTGAAAAGCCTCCTTAAACACTCATTCTACCATGAATTTGGAATTTACTCGATTCTGATTGGTCAATCAGAGGCTATTAAATCACAATAAACCCCCTCTGATTGAAACAGATGGTTTGACGGCCGCATCACCGCGGAAGCTAATATTCATAGAATAGTACTATTTTCAGTCATTGTCGGTAGGCATATTTAAATAACTATATCTACAATTACAGGTTACAAAATTCCCAGATGCGGTTACTACAATATTCAAAGGATGTGTGGCAATACATTTCGTGCAGAAAAACACGATAGAAATCAACAAAGGGAATGTATTTACGTTTTGGAGACAACAGAGAGCTTGGAATTTTGGTGCTTTTCTATACACGACCGTGACGTCATATTTTTTGCGTCACAATCAGCGATATGACGTCATAATGGTGACGCGCGATGTAGAGCGAAAGCCTTGCAAAACTTGCTTTGTTTTCTTTCGGGATGCCCACCTCATGTTAGCTTACCAAGTTGACGTGCTTATATGCTTTCAATGCCTGTCATATGTTCGAATGAAGTATTACGGTGTAAACAAACTGCTTGAGTATATACAGCATCATATTTTGTTTGGTGATTCCGTAATTCAGATCGATAACCCACTCAAAACACTGAACTCAATCCATGCCGCTTCACTCAGTATATTTGCTAACACCAAAGAGTTCGCGGTTTATTTAGTCATGGTAGAATGGAGATAAACAAACTGTGTTTTCAATGTAGAGCTAGGTTACCTGTAGATTTAACCCCGCTAAATTTAACATTTGAAACCTCACGCTGCGCGTTCGGTCCCAAATTCAATTTAGCAGGGTTAAATCTACAGGTAACCTAGCTCTACATTGAAAACACAGTATGTTTATCTCCTAAATGTAAAACATTCAAGATGTATTTAACTGGATAAACTGATTTAATAGTCTCAATGTAATAAAATCACTAATTACAAACAGACCTCAGTGGGACATGGACACCAGATTGTAGAGACCAGTGAATCTTTAACATCTCACATAACCACCCACCTGCAAGCCACAGCAACCTACAGCATTCATGATGGAGGCATTGTGGACCACTCGGTACTGTATTCCCTTCTCAACAGCTCGTAGGATCAGGTCAGTGTGGGTTGTCGCTCTGTCAACAATGAAACACTATTACACCACAAATATTGTTTTATACAGACAAGCTTTCTTAATAGTTCTAAAAACAATCATAACAAATTCTAAATTCAAACATATTGAACTATATATAGCATGGGCGGATACAGCTTTTTTGAAAAGGGGGGATGCACAACTAAGATCTATTTATTGTCTTTGGTGGTAATGTATACAGAAATAAAGATTTTTTTCGAACCCCCCCTCTGTATCCGCCCATGTATATGATGAATGTGGTTATACTTAGATGTATCAGTGTATAGAATCTCAGCTATAGGTCTAAGGGAAGTGAAAATATGCATGACGTCAGACAATGCACACCAGCCACTGAAACTGTTTTGAATCTTTTGCCTGAACATATTTTCAACTTCATTCTTGCTTAACATGCAAGACTGTTGGAGGATTTAGTCAACTGTTCCAGTCAAGTTTGGATCATACAACAAAAATATTCTGTTTGTGAAATACAAAACTTAAAGTGGATTTATTAATTCCTTCTTGTTCTCATATGCAGTGACTGATAGAGTGAGCATCACAGTGGCATATAAATAATTGAGTCTGAGGCAAATGAGTATTTAATACACTGACAGTGCATCATATAAATTACCCAAGAGGATCTCCAACTACCAGAAACGCCACATCTGACTTGTCTGCACCATCCAACAACTCATCTGTAATTAGAGTTATCCAAATCTCAAAATGTGTTGCTTCAACTGTGTGTATCATCCACAAAGTGACAGTGAGGTCAATACATGAGCAAAAAAGACCAATCAGACTTGTTGTGTACATAATCCTCAAACAAGGACAATTTGGTGATGCTCTAAAAAACAATTTCTATGTACAGACACAATGACAATATGGGTAAGATACTAATAAATATGTAACCCATCGTTTAGTATTCATACGCCAACATGACATGAAAGTCTTATGGTGACTGAGTGAGTGAGTATGGTTTTACGCCGCTTTTAGCAATATTCCAGCAATATCACGGCGGGGGACACCAGGAATGGGCTTCACACATTGTACCCATGTCAGGAATCTAACCCGGGTCTTCGACGTGACGAGCGAATGCTTTAATCACAAGGCTACCCGACCGCCCCGAAAGTCTTATGGAAACTTGATGCATCATGATGAGTGGTGAATTAGTGAATCGACTAATCTTTGCTATTCACCAGAGACACATGAGGATGAAGTGAACATTGCTATACGATCTAAGATCCTAATTCGGCCATGAAAAACACAGCAGAACATGGCTGCAGTTGTCAATGCCTCCTTTCTTGTATACTGTAACATAATACACTGACTGATATCGTAAAAGGATTAAAAAGCAACTGCACTAATTGCTAAAACCGCCCCGAAAGTCTTATGGAAACTTGATGCATCATGATGAGTGGTGAATTAGTGAATCGACTAATCTTTGCTATTCACCAGAGACACATGAGGATGAAGTGAACATTGCTATACGATCTAAGATCCTAATTCGGCCATGAAAAACACAGCAGAACATGGCTGCAGTTGTCAATGCCTCCTTTCTTGTATACTGTAACATAATACACTGACTGATATCGTAAAAGGATTAAAAAGCAACTGCACTAATTGCTAAATCTTGGCGATATTTCCAAATTATATATTCTCATACATCCTTGCTTACCCTATTTCCGAACAGTTATATGAGAAAATAATACTTTGGTTAGCATATTATACCCTCGATCTCTAGTTAACCCCAACAGGGTTCATGTCAAAACTACACAATTCACTATCTGGAATAACTACTTTCAATGTTATGACCAATATGTGGAAACAGAAACTCTATTTCTTGTGAAACATGAACCTTGAAATGTACCTGATTGTTGCTCAACCATGTCTCTATCAGCAAGAATTACTTTTCGTCCATAGTATTCCTCCTGAAAAAATATCATTCTGTTCATTATTTTAGTCTATTATTTTATTAGGTCTTTAGAAGGCATTTAGAAGTGATTAACATAAGGAAAAGAATATAGGGATGTCAACTTCTTTATTATGAGGAACACAACGTTTCTGAGTATATGCTTACTCCTTCATCAGGTGGATATTCTCTTCCTTATTATTTTATTACCTATAGGGGCTAGTGGATAAGAACTGAGCCAGCTGGGGACTCAACACGTAGACTGTAGGCTTCAGTGACAATTATTTGGTGTTACCATCTTGTTTCACGAAAACATTTCAAGAAGGAAACAAGTGAAATAAATGGAATATTGTCATGATCTTGATTATCATAATCTGTTTTAACATTTCGGAAAATCATGAAAGGTGACTAATAACGATCACATATTTAGTAAAATATCCACACATTATTTACCAATGCTTCCTTGCCAACTGTCAGGATTGATGTGTACGCTTCAAGGTAAACCCTTTCAGCATTCTTAACAACTTCTAGGCCTTTCACAGTTATATCTTTTACATCCCCCAACCCCAAACCAACCAGATAAAACATGATTAAAGTACTAATTTCAATCAAAACACCGTCTCAGAAATAACAAGCACATGTCCAAATGACAGGAAGTTGTTTTCTGCTACAGTTGGTTGTATGTACTGTTACATTTGATTGGATGTAATGAAATTCAGGAACCAATCATAATGTTTATACTAGACGCCTTCGTACATTAGTTTCCGGTTAAACAGAAGAGAGGAGAGTTGATTTGTCATTCAACAAAGATTCAGGAAAATATTTAGATATTGGAAAGTACTGAGATCACATTAATCCACAAAATGTACAGTTTTGAAGGAGATTTCAGAAGAAAGCCCGTTCAGTCCTTGAGGGGTGCAAGTAAAAAGGTATTATGATCTGGTGATTACTTCTTTTGGTCAAGCGAAACTAATCTTCAATCAGCTGTTTTGGTTTTCAGTCTAAACATTGAGACAATTATAGTTTTTTTACATGGAGACGAAGGCGGCCCACCTCATATATTTCTATTGTTCGTTTGAAGACTCTACACGAATAATTATTGCGACTTGGTATTTCTGCGTAGTTGATCATAATGACCCATCATTTTGTAGTCTAATCCAAAATTGTAATCTAGGCCAAATTCAGTAATTTTGATTGTAATCCTACTGGGTCAAAAGCTTACACATTAATTAGGCCCAATTTAATTACAGATATGTTGTAAGCTCTTTCTAAAATTCAAATTATAACCGATATTTTAACAGTGATGCACTGTGGATTATAATGATGGAATTTTTGTCAGTGTCAATGTCAGTGTGTACATCACTGTTTGTTATTTGTTTGTTTGCCGAGCCTAACTGCCCACTCGATTTAGATATCTCTTATGACAAGCAAAGGTTGCTTGGAATCAATATTCTCTGTTTACAATAATCTCGTGGGGTCATATATGTATTCTGTATAATAATTGATATCATTGAGTCTGTGACTAGACATCTTAGCCAATGTTTAATTTGTTTGTTGCCATCATGGTCATTATCAATTTTAGTATGTCAATCAAAAATTGGGATCTTTTGTTGTCTTGTCTCAGTGCTTCAGGGGTGGTGGGCAAAGTGTTCACTTGCCATGCCGAAGACCTGGTTTCGATTCCACACATTGGTGCAGTGTGTGTAGCCCCTATCTAGTGTCCCCGCTGTGATATTGCATAAATATTGCTGAAATATTGCTATAACCGGCATAAAACTCTCTCATTCAGTGCTTCAGCTTGAGTAAAGCAAATATGGCCTTCTACCATGTCTACATTCAGACTACCTACATGAACATATTCCTGAAACCAAGCCCATCGTTTCCAAATGTCACTTACCCCATAAGCATGATAAATATTCAAGTCATTCTGATACTGTTATAATTAAGTATTTGGATGATGTCCTGATCAAAGTCATGAAGAATTTTGCCATTTTACATGTTGTAGGAACAGAAAGAATCACTGCTGAAGAGAGCACAAGAAGAAAGGCAAAAGAGAGAGGTAATTATCTTGTGCTGGTACAGTGGTAGAAAGTATAATACAATTAGTTTTATCATTGTTAACCTATATAAGACTAAATGGATGTTAAATGTATTCCTATTTATATAACTTATAAAGATTGCAAGTTCAGATATGCCATGAGATTGATAAATGATTGTTTTTTGTCCTATTTTTTTTCATAAATATCCATAATTGCTAAGAAAAAATTAACTAATCTTTACCGTGTTCACATACAGCTTATTTTACATTCTTGTTCTGTTCTGCTAATGATCATGCTAATTCAACATGTTGAAGTGTACCGCTATCCTTTATTAATGTGACATCACTGTTACTTAGCTAGGGTGGGAAGGAGCGCAGAGCGTAACTCACTATCTGGTCAAGTAGATTAATAGGTCTTCAGTAGTACATGATCATGTCAATAACAGTCCTGCAGCAAAGGTCTGTTAATCTTGCAAACAAATATTACCGTAATAACCAAGTTGAATATGTTGTCAGAGATCAAGCAGTAGAAAACAAACTCAGTTCAAACGTCAATGAGACTAAATCGTTTTTTAAAATACAAGTTACGCAGTTTTTCTGCAATAATATACCCCTTTTACACTGCTGTGTTTACTTTTTAAAAAAAGTAATATGCACAAAAAGAAACAGACTGTTATGTAAAGTTTTGGAATTATTTCAGGGTGCTTAAAAACATTACTTACAGATTTGTCTGTAAATTGGTAAAGGGTCACTCTTTGGAGCAAAGCACTGATACAGTGAATATGGTTAAGTACCTGTTGTGACAAACATGATAATTGGGATGACAATTAATATATTCAGCATTTCACGACATTTGGTGAATCATTACACACCTATCAATAATAATGTAATATATGTTGAAAACAAAAAAAATCAGACAGGTGGGATGTGAAACGAACAAATTTTTTCTACTAGGCCACTGATATATTTATTACCAGCCACAGGGGCGGTCGGGTAGCCTAGTGGTTAAAGCATTCGCTCATCACGCCGAAGATCCGGGTTCGAATCCCGACATGGGTACAATGTGTGAAGCCCATTTCTGGTGTCCCCCGCCGTGATATTGCTGGAATATTGCTAAAAGCGGCGTAAAACCAAACTCACTCACTCACTCACTATTACCAGCCACAGCTTTACCATGTTTACAAGTATACACTTATCTCAAATGCTGATCACCTTGTTTGTTGTACTGTTACCAGGGTATTTTGGATTACAGTTCTAATATGAACATTTTATGAAATCTTACAAAGTGTTTGGGTAAATTATTAAATGGAAATAGGAAGGATGATTGTATCTTGTTGAGTCAAGACCAGTGAGAGTATATCATGAGAAATCCAATTTTTGGGGAGACGGGAATAATTACATGGTCAGAAAAATGTTAAGGAGATAAAGTATATGGTCAGAATGTAGATAATTAACTTTGACGAATGCCATAATACCTGTTTTCCTTTCTATTTCGTGTCTGACCGATGAACTTAATGTTAGATTGAGGATTGCATTAGGAAGGAAGAGTTTAGTAATCAACGAACAGAGGGATAAGTCGAGGTGTTGTCTTGGGAAAGAATAGTTTTTTAACGTTAATCCAAACTGAATCTGGGTCCCGTTCCACAAAGCGATCTTAGCGCTACAACTATCGTAAGCCAGTGTTTAAGTATGGAAGTTACGATCACCTTAGCGCTAAGATCGCTTTGTGGAACAGGGCCCTGGAGATCAAGGGAAAAGGGACTTGCTAGTATCTATTTAAGGATAAGGGAATTTGAAACTAATTTGGCACGATGCCAAATGAATGATATATAGTTAATTGTCAGAGAGTTGTGCTGGGTCCGCTACACCCTTGGTTCACCAAGAAGGTCCTGATATTCCAGAAACGGGGATCGCAAACTCTTAGAAGGTTCTAGTGAACCTGACTCTTCCATGCGTCATCTAGCTTTGCCTAATAATTATTCTGCCATATTGTCATGATTATAGTAACATATAACCCTGTAACATGTTTAACTTTTTTACCCTTTGACTCATTCATCATGTTGTGGAGTAGAATAGTCCACTTTATTATATGTTGAGGGTTCTTTTGGCTTGTATTTGTAGGGAAATCGACAGAGAAATCTGAGTGCATGTAAAATACAAGCATTCTTTCGAGGATTTACATCCAGGAAGAAACTGGTAAGTATTAATCATTGTTGATGAAGATAAGCTTTGTCTCAAAAGGAAAGATACTGAAATCTTTACCTGTGGAAAGTAGAAACATAAGGCCCATCCATGAGTTCATTTGTAAAGGCCATTTTCATGTTATCATGCCAGAGTCTTTCCTCCCATGTGTCTCAGGCACCACCAACCATGTCCAGGGGTCAATTTCACCATGTTAACTGCTGGCCTGTTGGCCCGTGGCCAGTTAAAGTAACAAGGGGCTTGCTGAAATGTAAAGTAAATGGCCCATCAGGCAAGTCAAAATTTCACCCTTTCTCTGTGTATGTTTATTTTGCTTAATTGGATTATCTCGGTAGAATGACAACCGGCCACCATTTTGTAACGTCTTTATTTGCTCATAATTAGCCATGAAATGAGGCAAATGAAAGCCAAGTAGAATAGTCCACACTCAGAGTGTAGGAAAACCATGTTTTAGGGGTGAAGAGTTCTACAATTTTCAGATCCCTGCTAGGTGGCTATGTAAGAGTGAATATTAATTATCCTACCGTATTTTTTATCCCAGGGATGAAATTCTCTAGTGTCAGGATGATTCTCTCTTGTGAATTTGAACCAATACCAGTCCTAGTGTGTTTAATCCTATCCTATACTATACTATAAGGGTAACGCTGTTTTTCAGGGCATTATCATTTGCAGAAGCCTGAGGTCTTACATTAACTGCCCGATGAAGGAGGGCAGTTGAAACACCGAGGGCTTCTGCAAATGATAATGCCCTGAAAAAGAGCAAGACCGTTATTGTAGCTAAAATGGATGAAATTTGTTATCAAATAAAAAGAAACAACAATATCGGTTTTGAAACATTTACTGCAATCAACACGAATGTCGGTGACCCACTTTTACAAGTATGGAAACGTCATAGAACCACCCAGATGACATAACATCACCTATCCCTATCCTATGACATCACCTAACAACGGGCGCGATAATGTCCCGTCAAGGAATATGAGGGCATTATCAAGTTACAGTGGCCCGCTGATTTCTGTTAGCATGCGGGCGGTTTAATGATAATTCGATCCATTTTAGCTATAATCTAGAGTAACACTTCCCTTGGGATAATATTTAGGTAGAATATAATCCTTGCTTACAGCTACGCAACCACAGGTTCATTCACTTAGCGGCCTCCACCATTTTGTTGTAGGCCATTTAGTTTGGAGAAGGGCCAGTAGCTTTTATAAGGAGCAAGCCCTGCCGGCTACTTACAAATTTGTTGTTTGTTGTTAAATCTACCCCTGCATGCCCACATGAATGATACTCCCCTGCATAATAAAACATTTTGTTTCTGCTCTAAGAATATTATTGTTTGTGTTTTGTTTATGTAACCAGCGTTAGAAATTGGCACCAGTCCTGTAGTCCTTACCAGACTGCCCAATAGTAAAGGTATCCTAAGGACTAGTAGAAATTGGCCCATTTTAAGGGTTTTTGCTATATGTTATCATTATAAGGACTAGTGGTCTAAAACTGGTAGTTTCTAACCCTGGTAACTCAGATATTCAAAAGATTTCAACATGCTTATGGTATGGACTGTCATGTAACTTATCCATTTTCCATGTGTTTAGAGTGAAACCTTGCGTGCCGATTTTGACCAGAAGTTACAGCCAGTCAGCAAGGACAATGTTGTGGATATCCCAGTTATCATCACACTCACACAGAGACTGGCGTTCTTCTGTAGACCAGGCAGAGATGGACAGAGGCTGGTGAGGAGGGAGGCAGTGAGCATGGAGGATGGGTTTATGTTGTTTCAGCAAGTTTGCAGCTGTTCACAGCAGTGCACATCATTTGATATGTTTATGTGTGAACACATGTTGACTGACTGTTACCATATTGATAACGTTGACATAGACATTTCTTTTTCAGAGATGAATTATGAATTGTTGTTGAGTCAAGTAGACAGGAACACTTTGTACTTCACAACATCTTTCATTACTGTTCAAAACTGTCAGAGATGACCTGCAGTATTCATTAACCCTGTGGCTAGGGACCGCCTCCGTGGTCTAGAGCGTCCGCCCGGAGAGCGGAAGGTCCAGGGTTCGATCCCCGGCCGCGTCATACCAAAAGACATTAAAAGATGGTACTTGTTGTTACCCTGTCTGGCGCTCGGCATTAAGGGGCTAAAACAAGGACTGGTCGGCTCGGAGTCAGTATACTGTGTCTGAGTGGGGTATTCATGTTAAACTGCAGCATGGTATCTCAGTGAGCTAGCACTATAAATCGGCATCAGTCCGGACTAGTACAAGCAGCCACACACACACACACACACACACACACACACACACACACACACACACACACACACACACACACACACACACGTACATGCACGTCGCTATATAAGTGCAATAATCTTGGATGCGACGTTAAACCCCATTTCACCACCACCTGTGGCTAGGGGTGTCATTGATTGAAAGTTTTAGCATCAATATATGGACTAAGAAGTATCACAATGTATCTGTATCTGGAACAATAATAAGATTAATTATTCTGTATGTGTATTGATACAAATTACCTTATCTTAATCTTAATACATGTAAACATTTCTGTGGAAGTGAATTATTAATTAAGTTATCGTTATTAATAGATTTGTGTCAATTTGGTATCAACATATGATGTATATGATGACATCCCTACCTGTTGCCCGTAGCAAGTAGATAATGACACCTGAAGATGTGGTAGAGAGAATCCAAATTGCATGGACATCCACAGAGAAATTGTTCCCTATCCTAGCTTGTATGTTATTTGAGACTCCACACATTACTGTTGTCATGGTTACAGGTGTCAGTGTGCCAGCAGATCATCAAGCAGAAGGAGGCCTATCTTCAGACCTTGGCTCACTCCAATAAGAATTTGCAGCAGCTCAAACATCTTCTTGTGCTGTGTGTAAGGTAGTGTAGCAATATCTCCACTCATTATGTTTAGGTCAGCAAATACACCCAGGCTAAAAGGGCAGTGGGGTAGCTATATGGTTAAAGCATTCGCTCGTCAAGCCGAAGGCCCAGTTTCATTCCCCACATGGGCCCATTTCTGGTGTTCCCTGGAGTGTTATTGTTTGAGTATTGCTAAAAGCGTCATAAGACTCACTGTCCCAGGCTGACACAATAGGAGGGCAGTGGGGTGGGCTAGTGGTTAGGTGTTCGCTCGTCAGGCTGAAGACAGGGTCAATTCCCCACATGGGTACAATGTGTGAAGCCCATTTCTGGTGTCCCATACCGTGAAATTGCTGGAATATTGCTAAAAGCAACGTAAAACCATACTAACTAAAACAGCAGTTATATATCTTAACCACAGTTATTGGGTGCAATATCACATTTCATCATCTGTGTTAAAAACTGTGTTTTCTGCTAGTGCTACTAATACTATACTAAACTTGGTTAACAATCCAGTGAAATATACTCAAAATTATTGTTTTAATGAGGGTTTATTCCAAAAGGAAGCTGAACATTACAAATATGGTGAAAGCCTGAAAATATATAGGTGGAGTCAATGCATAGGGTTACTAATCTGCTAACTGCATGGTTACAAGTTAATATGATTTGGATTGAGGCTTGAATGTAAGTCCTCATCAAACAGAACATGGAAATTACAGCGTGAGTGAGTGTGGTATTACGTTGCTTGTAGCAATATTCTAATAATCTCACGGCGGGGGACACCAGAAATGGGCTTCACACATTGTACCCATGTGGAGAATCGAACCCAGGCCTTTGGCATGACAAGCTAACGCTTTAACCACTAGGCTACCCGACTGTCCCTGGAATTATAGACAGTTGAACCACTGGATAATATGTCTCACATGATCTTAAACACCTGTTATATATCATCATCTTTTTCTTTGCAGATACCTGAATAGCATTGCCTCCACTTCATCTCCCGTTGCTGTGCCAATGAGAATGTTAGAATTGTTTACCTCATCCAAGACATTTGTGTGTATAAAGGGACTCTCAGGCCAGTCGGAGACACAGCTGACACGCCAGATACTCAGCTATCTAGTTCAGAGAGGTTAGACTTGGAAACTCATTCCATCTAGAATGCAATCTCAGTATTCCGAATTAAGCATCAAAGTCGAGGAGTCCTTGTAATGACCCTAATATAAAGAAATATAGGTTAAGGGGTTCCATAAAACCAAGCAGCAAGCCCCCCCTTTATTTCAAACACTGAATCTAGTGAATGATGTACATCAGCTATTAGCCTATTACCATGAAGAGTTCTTTTCATTCCTGGGTCCTGTTCCACAAAGCGATTGTAGCGCTTTGGTGATTGTAAATCCTTTCCTTTAACATAGACTTACGATTGTCGTAGTGCTATATTTGCTTTTTGGAACAGGGTCTTTGGAGTACACTTTTTATGTGAACTGAGGCACTGATGACAACTGTGGTGGGAAGATAATAGTTTTTCTCTTTTTATTTCATGAGTACAACTTTGTAATTTTGGAAGTGACAAGGTATGGAGAATTGTTGTTGTTTGTTTGTCACATACTTTGATGGATGACAGTATGAATGATATTTAGATATTGCCACATTGTGTTTGCAGGTTATTTTGAGTGTATGTACACATTGCTGACAGAGAAAGTTCCCTCTAGTATTGAAAAGACTACCATCCCTCCAACCCCAGCAGCCTCCAGCATCTTTGAACTCATCATGAATCCATTAAGCTTTGCTGCATCAGCAACTGACAAGACGTTTAGGTAACAGTTTATGTCAGATTCAGATCACACCAGCCAACATATGAGAATAATAAATCATTAGATGATATGACAACCAAACGTCAAAGCATTAACACCTGTCATTTAAACCACATTCTGATACTGATAATGGAGTTTACAAATACGTCACAGAAGAGAAAGATTTGTCATCAGGTTTAAAAATGTAGGCAATTATTCTAGTTTGAATCTTGGTATAGGAATCATAGTGAAAGGATATCGTAACAAGTAAATATATTCTCTACTGACTGGTTGTGACAGCATTTTAGTAATGTCAAGCATATAAGTAAAATCATTCACACACAAATTAAAGATGGAATTTCTTATTTTGAATCCTGCTCGCTAACCTATTATATTTGTCGCCACTTTTCTTTCCTTCAGCCACTATGTCCTGCAGTGTGTATGTCGCATCTTCCTGTGTCCGAGGTACACGGATCAAATCAGTCAGTTCCTCCTACCAGCAATGGCATATGGGAAATACCCGTTCCCGTTCGTGGAGTTGATCCAAGGCCTGATCTCTCATACGTCCCAGAACGGTTCCAGCAAACGACGGCACCTGGAGCCAGAGCTGAAGCCAAGTCCCTGGCTCCTTGCGGCAGTTCTCACTCTGGCAGACAAGTATATCGGTAAGTCATGTCTGGGACTTTCTACACTGAATGCTATGTTGGTAAAGTGTAATGTCATGAAAGTCTGGTAATCAGGATATAAACTCTTTAGGGGAATAGACTTTCTGGAAAGAAATGGCATAATTATTCAATTTTTTTAATTTTGTTAAGTGATGAATAAATGTTTGGTTTTTTGGGGTTATTTTCATTTGTTTGTTGAATTGTTAACGTGCAGATAATTATGATAATCATGATGTTGTAAGTTCAAATTTGTCAAATTTACTGAAATATTTTTAGGGGAATGAAACTTTTGAATGAAGTCAATTCTAGTTGATGTTTGAAATGTTTTATTGTTTCTGATTGCATAGGTGACCTGACATCTGCAAACAGCTATGCTTACATGCAGCTGCTCCAGCACTTACTGCCGCAGCTTCCCAAACCTAAAAATATTGACATGGATGACGACTCAGAGGAGGAAGATATGGCAGTTGATGAGGTAGGAATGTCGCTGACACACTTGGTTTACGCTCAGTTTGTGATGAAAGCTTCAAGAAATTTATTTTAATTTTACTTTTGTGACATGAACCTGGATGATTTGTTGGTTTCAGGACTATGGATTTGCCAGTCTGTCTGACCTTCGTGAGGAGTGTATCCGATTGCTAGACTCTCCCGGGCACCTTCATTGTATGTTCAACTGTCTTCAGCGGAACTCTGACAGCCAGCTGCTGGAGGCCGTGTCTGTCATCTGCCACACCCTCCTGTCTCAGCAGAGGCTGTCAGTACACAGGCTGAGGTATGGCAACTGTAGTCATCACAGATTATCTCCCCTTGACCAGTAGGACTATGTCCTCCATGGCAGTCATGCATGTTTTATGTGAGGTTGTATTTTCCTCTTTGACATTTAAAGATCTTAATCCTCATTACTCCTTTCTGTTTGAAGGTGCAACTCACTACATGTGCACAGATTGAGTTTATGAATTTTTTTAATACATTTTTTTATCAACTGGGCTCAATACAGATTTACAGATTATCTCCCCTTGATCATTGACTCATTATGCATGACACCCGTGAGACAAATTAGCTCATCTTCACTTGACCATATCAATAGTGTTACCTTGGAAATAACCTATCATTATCTGAGTTATATCTAATTTGACTAACTGCTTGTTGTTTTTTTTCAATTGTGAACATATTAGAGTATCTCCCTCAATGCCCTTTGACTTTTTTTATTACTGTATAACACTACATCTCCAGATCATTATACATGTACTGTATAGACATAGGTACATAGTTATACATATTTAAGCTTACATCAATCAGTGTTTTGTTTGGTTATTTGTCAGTTATTCATTTGCCATTGCTTTTATCTTGTAGATTACTGTACAGTCTGGCATTCAACACTAAAGTGATACGCAACCTCTGGTACACGTGTGCCTCAGTGTCCACACCAACTGTCACCGGGTGAGTACAGACTGCCACCTGACAGTCATCATTCTAGCATGTACCTGTTTGATTGTAAACAGAGAGTGAAGGAACACACCTGTGTCTGGTATCTTGCTTTGTTACTCGCCTGTTGAAGATACCACTGTTTAATGACAATAAGCTGGTATTACAGTGTTTCATACCAAGGTGCGCGCTTGTGTACTGCAGGAATTAGATTCACTAACAAATATTGAAAACTCTCAACATCGCTGGACTCGTTCAATGACATTATGTTTAGAGATGATTGATCACTGAGAGGAGCTTATGTACACTTGACCCCAGCAACCCTGTTACTATTACTATGCTGACGTCACATGGCATTGTTTCGCCGGTGTATCTTGCAACAAAATTTCACAAATTACGTCACAGGGTATTGTGATTAAGGGCCCCGTTCATGAAAGGGATCGTAGCGCAACGACAGTCGAATGTCTATGTTAAAATATAGGTGTTACGATCATCTGAGTGCCACGATGGCTTTGTGGAACGGAACCCTGAATTCAAAGGTAGGCAGTTGTATGGTATTAAATAATTATGTTTCAGCTATTAATGTGTTTGAAGTATTATTCTGTAGTATTTAAACACAACTGGATTATGCTGGGTCTGTCGCCAAGTTACACACAACAGTTTAATTATGAAAGTAATAAATAAAATACTAAACATTCAAAACTCACTCTTGTTGTCTGTCTGAAGCAGTTTATTATAGTGTCACACGTTCTATATTATTTACAGCATATAAACAACCATCATCACAACATAATCAATAATTCATGCACATGTAACATCTTGTATCAAATCTTCGATGGTTAACAAAATATGTTTTGGTTGCAGTTCAAGCACCTCCTTGATTCTGATGTTAGCTCGAGGTTTACCGATGTTGAAGACGGATGTGAACCGTATTGTGCCGCTCCTCTCTGTATTCTGCTCCATGTTCAGTCACTCTCTCCTGACGCTACACGATGCGGACTTCTATGGTGATAATCAAGGTAAACCATGCTTTACATTTGAACATCTTTGAAGGGTATCTGAGGAATGGCTGGTTCAAAATACCAGATTTACCTTGAGTTTAATCCCAATACCTTGTCCTCTTTGGGCATTCTTCCCACTTTAGACCGCCTCCGTGGTCTAGTGATAGAGCGTCTGCCCGGAGAGCTGAAGGTTGGGGGTCGATCCCCTGCTGCGTCAATACCAAAAGACGTTACAAAATAGTACTTGTTGTTATCCTGCCTGACCCTCAGCAGTAAAGGGCTAAAACAAGGACTGGTCGGATCATAGTCAGTATACTGTGTCTAAATAGGGTATTCATATTAAACTGCGGCATGTATCTCAGTTGGCTAGCACCATAATATCGGCATTAGTCCGGACTAGTACAAGCAGCCAAACACACACACATGCATGCACGTCACTATATAAGTGCAACAGTCTTGAACATTACACCCGATTTCACCTCACCTCATCTTCCCACATTAAACAGGGGGCCACAGGTGGCCCAATTCACTGTGCAGAGTTGCATCCCTTGGGCATGCCAGAAACCTATGATTGTGGGTTTGAATCTTGGTTCGCCACGATTATGTTTCTAGGCTTGTCAGCACCATACCCGGGCTCTTGGGTTTCACCGAAGTGGTAAACATCTAAGACCTGCATCACTTCGGGCTGTGATATAACTGGAATACTGTTAAAAGCGGGAGTTAAACACAACTCACTCACTCACATTAAACAGAGATGTAGATACACTTCCAAAGGATACTAATCCCATCACTTGCTCCAAGGGATACTTATCCCATCACATGTCACTCAAACTTCTTTCCGTCATTATACAGCTCTAACATGTCTAAATGTCAGCAGTAACAATAGACAAACACTGACATGAAAGTTTCTAATCAAGTGAACAAAACCAAGACCCATGTTTTCTTTACTTGTTACATTAGATTTGATAGTTACCTTGTTTTATATGTGGTTTCTATTTCATGACACAAGAAGCAAAGTGTCTGTCATCCAAGTCATGATGCAAGTATTATTTCCTGTTTGTTCATGAGTGACACGGTATTCTCTCCAGAGCAAAGCACAAGTATGCCATTTAGAATAGATGAGCTGGTTCCGATGAGTCGAGCACTGAGAGATGCCTGTCTTGGCATCATTGAACTGGCCCACCCGGACGCCAAGCGAGCAGTGAATGATGATTACCGACTAGCATTACAGAAGACGGGGATCAGGAACAGGGAGATGGTGGGAGAGGAGGAGGAAGAGGAGACACGCCAGTGGGCGTACCTGTTTAAGGTGACGATAAATAATTCCCTCACGTAACCAAGAACAGGATAAGAGAAATAGTGACCATATCTATAGTGATGAGTCACTTTTGTGATTCGATATCTCCATATATCTCATTATGCACTCTATACCTATGAAGTTCCGGGTTAGAATAGGTCTTCAGCACCCCATGCTTGCCATTATATGCTTGTCATGAGAGGCCACTAACGGGTTGGTCACACTCTCTAACTTGGTTGATGCATGTCATCGTATCTCAATTAGGTGGATCGATGCTCATGATATCAATCAGTGCGGTCAGGTCCAGACTTGATTATTTACAGACTGCTGTCATATCGTTGGAACATTGCTGAGAGAGGCGTTAAACAACAAACAAACAATCAATGTTTTTGCTGAACTGAATTAGAATTTGGTGTGAAATGATTAAAATGATCAGTTTCAGTGGCATCAGTAGTAAGAATATCCTTTGAGATATTAATCTTTGTTAATATATCTTTTCAAGATTAACTTTATTTTGTTGTAGGTTATTTCCAATTTAGTTCGCCAGTTACATACCAGGAATTCCAGGAGGCCATATTGTTCATTTGGCCATTGGTTGGCAGACCACATACAGATTAATGCAGACAAGGTAAAGACAGAGAAGTTTATAAGCACTTGATGATAATAATTCAGTAAATTTAAAACTATATAATAAAATGATTCTAGGATGAGAACTAGTATGTATCATAAACCTTTCGTGAATTTTCCTCTTCAAAATAATCATGTAAAAATTTATACAAAATAAATCTAATCCAAAACTGAATTGTTGTGAGGAATGTATTGGTTCTACAATATGAAATAAGAAATACTTAGGCTGTGATAATCTGTTTCCAGCCCTCGCAGATTTATCGGGCCCAGAATGCTGTGTTTGTGAGGAGGCCATTTGGTGTTCTCAGGACTCTCACAAAGACCAACTTTGGTAAGTTGTTTTGGAAGTTCAATAAATTGGAGAAAAAGACATTTCAAACCATTTCGAGAGAATTTAATTTTGACACGAAGCTTGTTGACCATATCTAACATAGAATACCTGCTATTTTAAGTACATAATTACCAGTTACCGTTTTATTATTTCCGTCATTCACTACTTGCAGAAGATGATGGACCACCATTGGCCAATCGGGATGTGAGGAATCTAGTCATTCTTACTGAGCTGCCATTCGTTGTGTCCTTCTTCGACAGAGTTAAAGTGAGTCCTTGTCAAACGTCAAAGTATTCCAGGGGCGGTCAGGTAGCCTAGTGGTTAAAGCATTAGCTTGTCACGCCGAAGCCCCAGGTTCGATTCCCGACATGGGTACAATGTGTGAAGCCCATTTCTGGTGTCCCGCACCGTGATATTGCTGGAATATTGCTAAAAGTGGCGTAAAACCATACTCACTCACTCACTCAAAGTATTCCATGTTATCCAGGTTTCAGAAAATTCTATTTTCATTTGGTTGATGTTGCTGAAATTAGACATGTTTTGGTGATGGATAACTTTGAGGGTAATTGGACCAACTGAATTCGAGAGCAATTCAATTTTGCATTCTCAAGATATATTTTAGAAAATCTTCATGTACAATTACTAGTAATATAATTCAATGATAACAGTGTATAAGGCCCCCATGGTATTAGCTTGATCCAACACTGTATGGGTTGGATTACCCAGAGCTAATGATTTGAAAATGTGGCTGTGACTTTTGTGACAGACTTTAGGTCCAGTGTCGGCCTCTTGGTAGGCCTCTTGGTAGGCCTCATGGCCTCATGGCAGTAGAATGATTTTTTCATCTGTTACTTTATTTTTTGACTCAGTCAATGAGGTCATTTAGGATTAGATATTTATCATCCAGAACTGGCTTACACAGGAGATATCACTTTGGGGCTGCAATTAGGTTACGTTACATCACCTGTTACCATGACATCACAATCAAATGACTAATCTTTCTGCCATAGATCTCAGAAGACACTCAGGTCAGGTTGCTATGTATTGTACATGTGTAACACTCCATAACATAACACAACATTCTATAATACTGTATATCGCTGTGTATAAGGCGAGTTTTTCGTACCTAAAATGAGGGGGCTAAGAAGGGGGGTCGTCTTATACACGGAGTCGAAGATCTCACATTATTTTTCCACTGGCGATGTCGACCGGCGTCCGATAGCCAGCCCAGCATTTGACAATAAAACTTCGCATTTCGTCCTAAATAACTGTTCCAATAACTATTTCCATACATAAACATGATTTGTATCTCTTTTCCTTGAATAAAGTTTAATAATTTCTGCAAATAAAGTTGAAATGACCCTCTCCTCGATGCACATTGTCAAACCAGCTGACAAGGTAAAACAATCAACATCCGTGAGTAGAGAGCCGGAAGTACCGGTAATCATTTGCATATTGCACATGTGACCTAACATGTGATAACCGGTGAAGCTGACATCAATTCCCACTGTTTTTACAGTTGTATTAACAAGTGTTGGAGACGGTGTGTACAAGTGATTGTGGAATAAACACGCTGAATGTGAAGCAAACATAAGCCTAGTTAGTTACAACATAGTTAATTGGCGATTAAATTACTCACCATTGTCTCTTATATGTTATTACTTCATAAATGAATTTTATTTTACGGGCACCAAATTGGTGTCGTACCGTGTAAACACAAAATGGCGACGTGTGCCGGAGTTACACACGCGACCTATCATTGTAGAAAAAAAACAACGCAAGATAAACATATTTTTATTGCATATATAAGGTTTGTGTGCGCACTTGTGATGTGTGCGAAATACGCATCAGTCGGAAAGCCCATATTAAATCTCCAAAGTAACTAACTAACTAATTTGTGATGTCCGTGTGCGAAATACGCTACAGTCGGCAAGAGCACGTTAAATCTTCTACCGGTATATCAGTCAGACTTGTGATGTGTTTCATTCCAGATCGCCTTATACACGGAGTATAGGATTTTGGGTTGATTTTTAAGGCGTGTACAGGGGGGTCGTCTTATACGTGGGGTCGCCTTATACACAGCGATATACGGTATATGCTCTATAACATGTTGAGGGGCGGTCGGGTAGCCTAGTGGTTAAAGCATTAGCTTGTCACGCCAAAGACGCAGTTTCGATTCCTGACATGGGTACAATATGTGAAGCCATTTCTGGTGTTCTCCGCTGTGATATTGCTGGAATATTGCTAAAAGTGGCGTAAAACCATAGTCACTCACTCACTCACTCACTCACTCACTCACTCACTCACTCACTATAACATGTTGATCCTGTACATGATGGTGCTTCTCCACAGATCCTGCAGCGCTTGATAAATGCTGACAAGGAGGAATCTCAGGGTGATATGTCCAACTTCATGATGGGGCCGTCAATCAATGTCATGATCAGGAGAAACTACATATACGAGGATGCTTTTGACAAACTTTCTCCAGAAAATGGTAAGCGATCATATTTCATTTAGATAAGGGGCACGGGTGGCCCAGTCGTCTAAGGCGCCGTGATTCGCTGTGCAGAGTTGCGTCCCTTGGGCAAGCCAGAAACCTATGATTGTGGGTTCGAATCCCGGTTCGCCCCGATTATGTTTCTAGGTTTGTCAGCACCATACCCGTGCTCGTGGGTTTCACCGAAGTGGTAAACATCTAAGAGCTGCATCACTTCGGGCTTTCCTCCCACATTAAGCTGACACGCCGTGATATGAATGGAATACTGTTAAAAGTGGCTTTAAACCCAACTCACTCACTCACTCACTCACTCACTCACTCACTCATTTAGATAAATGTATATTAAACTTTTGATCAGCTACATCCATCAAGTTACAAGCTGTATGACTATTAAAACTATTATCTTTGATAGTATGTTTTGCCTGATCTTTGCCTTGAAATTTACAAGAGTCCACATTATGTTCGTGTGTTTTTGCAAGTGAAAAGCATGTGTTAGTTAAGTCAGTGTTTATCATGTCTCTATTTCTACTTCCATTCAGAGCCCAACATGAAACTGAAGATGAGGATACAGCTTATAAATGCAGCAGGTCTGGACGAGGCTGGCATCGACGGTGGCGGTATCTTTCGAGAATTCCTGTCCGAACTCCTCAAGACTGGCTTTGATCCTAACAGAGGCTTCTTCAAGTATACAGTGGACAGACTGCTGTACCCCAACCCACAGGCGCAGGTGCTTGTGGAGGACTACACCAAACACTACTTCTTCCTCGGTCGCATGCTCGGCAAGGTAGGACAACTGCCCGATCAACTGGATGATCTTGTTAGGTCCTGTTTGTGTGAAACTGTCCTGATTGCTGCGTTCATGTTGCTTTCATCATATATAAAAATAATTAAATAACACCCTGGGTTTAGTATGACTAGAGATAATCTGTCATGTCATGTGAAATTTGGGTGTTCTCTTACTTCTACTGTGTAGTATGATGTTGATGACATGGATCATTACTCATGGTGTGAACCACTGGTTTGCGTTGACCAGACCAGATCATGTTCATGGTGCTGTGATACAGTTTGACTGTTGCCGACTTCCTTGTAAAACACTTGTATTCACTCTCCCATCATGCTCCTTGCTAGAGTAATCCTAAATAGCACCATATCTATAGGGGCCCAGTTGGCCCAGTCGTATATAGCATGATAATATCCAGAGTTGTGTCCCTTAGCCATCATGCATGGTAGTGAAACTCCATTATCTCTACCCTGTATTTATATAATGAATCTTCAGCATAATCTGTATTATCACCATGGTCAAGTATCCTTCTCCAACTGCAGCTAACTCAACGTATGATTGATGGCCCTGGGAACTCTACAGGGTTCACTGCTACATGCCTACAGTTGTTGCTTGTTATTTGGAATTGTGCCTTTGTTACTCCTATTGCTTATGTGTGCCTCTTCTCCTTGTCAGGCGATCTATGAAAACATGCTGGTGGAGCTTCCTTTTGCCAGCTTCTTTCTGGCAAAGATGTTGAGTCGACATAGCGCCAATCTTGACATCCATCATCTGCAGTCTATGGATCCTGTCATGTACAAGTGAGTTCTTCAGAAATATCACCAGTTTTTAGGCCTTACATTTTTTACCTTGGTTTACAGATCCGCCGACCACAGTCTGCCCTCATATTATGTTTCTGAATAACAACTTTATTTCTGTAATTTCAGGAACACTCCATATCAGATATGGTTATGGTACATCAAAATTTATTGTGATTTAAAAACTTGATATTAAGCCATTGATCAATTTATTTACTTATCCTGCATTAATCCTCAACGCATTTACTGCTTACCTTACGACAAGAAGAGACAGCGCCTAGCGATGGTCCTGGGTGAAAGAGAAAAAGATGTTTCCATCTCAAGTCCCGCTTTTTGTAGGGCGATTGCCACTGTCGTGTGACCAGATGTGATGTCACATCAAATAATATACCGCTTGTCGCCGACCAGAAAGGATGTGTCTTACCTTGGCTCTCCAACCTTTTGTTTAAATTGGTGGTTAGCTTCTCCTACCACACTAAATTATGTCTACAATGGGTGGCGTATTTCTTGCATATTACTTTCACTTGTTTGTGTATTAATATGTGGGTGTATACAAATGTAAAAAATATTTAGATTTTACTAATTTACTTTTTTTCATGATTTGTAGGAACCTTTTATTCTTAAAGACATATGATGGGGATGTGTCTGATCTGGGTCTGGACTTTACAGTAGTTAACAGTGAATTTGGAGAGACTGTGGTGAGTTTTTATCAATATGACAAGCATTGCATAGTGCCAGTTGCTAATGTCAGCAGTGAGTTACAGACGAGTTTACAAACCAATACAACCAGTGATAACAACAGAAATAATCTGACTTTCAAAAGAATATTCCACATCTGCTTTGTATGCATTCTGAGAACCTAAACTTGATCATGTTGATCAAAGCAATTTTGTAGATTCAGTTCTTTGTTTCAAATACTGTATATCAGTGTCTATAATGTGACCCCCATCTGCAGAAACCTTAAAAATCATATGCTAATTTATATAGCCTGTCTATATAGTGTTCGACCGCCTCCGTGGTCTAGTGGTAGAGCTCCGCCCAGAGAGCAGAAGGTCCGGGGTTAGATCCCCGGCCGCGTCATACCAAAAGACGTTAGATGGTATTTGTTGTTACCCTGTCTGGCGCTCTGCATTAAGGGGCTAAAACAAGGACTGGTCACCTCGGAGTCAGTATACTGTGTCTGAGTGGGGTATTCATGTTAAACTGTGGCATGGTATCTCAGTGTGCTAGCACTATAAATGATCATCAGTCCAGTCTTGTACAAGCAGCCACATGCACACATGCATGCACGTCGCTATATAAGTGCAATAATCTTGGACGCGACATTAAACCCCATTTCACCTTACCTCACTTCCTCGGTACTAATTTCTGTGTACTGTGTTCTGGCCTGAGTTACCTTAGCACAGCATATATCTGACACATTTGTAACTGGTTAGTTTATTAGCAGTTTGTCAATTAAATGGTGAGAGTTTGCATTGATCATCATATTACTGTCAGGCAAGATTTATTTATTTGTGTCACTTTCTTCTCAACGCAGTTGGAAGAGTTGAAAGCTGGTGGGAAGAACATTGCTGTGACAGCCAACAACAGGATCGAGTATATACACCTCATGGCGGACTACAAGATCAATAAACAGGTACACGTCATGGAATCTGTCAAAGACAAGTACAGTGATCCCGATCATACTGATGATAATACAAAATATTCTATTGACCTATTGTCATATTGAAATACAAGAAAATTCATCTGATCAAAATCACAACGTTTACCTTTGTAGGCATTAAGAGCAGTTACATTTGATCATATATAGAGATATTGTTCATACTTCAGTAGGTAAGTATTATCAAAATGGATAAGAAGTTAACTTTGAAAGTTTAAGTAATCATTTTGTCCTGCCCGCAGATCCGCACCCACTGTACGGCATTTCGACAAGGAATGGCTGATGTCATCTCCATTGAGTGGCTTCAGATGTTTGATCCCACGGAGTTGCAGGTCCTAATCTCCGGGGCAACCGTCCCCATAGACATTGATGACCTTCGGCGCCACACCAACTACTCCGGTAGGACGCGTTGTAGTGAATTATACATAGAATCTTTCGTAGGGTTTCCATAATGTTTATGCAAAATAGGCATCTAATACCCTTGCTTTCAACCACCCCAACCTCTTACTCCCCTATGAAGATCAAGATTACGATTGGTCATCAGCAACCCATGCTTGTTGTTAGAGGCGTCTAACAGTATCGAGTGGTCAGGCTCACTGACTTGGTTGATGCATGTCATCATATCCCAGTTACTTAGATCCATGCTCATGATGTCAATCACTGGATTGTCTGGTCCAGACTCGATTGTTTACAGACTGAATTTTATAGCTGGAATATTGCTGAGAACTGCGATAAACAACAAACAAACAACACCCTTGCTCAACCTTAATGTTGGGGTGTAACAAGTCAGCTAATGTTTGTATCAGTATTTCCAGTCTCAAAACAAGACCATCCAAGTATAGGCAAGGGTGGCAGGTAGAATAGGATGAATATAAACTGTAAAGTGGTATGTACTGCTTGTAGGAGGTCTCAAGCCAGTGTATTATTTATTACCGGTAGCTCAAATCTACAAAATATGTATAAGTTGGGCAATTATCAACTGTCCTTTCCTTTCATGATGAAAATGTTTCCTTAACATATCAAGTATCAAGTTTCCATGCATCATACTGTGTATCGTATCTTACTATCTAGATATCATATAGGCAATGTATCATTACAGCCCTACCTAGGGGTAGTTCAAATGGGATTCACAAGGTCTAAAGTTTGCATAGTTTAGCTTCTCATTCTGTCATTACAGCAATCATCAGACTATTGGTCATTGGTTTTCTGGTCCCATGGCTGACTTTGCAAGTTGTCTGACATTTGATGATTTGATGATGTCATTGATTTCATGGATATGCGTTCTTAGTTCATATGTCCCTGATCAGTTATAAGCATGGTAAAAATATAACATTGCCCAACTACTGATGTCATCATTCTGAAATAGGATCATTACGAGGGAACTGTTCAATCACATATACATATTTTTTAAGTTGTGTTTAAATGTTGATTTGACCGAAACAGCAATCAGCGTGTATTGTAAACCACGAAGAGTGAAAGATGTGTTCAGGGATTGTGCCTCTGTTCCAGGTGGTTACACTGAAGACCACGATGTCATCAAGATGTTCTGGAATGCTGTGGCAACCTTCACTGATCAGCAGAAACGACAACTCCTGAAGTTTGTCACCAGCTGTTCTCGGCCTCCGCTGCTGGGTTTCAAGGTAGGCAGATTGTTGAGGAGACTCATCCGTGGGATCAGGTGAAATATTAGGTGTCAAAGGGTAGACATGTGATTGTTCTTCACTAAATAATGAGACTGAACTGTGTTAGTGGGGACACAGGCAGCCCAGGCGTCTCAGGCACTGCAGTTTGCTGTGCATGGTTGTGTCCCTTGGCTCATGATCAAATCCCAGTTTGCCCCGATTATGTTCCTAGGTTTGTTAGTACTATACCCATGCTTGTGGGTTTCATCTGTGACTTTCTTCACTCTGGGCTTTCCTCCCACATCAGGCTAACACGCTGTTATATAACTAGAATACTGTTCACATCAGTGTCATACCCAATTCACTCACTTGCTCACACATAGTCCATTTTGAACTAATCATGCTAAAGTTGCATGCTGTTGTATAAGGTATGAACAATTAGGAAAGGTCTTAAACTGTTGATTTACCCGTCTTTAAACACCATTGATGAATGTAGGTTAGAAATATCCTTGCATTACAGTGTTATGAAGTAGTATTTGTAAATTTTTGTATTCTACATGCCGTTTTATATGCTCGTGCAATGCTACATACATCTTCAGCGAATGAACATTTTGCGACATCCAATATCGAAGAGCACATGTGTTTACGAGCAATACAGTGTTACCTATCCTGCTTAATTAAATTAACAGCCTACCGCTAAAGAAAATTTAGTACATACCGCCAACAACATTTCAAGATCCTGCAGTCTGTCTGTTGTTAATATCACCAAATGTGATCCTACTGTTGCTGAGTTGAACCTATCTTTGTTCATAAAAACACTGCCCTGAACTATAAATACCATATAATCACAAGGAATACTTTTAAAGACTCACACATATGAAGTTATGATGTGTTCATGGTCAAATCTGTTTAATGTATTGTAGGACTTGTACCCAGCCTTCTGTATTCACAACGCGGGAAAGGATCCAGAACGACTGCCGACAGCAAGCACCTGCATGAACCTGCTCAAACTGCCGGAGGTGGAGGAAGAGGGGATGCTTAGGACGAAGCTACTGTACGCTGTGGAGTCCGACTCAGGATTCGAACTCAGCTAGTGATTGGTCCACAGAATCGTATCATAATGTGAACTCCAATTTGAGCTCAACTAATGAATGCCATTGGAACAGACCCTGGATGAAGTGATTTTAACAAACTGGCTCACACACTGAATGGATTGCAGTTGTACTCTGGAGACTTGTGATACAGTGTACAGATACAAGGCCCATGGGTGTGTGGGTTGTGTCTGTATGGAGATTCCGATGCAGACATGTTATACTGGTGCTTGGAGCATAGTTTTTCAACTTGGACATATCACATAGCACACAGTAGGGCCACATTTCAGTGGGTCATTACACAGCATTGATTGTGTGAACTAATATATGTATGCTGTAGATAGACTGTGTTTCACCTAGCACATCATTGTCTCAAGATGATGACCAGATTGTAATACTTGTTCCCCATCATCTACCAATCAAGGCTAAGACCCTGAAACTAGCTGGACTGGTTCGTTTGGGTTGTGATTGCTAGATGTGGGTTAGAGCTTGTTCTTTCAGCAGTCGCTTGTCTAAGACATGCCCGCTGCATTCATCTCCCTATCTTTTTTGGAACAAGGCTGAGGTAGTTCTCACGAGATAGGGATGTACAGCTGTTATATGTGAATGTTTGTTGAAGCAAGATACATAAATCAAAATAGAATTATGAATCAAAATCTTTTAAAGAACACTACTACTGAAATGTTGTTAGAAAACAGATTATTTTTTTTATATATTATTAATTTTGAGATTTTTTTTATAAATTATGTACTCAGCTGTTTTCACAATTCAATATTTGTGAATTTCAAATCTGGTTTGAACCAGCACATAAAATAACAAATATTTTATTAATTGGTTAATTCTCACAATGTCTCACAATGTCCGGGTCTTTGACCTTTGCAGAAATTAAATTAAACTGATGTCAGCTACTTGGGGCGGTCAGGTAGCCTAGTAGTTAAAGCTTTCGCTTGTCACGCCGAAGACCTGGGTTCGAATACCGACATGGGTACAATGTGTGAAGCCCATATCTGGTGTCCCCCGCCGTGATATTGCTGGAATATTGCTCACTCATTCAGCTTCTGAGTACTATAGGACACCAGCCATTATTCAGAGACTTGTCACAAAACATTGGTAAACTGAAGATTAAGTACTGAGACGAGACTGAAGATGTGGTCTGTTGATTATTATGTACATACCAAAGAAAACGATGTTATGGTCATAATTTCTTTTTAAGAAAGATAAGATCTTTATGAAGGGTAGCATGTCTGTGAATATTTCTTAATTTGTATTTATACATGTTAGAGATAACTTATAAATAAAATGTTTGTTATAATTTTGACTTATGGTCTATTTACATAGTTCAAGTAATCAAATGTTCTGTAATAAAGTCACATATGAGCGTATATCTGAATGAAGCTAGTTATCTGTAGTCCAGTTGGAACTGTATATTTGTAATATTTGCATATGTATAGCACAACCCGAATGATGCTGAATATTGTATATATATTTAGGCCTTATATCTTTTTTAGTTGGTTTACAAAACCGACCGACAAGAAAAACAAATTACTTTTCACACAAAACATTTCAGGCCCACTTTTTTAGTGATAAGGTAAAATGAAAAAAAAAACCGCAATATTTTATCACCTCTGTTCATACAAATGTTGAATAAAATGTCTAAAAATCTATATTCTAACCCAAAAGTCTTGATGAATTATATTTCAGTATCTTGCCATATTACCGTATATTTGACATAATAAGCGCCCACGGCGATATTTGTTAATATATTGCCTAGTGAACAATCCCAATTAGCACCCCTTCCCATTGATCAATGTACACAAGACTTATTTATTCGTGTATAATACACACTTGTGTGTTATATGCACCCTTAATCATGGGCAATTAAATTCTGGAAAAATATATGTCATATATAAGCATTTCAGGCTGTCAGCATAAACCACGAAATTTACGATTTTTCAACTCTGTTTTTTTTTTATATCAAAATAATATTCTAATAAGAGCCCCCTAATTCTAATTTTGAGTCAAATACGGTAACTCTTGTTTGTTTTTCAAGCAATAGTGGCTGTACTAATTTGGAAGGATTTCTTTTACCACCTACATTGATTTTATGCTAAAATTGTTGTGAGCCAACTAATTAAAACATAAGGCCTGAACATGCTTAAAGTAAATTATCATGTCTTGAACTGTTTGATATCACTTGTCCACTTATATTGTCAACATTTACACCTCAATATCAATCGTGCTTCTCCTTGAACAGAAATGTGTAGTAGGATTTCCTGTATGTTGAGCAGTGACAAAAATAACTGCCTGCCCCCCTGCCCGTGGCTGGTAACTTTTTCCTCCACCTGTCCGACTGTTTAGCAGATAATTATAAGAGTACTTACTTATTCAGTTTTATCATAACTCTTTGTAGATTCTCAAGTAGTTGTTTGCATTACTTTAACTGAAACAAGACATGATTTGTCTCTTATTTTTCGCGATATTTCAGCATTTATAATGTCTGAATGAGAGCAGGTCACTGTGGAGATGGGTAGGCAACACTTATAAGCCCCCTGCCCGACTGTCTTGTTGCGTTTCAGAATTATTTCAAACACTGAAGTTGAGTATGTTTACTTACAATAGAGGTTACCTAGAGATGTAACCTCGCTAAATTGAACGTGGAACTGAATGTGCAGCATGAGGTTTCAAATGTTAAATTTAGCGCAGTTATATCAACAGGTAACCTATCCCTACACTGAAAACACATAATCTTTATCTTCTAATTAGTTATTTTATGCCATAGTCAGCAATATTACAGCCATATGACTGCAGCCTATAAATAATCGAGTAAAAGTAACTGTAAAAGCAGTACTATTCTAAAAATATCAGCTTCCGTGGTGATGCGGCCATCAAATTGGCTGTTTCAATCAGGGGGGGTCATTGTGATTTGAAACCTCTGATCAACCATTCAAAATCGAGTATTTTCCAAATTAATGGTAGAATAAATGATCAACACTTAGTGCACTGTTTGACAAGAACTTGAAAGTATAAAGGTCATGAGTTATTTAGAAAGTTGAGTTGAAGCCTTGCATTTTAACACCCATAACTGAAACAATGTTTTACATTGATTGGCAAAGCTAATGAAAGATGACATACTAACCTGTTATTTAACTAACTCCTATTTTGTACACAAGGTTATTGTAGAATGATTTCAATACCATAGAGTCCATTGATTGCCTTAATCTTATTTGAATGGAAGCCATGGTTGTATGTACAGATGTCAAGAGCCAGACAGCTGTAGTCCGGGCCCCAGTGATAAGACAGAATATGTCACAGGGATATGTCAGGTAATAAGATTCTGAGATTTCATTTACTACTCTACCTAAACCCTAAGTTACAAAACATGTATTCACATCTACAGTAGGTCACCACAAGTTCCTGCATCAATGACATACTGAGTCAGCGGTCCATACAGCTCCTGTAGGCATTTCTGGTTGGGGAGAAGCACCATTGGTGCCAACTGTGCATGTTATTGATGACTATCTGCACTTGTTAACCAACACCATATCATTATTGACCTGTCCATGAATGTATGTGGCTGCATAAAGGTTAATGCAGCATAGAGGAAAATTCACTCACTGTGGAAAGAGTAACAATTTAGTGATCACTTTAGAGACATGTTTTCAGATTTTCAACTGTTGGCTTGATTCGCCTTCTTCTGCCCCTCTTTTTCTCTGTGTGATTGGCTGGGAGTTCGTGACTGAAATGGCAAAGCTCTAGTATATGGCGATACAGTGCCAGGGAAGGTTAACTTGGATCAGTGAACACATATAGACCCACACAGTTGGAACAAGTTTGGTTAGGTGTATCAGAAGGTGTATCCGTAAGTTCTCACTCAGTTAGCAACATGTTCGCATGTGTTCGGGTTCATTTATCAACATTTTCATGTGTGTTCTGGACAGAACATGTTCCATTGTGATCATGCTAGAATATCAACATGTTCTGGTAAGAACTTTGTGATATATTTTGCTTCCATTAAGGAATTTAGAACAAAGAATATGCATCTTGTTGTCCCCACTTCATTATATCAAGGCTATTACCTTTATTCTAAATGACAGAATGGCTCACTCTATCTGCAACAATTGTAGCTCTCTCCGTCTTTGATCCAGTCAAAAGTACTGCTTTTGTTGTCAGTTATCATTGTGTACCACTACTCCTAATGCACCTTGTATGGATTCAACATAAGAGTTGACAGTTCCCCCTGCTTGACATGGAGGGCCACTAGTATGGTCTCATCCTGACCTTATTAACAGTTACCTCCCTTAGTCTAACAGCTCTCTTAGTTGCCAGTGCTATATTAATCATCATAATGCTGTCCTGCAATGTCCTCATGGTCTTAAAATGGTCTTAAATGTTGCTTAGAAAACCAAAAACATTGTGTCCAACAAGTTATTTTAAATAATGGAAGGTAGTGATATCTTTGAAAGTTTTCATGATTACTTAACAATATTCCTTATGGGAACTTGAGTTGCCTAGTGGTCCAAAGGGACAAAGTCTGGTGTACTAGTTGTGTCACATTGATATCAGATTAGGCTGATTGCCATTCTGAATTCCTGATTTAGAGGTTTTCATCATTGGTGTGTCAAAGCGACCAAATGACCTGTACGAGCACTAAAATGGACCACCATGATAGGACTAATATATTATTTTAAAAGTGTTGACCCTGATTCCCACTCTCACTCACAAACACACGTATCTTCCTTCTTTGTATCATGCACTGTAGTTTGTTCTGCAGAGTTGTGTCCCTTGGGTACCACAATCCAGTTGTGCTGCTTGATTTGTCAGCATCAGGCCTTGCTTATGTTTTGGGGAACATCTGCAGTTAGTTTCACTTGGTCTCTCTTACCCCTCTATCCAAACTGACAACCAGAATGTAAATTAGATATTGTTTGAGGTCCTTTAGACCCCATATGTGTATGTGAAGAACAACACTACCCTTGTGAATAGTACTTGTAGCCAAGGCATAGGACCAATAATGTTTGAAGCATTCCCCATATGTATTTTGTTCAGTTGTCATATAAAACCTTGCAAATCCATGTCACCAATTACCTCATTGCTATCTTCTGAATGACATTCACACAGTAGTTAAATACAAATTCCTCATTATTAACACCCTGCTATTACTACTATTAATGGCCCGTAGATCAACTTGGAAAAAGCTAGCAATACCATACATTCCATCAGTTAAAACAGCATTATTATAAATTTCTTGAAAGTTCCACACTTTATTAGAGTATATGGCCAGAATAATATTAATAATTCACTGGGCACATTCACTCTTTCCACATACAGGAACCATGATCTGTGTTTATTTTGCATGTGAATATTAACTGTTGAAAATATGTAGCTGGAGTCTATTGGACGATTATGATAGGAATCAAGTTTCTATGTATCCAAGCAGACATTGTATAGCCTATCAATAGCTATTTAGCTGGAGCTAGAAACATTAATGTGGATTACTTAGCTTTATGGTTAAAAGTATTTATTGATCATGCAGGCCAGGTTCCCTTCCCCACGTGGGTACAATACGGTTTGGCATGCAACTTAAGAATTCTTAAGTCTTATTAGTATACTGTTGGTATTGTTATATTAGACTGGGATTTTCACATAGAATGCATGGTCATGTGTACTTATAATCTTAGGGTTAAAGACTTTGTTGATTTGTCACTCTTTGCAAGAAATAAGACGCAAATAATATATTTCAGCATTAAAATATTGGCATCTGCATACCAGATCAACATTTCATTGTATCCTGCATACTGCATCCAGAATACCAGTTAAGAGGGTTGGCATCCTCTACGATAAGTAAATCTTATTCTAAGTGTCCATTTTGACCCATAAAGATCCGGGGCCCTAAAAGGCGACTATGCTTGTCGTAAGAGGCGACTGAGGGGATCAGGTGGTCAGGCTCGCTGGCTTCCTTGATGCATGTCATTGTATCCCAATTGCGTGGATCAATGCTCATGATGTCAATCACTGGATTGTCTGGTCCAGACTCGTTTATTTACAGACCGCCGTCATATAGCTGGAATATTGCTGAGTGCGGCGTTAAACAACAAACAAACCAAACCAAACCAACCATCATGTTTTTCTGCAGTACTGGTAAAACAGGTGTAATATCTTACCCCTTCCCCACCCACTGCTTGCCATGCCGCAGACCCCCCTGGTTTCATGCACCACATGGGCTACGCACAGTTTCATGGAGCTTAATCTTGGTTTGCTTGTGGCTGTTGGAATATGCTTAAAGCAACATAAAACACCCACTAACTCTACTGAACTATATGCTGTATCAGTTCCATTAGGTTGGTTATGATCCTAACTCTGCTTGTACACTATTTTGTCTGATGAATGTGTTTCTTCACTGCCAGTCGGTGTTTTGGAAGATGTGAATGATGATTGACTGGGAGATTAATGTTTATTGTATTTGCTGTGATGAATACCAAACACCAAATAAACCTACTACAAACACTAAACAGGAGTTTTCTTTGTCTTTCAAGCCAGGCCACTGATAGTTCTTCCCTGTACAATTCTGTGGTAGAATGGAACAGGGAGACTGATACATGTTAAGAAAAGACTCTTACGAGAGTGTATGGCACAAGATATGCCTATCCATGTTTTCAAGTCATTTTTCAAGTCTGAATTAATGTTCATGAAACAAACACACTTGCATGTGTACTGAAGGCATAAATAACAGGTTTCATTTTCTATTCATGACTCGGAACAGTTTTATTTTAAACGCTAAATTTATTCATCAAACATGTAAAAAGTAACATGGTCAAAAATAAAGCTTGTAAGTACATGTATCTACAATGGCTCTTTTCGAGGGAAAACTTCAAACCCATTTCTTTCAAACAAAATACTCTCTTTTGTATGCACATGATAAAATAACAATTATTGAGAAAAGAGCGAAATGGGATTGTTTTCATCTGATAAATAATCATTGAAAACTTAAAATGCACGTTAAAATGTACATTAATATTACTGAACAAAATGAGTTGACAGTACTAATTGCCATATACAGAATATATCAATGGATATATCTTAACAACACATGACCACTTTCTATGCAAAATGAAGCACCTTGTGAAATATGAATGAAAAGGGATTTTTCATATATATACTACTATTATGCAAAGAATGGAAATGCTACATAGCATATTTGTAATATTGAATATAAAAAACAAAATCAAACATAAATAATTGTACATGTGAGTAACAAATAATTTGCATTTGATGAAAGCATACACAAGGACTTCTGAACCAAGCACCATCACAACTTGTCATCCAATGGGAACATTTTATAAGTGTACAACATTTGAGCATCTATTGCAACATTCAAGCAGAAGAAAAAATCATGGATAAAAAAAAATAAATTACATAATTATGGTGCCATGTACAGCACACGGACCACAAATCAGGCAGTCAAGCAATATTGGTTGCAGAGAGTATGTGAATGGGTGACCGTGTTTAGCAAGCTTGACTCCTGAGAGTATCTAGGGCTTCGGGCCTGCCCCACACTGAGACATGTTACATGTGGTGTCTAGTTAGGCAAGAGACTGTACAAAATATGTCTCTGTTCATCCAATGAAGACTGACAGTATTACAGCGCCTTAAAAGGCAGGTTAGGTTTTATTATGCCTCAAAGTGAGTTTGACCAATCAGAGAGAAGAACTACTAAACCAATGAGCCTGTATACCATCAGTAAATATCCAAGATGGTTGTTACAGGCCTAATATGAGACTGTATACCGTCAGTAACAGCCGTTTTGGATTTTCCAACACCCATCTCACAAATTTCACATGAAAATTCAGGTACAGGTTATTCGACACTGTTTTGTGTTTTGTATCATTAATTTTGATGTTCAAGGACACTAATGTTTTATTGGATCACGTTCGTGACTTCAATAAAGATTATATAAAGTTAAAATTATCAACAAGGTTTGACCTCTGAGGTTTGAAGACCCTTAGTCTTAGGTTGTAAGTGTAAAGTTTTGAGTTTTAAGTTTTGACATGACATGTGCGACAAAGATAACAAAAAGTGTAAACTTTCCGGCATAATAAATTTGTTATGGTGTCTTTAGTTTCCGTGTACGGTGTCATATTAGGTTAGCAAAAAAATATTGGGCTCGGTGGACACCTCACTCAATATTTTTCTGCTTACCTAATATGACACCGTATACAGAAACTAAAGACACCCTAACTAACGGTATACTCCCCAGGAACTGAGAAAGAAATTCAAGTGCACACTGATCCATTGACCAGGGTAATAATGGAGTACTTTGAGCATGCTTTAGACTGTGGATCTGGCGCAATATAAATATGTACATTATTACATCACAAAAAGGGAGTTGGCACAATCTCGTTTGGCTAAGAAAACAAATAGTTTTAAAACTTTGTGATTGCCATTGTCAATAAACAAAAACATCTATTGTCATGACAGCATTGCATGCAAAATTGTAAACAATCTAATAGTATCTTGTCCAAGTGAGCAGTACTAAGTTGGTATGTTGAGCCTTAGATATTCACTCTGTCTCATCCTCATCAACTCTATAGTGATCAATACCATGAAGACACTAGCTACGAAGGCTTCATTTCAGAATAGATGTAGCCACCTCCATCACTCCTACCTGAAGTCAACGCTGATGATTTCTCAATTGTGAGAGCAATTTAACTGGACAGTTATTTCAAGTGTTGTGCTATACGAATTGGGCTTCAAACGAAACTATGGTAGCTGATGAGTACAGGGTCTTAATCATGTTAAACGAATGAAGATTTTATACACCAGACAATCAAGGATGTTTACCTCTTTGAGTAGATATTTATACCCTCATCCCAATATACGCTGTTAATGTATATGCTGTCTTCAGGGGCAGTGGATAATGTATTGGCTGATCAAATCTATGATCTGAGTTCAATTCCCCACATGGGCACAGTGGAGTAAGCTCATTCTTGGTGCCTCCTGACAATGCGAGCAGTGTAAGGATTAACTCAATATTTTGAACCCCCAAAATGTACTTATTATTGGGAGTTATGATTATTGTGAGTTTATTTCTGTGACAACTTTTTGGAAATTTGTGCGCATACAAACAGGCAAGAGTATATATGTTGGTATGTATCTAGAAATACACCCATGTTTAAGTATTCATTTACAATTATCGTTATCAGACTTGTCTCAATGTGGAGGAAAATCACTACAGCCCTGCCTCCATCAAAGCTTAACTAAAATAACAACCGATATGACCTGGTTTAAGTAAAAATGAAGTCTCCATCAATGCCTAAAATAACACACACATACTACTAAAGCATTAATAAGAGAATAACACACACACATAACACCGATGTAAATGTAATATTATACAAGAGGACCAAACTGACCTTGGTCCCATCTTCACAACTACATGATACAGGAAAACTAAGGTGTGGTTCAACATGGGGGTGGGACAGCAGGGACTCGCTGTATTCAGCTGACTGGGAGCAATGATCTTCATAAAATCATTGCTGAACAGGCTTGCAATAGGCATATCTCATTGATAATTTTCCTGCGTTTTCTTAAGCTTTCAAGTTTCAAACGTTATTCATATGAAAACATATTCTTAGCAGGTAAATTGAGGAGAAATTTATTTTTTTTCAAAATTGGGATATTTTGAAGTTTTTACATTCTTAAATGAAGGGGTGATTAACATTGTTGTTTACTATTCATTCCATTCAGTTCAATAAGGTATAACTAAGCATACAAGCCTCTTCGTCATGTACGGGTCCTGTAATCAGTGACAAGCATGTGACTCCACAAAACTGTTACTGCAGTTGTCATGTTCATAATGATAACATGAAATGGGAAATTTTTAATTCCAATTTGGGAATGTTAGTGACATGAGCTGTAGAATTGGGCAGAATATCAGCCCCTCAGCAGTTCCAGATAAATCCCTGGAATCTGCCATGATAGTTCCAAAATTTATTTATCATTTACCTTATCTTGTAAAAAGCGCCTGGGTGCTTAGAAAAACGACAATGGGGGACGCTTATGAAAAACATACACAACAAGTTTAAATTTGTTGTCAGAGATCGAGCAGCACTGTTTCATAAGTGTCTTTGTAGAAGTACCTTATCTGGATGCCATTGTTGTACACCAGGATCAAAATAACAAACTCGGTGCTGTGACCTAAGAATGTGTAAAATGGATGTACACACATGGTATGAGAATAAATGGTAAAAGACTACTTTCGAACTGTACGTAGTTCAACAGTTCTAACTAAGGCCATTGTTAGTTTGACTTCACTTTACCTAAAAAAGTTGTGATTGACTTTTGATGATAGAATAAGATTCAAATACATGAAAGTGTCAAGATTTCACTTGTCACAGAGTCCCTTCATGTCAGGTATAACAATATTCTAATCAAGATTTGTATCGTCGGATCCATTCTTTTCGGACGGCCATGTTTATTGCGAGTACTCCCGCTATAACAAGGGTTGTGGCGTCACACAGACATTGTAAATACTCAGATGATGACTTGATTTTTAAGATAAAGTTGTCTTTTATAAGAGAGTGAGATGTCTTACGGTTGTTCTTTTGATTAGCGAGAAAACTACGAATGTTTCTTAAGCGTCCGAAAACCCATAACATGGGGATATTACAGACAAACACAGTTGTGTCGAAGTGGAAGGGACTTCGAGATATCCGAGGTTTGACACAACCGAAAATGATGACTTAACAAGGAATATGCAGAGACCAAGTTTTTTCTTCGACAAAACCGTAAGTTGGACACATAAAAGTTCGACACAACAGTGTTAGACTATTTTGCAACATGTATGGTTAAAGACTTGGATCTACTTCAGTATGTGTAAACAGCTCTAGCTATCACAGCACCATCCTAGAAAGGCACATACATGCAGAAAGTGTGTTTGTCTTACTTTCAACCAATATAAAAACGATAAACTTTATCACATTTGGATTTGGTTTGATTTGAACTAGTATAAAATCACTCTATGGCAGGTTTGTAACTATGACATAAATTTTGTCACTGAACTGTTTTATTTACTCATGATCAATAACATATGATTAGGGATTGATAATCTTGCCTAAATTTTCAGGACTGGCAAATAAAACTTGCTTCTGCTTGGCATGTTATTTCTTGGCAAGGAATTGCCGTTTTAACTCCCATAGTAACACTGACTTTAAACAGTCATAGCGCTACGATCCCTTTGTGAATCTGGACTCATGACTTATCATAACATTATAATTTGTACTTTCCAGTTGATTGGTAGCTGTAAATCATGTACATTCTGTACATGTGTGTATTTGACCATCAATAGGTACAGGTATACATCACCCTCAGCTGATACGGACATGTATATGTAAAGTCGTAAATGTCACACTGAGACAGCCTTACATAATGTGTAGCAGATTCAGCAGCAGCTTCAAGGAGCTGATTGTCATCTAATTATCCAAAATTAATTTTACCTCTCTGGATTTTTACCACTATCAACGTTGAACCTGTGACTGGTGTTTTGAACACATTTTACCGCATTTCTTCCAATCTTCTGACAACATGGCCAAAACCAGTCAGGGGAACTAACAGGATCGACAGTGCCACTTCCACGTCGCAGGATGGCCTTCACAGGCTTCATGTGGTGGTAGCAACACGTGGACTCCTCGGAAACCTCCTTGGATTGGAAGAACTTGGAGCACTTGGAACACTCATATGGACAACTCTTCTCCATCACAAATCGGCCACGTTTTAAAGGACGGATGGCCTGTTCCTGGAGATGAATACTAGAATCATAAGGGCAGTCCTCCTCTGTGAGAGGAGACTGGGGAGTGTTGAAGGATCTCTGGGTGTTGTCCTTGAGGATGTTGAGGAGTCGCTGCAGCTCCTGTGTCTTCTTCTGGCTGAGTCCCCACTCCCTCTCCTTCTGGTCGTACAGAGTCTCCACCCACCGCAGCTGAAGGCAACAAGTGTACGTTTTAAGTTTATTTGTTTGTTTGCTGTTTAACGCCACACTCAGCAATATTCCAGTTGTATGACAGTGGTCTGTAAATATTAATCTGGAGTGACACTGGACCAGACAATCCAATAATTGACATCAATGAGCATTGATCTACAAAATTGAGGTACAATGACATGCATCGACCAAGTCAGCAAATCTGACCACTCAATCCCATTAGTCGCCTCTTAAGACAAGCATAAGCATGGATTGTGAAGACCAATTCCAATCTTCAGAGGGATGTAATAAGCAAGGAGCTCAGTCCATACCCAAAAGGAAAAGAAAATGAGGTGAGATCTCTTACTGCAAAACATGGCTGTAACAAACTCCAAGACACTGTTCATAGTTTGTTACTCTCAAAACCAGATCAGCTATTTATACATATGTACATACATGTATCATTCACAATGCCAGAGCAAAAAAATTGAGTGTGGACACAATGTGCACTGAGAGTCTCAAGCAAAAATATCATTGAAGCCAATTCAATTATTCAATCAAATTTTACTTTCAAAAAAGGATGTGCATGAGCTTATTCCTTAGTAATGGTTTCTCTATTTTTCAGATGCCATTTTTGTTGCCTTGCTAAAACAGGGGGTTTGGGGGCTTGCCCCCACACAACGGCCTGAATTAAATGTTTTTGTAAGCAAATGAAATGTTTAATTACCCAAAGTAGATACAAAATACTTCATTAGTAGCATCAAACAAACATGGCTGATTGGTGTCCGGTATAATGCATGTATACCCAAAGTTTTTTCTATAATAAGTGATTTTGACAAATAAAACACTTGGACACAAGAAATGTAATAAGTCAATGGCAAAAGTCAATAAGTCAAATTTTAAAAAATGGCCAACGAACCATAACAACAAATGAATGCAATACCATTCATTATTGGATAAATAAAGACCATCTTGCCAATAAAGCGTTACGATAAGAACAGCCCATGACTAAGTCACCATAGCTCCAGAAAGCGTTTCCCCTTGATACAGAATGTAGAATGCAAAGACAAGCGCTGCTCATAATTTTTAATTAAAAATTTTGATGGCTGTGCATTGTTTGATTAAATTGTTACTGTAAATAGGACTAATCCTCACTATTTACTGTTTAATAATGAAATTATGATTATGAAACATGTGATGCCGTTCAAAAGTCAAAAGTCCAACAACTCAAACCATCTGTGAAATTGGAATTTTATCGGTTTATATTTTGGTGACCGATGGCCTCTGAAAATCTATAACAAGCAAAACTCTTCACAAATAGATCATTTTTAATTTATTGTTGATACAGTAGTCACCCTGGGAATCCCTTTATCATGCCTGGAATAAATGCGTGAGTGAATTGGTTTAAACAAGACTTTGAAAAGTATTCTAATTATAACCACGGCATGTCAGCTTATTGTAGGAGACGTTTACTACTTCAATGAAACACACGAGCACAGGTATGGTGCTGACAAACAACAAAACATAACTGGGGTGAACCGGTTTTCAAACCACGATCATATGCTTCTGGCATGCCCAAGGGGCACAACTCTGCACAGTGAATTGCGGTGCCTTAGATTACTAGGCCACCAGTGCCCCTCATGTCTGGATCACCCAAAAAACAAGAGTATAACACAAACCTTTTCAACCTCCTGCTGAAGCTGGGAGTTCAACTCCTGTAGATCAGCACACTGCCGGGCAACTCCCTCCATCACATCATTCTTCTCCACCACTCTCCGATACATGTCACGCAGCTCCTTGTTCTCATTACCCAAATTCCCCAGCTTCAGGAGCAGGCTCTGGATGATGTCCCGATCCACCCGATTATCTTCATCAACATTATCACAACCTGACCCCATGCTTCTGATGTTCCCTTGACTCTGACTGAAGATATTCACTGGCTGCCTCAGATCCTTGTTTTCTTTCTCCAGACGATATATCTTCAGGTTCAGGTCATTGACGTACTCGTCCTTCACACGGCTCTTCTGGACAAGTTCTTGGACATCATCATACAGATTCTGGACTTCCTCGGGGAGGATCTGGTGGTCAGTCAGCCCAGCAATGGCAGCCAGGACATCCGTGCCTGAATGGCAGTTGGTCTCAGTGCATTGGACTGACAGGGATTCTTTGTCAAGTTCAGCCATTCTGTAAACCAGTGCTATATTTTCAAATCATAAACAATCTGAAATTAAGAAAAATTATAAAACATTAATTCTGTCAGTTATTTAATGGAATTCAAAACTATTTTAAATACAAGTATTTGGAAATGTAACTGAAACACAGGATTACATGATGCCACAATAAACAAATAATTACACTTTTTGGGGGGGGGGACTAAAACAAGAGGAATGAGGCATTTTGTATACTGTAAATCTTGAAATCAACATGAGTATGAACTAAATGCGAAAAATGCAAAGTGGTGTTTGTTCGCATTAATGAAACCTCGCATTTATGTCTCCAAAATGACTATCAACAATAAGACGCACTCACTGCACACTTTGGCTAGCGGAAATACCAACTTGAACATATACACAAACACGGTTTACTGAGCAGCAGTTGTAACAAGTATAGAACAATGTCATTTAAAAATTGCCTTTGAATCTTTAATGCCAGTCAACAGAATATACATATATACTGTGTGTTGTGTTGCTTTTAGGAAAACAGTTTATTGTTATTACAGATGTGCTTTACTCAGTGCTTATAAGCAGTGCTATTTGTGTTTGATTGGATTAAGGTAAGGATATGTATTGTTCCACTGGGGATGGGGGGGTGGGGGAGAGAGATTGTCGCATTGATTTTGCGTCACATTGGCTAGCTAGGGGTCAGCAGTTTGGAGACGCATTAATTTCAAGATTTACAGTATTCACTGTGTTCAAGGCCTCTGTTTCCTTTAACTTCAACAGATGTTATTCACATGAAGCATGAATGTTTGATAGGTCTATGCATATAGCAGTAGTGTATTTAATCAAGTGATGACAGAAGGGAACACATGTAGCAAGTACTCGGTGACAATGTGTTGATGTGAGGCTAGTGAGAGGGTGGGGGAGGCTGGTACTTGGTTTATTATAGCCTAATGTTCATTCTTGGTAAATAAATGTATTTTATTTCATCCTAAAACCTAATTTACAAAATAAAGAAAACCTACAACTTGTTATTCTAATATGGAATATATTTCAGTAACTATTTGATAATTTACTTCTCATCACAAAGTTCCATAAAGGACAAGATACATGCAAATATAATTCTACTCTGTACATCCATGTTCATTTGAAGGGTCATAGTTTTGACAACCATGTGCTTTTGGTAATTACTGTACCATATCATTTAATAATCATTTAACTTTGACCTGAGTCTGATGGTACACGAGCATTAGTTTTAGAAACATGCTCACCCATATTTATGGTCATGTGATGTTTTAATTGGGGAAAATGGGTAATTGTTTTTAATTATTAATTGTCATTAACCCAAAGAAAATCTTTGTGAACCCAACCCCCAATAATATTGCTAATATTTACAAGTTAGATAAATGGCCAAAAATCAGATATTTTAAATGCTTGAGAGTGTCAGTTCACACATGATTCACTCGTGATGGGGTATTTATAACACTGACGAATAATTAATACCATCAAGTAGCAAAATTTTCTTGTAACAGTATAAAACTATAGGTTGTTTTTTTTTTTAACTCTTAACTAGAACCTACAAACATGGTACTGTACTGTCAAAAAGTCTTTACATTTGGCAGTTTGATGTTAAAAACTGTATAAAAAAAATACTTCCGGGTTGATGTAAGCAAGGGTGTTTATCCAACTTAACAAACCTTGATGTGTATATTGATGCATTGTGTCACATTTATTGAAAAAGACATACTAACCTGGGGAAAAAAACATTTATAATACACACTCACACTAAAGAAGTGATAAGACGTAAAAAGCGTTGTTCATGGCGAACATGTTTACCTATAGTGACCTTGATTGTGTTCTGGGTCAATGTCATCGGTCGGAATTGTTATCTGGTATTTATCATTTACACGGAGTGAAATAGATTAAGCAATCACACGTTTTCATAAGAAATTGTCTGCTTACCGTGATCTCTGCGGCGTGTAATACCAGAGAAATATCAGCAACCGATAATCCAGCAGTCTCCAAGCAAGTAGATCTAGCGATGGTCACGTGCAGCACGTGATCTAACTGTTCAGACTATTTTTGTTTCCAGCTATTTACGTTACGTCACTTGACTGTCAGCGTTTTTATTCTGACATGGAACAATAAAAAGCGTTCATAATACGACAGTACGTATTTGATATACGATATCGAGAGGACAAAATGTATATGCAAAACTGATTTTTGTTTACTGCGGTGTAATTGGGGGGACAAGAGTAGATCCTCAGACTTGATTTCTAGGTGATGCAAGATAAGAAACTATACAGCTTTATATTTGTGTGCTAAACCTTCTAAGTACAAAGGAAGTTAATCTTAAAGTTATTGTTTGATACAAAATCAATAAGATCTAAATATATTTTTATCAAATATCATTTTAAGTGATGTTTGTACAAAAGGCACCAGACAATCGAATATCTCATCCAGTTTCGAGTGAGTGAGTGCGTATGGTTTTATGCCGCTTTTAGCAATATCAAGGCGGGGGGGGGGGGGGGGGGGGGGGAGTTTTCATGAATCGATCATGTGAGAAAACATTACTTGAATTGCATTTCAATCATTTCCCAAGGTCTTAGTAATAGTTTATACTGAATAAATGCATGTCTAATGCAAGCGACTTGTTTCACATACGAAACAGCAGTAGCCTGCAACCTCGGGGTATCGCGGTACTTAACCTTTATGTTTATTCGTGTTCTCTGTATCAGATATCATTCATGTTATCAAACAATGCATATTTTACTGATAAAAGTTCATTATTTACATTAGTAGCCCCGAGTAAAAGCCGGGCCTCGCGCTCTGTTTGACAATGGAGAGAACTCCATCGTATCGCGGTACAGAGAAAAGTTTTGTATGGAGGTCCGAATTGGACAAAAAGAGGACATAATTCTACCAACCACTTGGTATGATCATGCCAGACATCAGTGATTTGTCCAGACAAGTGCAAAGACAGCACAAGTAAAATTCTAAATGTGTTATCAGCAAGAGGTATTCAATGCATATTTCCCGAAAAGTAAGAGAAAATTATTTTTATTAGTCAACATCAAAATATCAGAAATGATATTTTAAGATTGTTTAAAAAAAATTGGATGACAATAATTTGTCAAAAAATGGAAAAATGTTAAAAGTCAACAATAAATATATAAAAAGCACTCCTAGTATGCCCAAAGTATGTATTTATCTTTTGGTTACTAGCGAAGAACGTATTTCTAAGTTTGGCATTATGGCCCTTATGATCTCCCAATAGATTCTGGGCACAGAGCGGGAAAAAATGTGCGGACTACGTAACTTCCGTTACCTCATTAGTCGCCATGAATATCATATGCTAGTGATCTAGTTCAGGTCGATAGAGAAAGTTTACTTGGGGAACTGCGGGTTATATCGTTGGCCATTGATAGATGGGGGTAAGGCAATATTTACAACAGATGCCAGAAATATGTATCAACGGATTAATAACTCCTTACTTACAGCAGACGGAACATTCCGAGGAAATTGAAATTGTTAACGAAGTGAGCACTTCCCGGTTACTGATTTGCATTAATAGACAGCCGCTAAGAGGATTGTCCCGCGTGAACCACCGGAAATCACAAATGCCGCGATACGATGAATGCCGCGGTACCATGGGGTCCGAGTATACATTAAATTGGTTGTTAGGCAATATAAAAGTTCTTTCGTAATGATTTGGGTGGCCCTGAAAAGGGCCTGTGGACAGTGTCCTAAAATTGTAACAAGCAAGTTTTCTACCTGACGCTGGCTCTCTTACTGATTTTCACCTTCTTCGATCCAGGCTTGACGATTTTCTTTGTTGGCCTCTTGCTTGGCCTGGCCTTTTTGATAGCTTTCTTGAGCATTTTCTTTGGTCGTTTCTTGGTCGCCGATTTCCTTGCAGGCTTCCTTGCCTTCTTTGCCTTTCCCGTGGAACGCCTTCGTGCTTTGCCTTTGCCTGCCGACTTCTTCTTGCCGGCGGTCTTCTTGGCCTTCTTGGCGGGCTTCTTTGTCGAAACTGCTCCTACGCGGAAACGGCCTGACGCTCCATTGGCGAGAGATCCCTTGGGGCGGACCAGGGCTCCCGTCTGTAGACCTTTATGAAAGCCACGTTTGAGCAAACTTGGCAACAAAGTAAGAGGAATTCCAGGGTAGGTGGCCATGATGTAGCTTTTGATGGCCTGCACTGAAGAGCCTTTCTTGTCCTTCAGGACACCAATTGCCGCAACGATCATATTCACGACAGTTGGGCGACCCGATGGCTTGCGATTACCCACGGACTTCTTTTGGCTTTTAACAGGAAAGGTAAGCACTGCAGGCCTAGCAGGCGATTGGGATCCGGAACAAGATGGACTTGGCATGATTGTTAGATGTATTCTTGACAGGTACACTGAACAGGAATGCCTTCAACTGACGTGACGTCGCTCTTATAGGCAACGCGCGGACGTGAGAGAAGACAATCAACACATATTCGCACGAAATGTAAATAGGCTTAGCGATTTACTGCAAATTGTGTTTGTTTACCAATTCATTATGATATTTCCTTTTACTTCGTTCATATTGGTTAAACAAAAATGGTACCATTCAGCAGCACATGTTCTAGTGATTCCGGGGATCCACATCAATTCCTGCAGGAATTTGGTGTTGCTACGCTATTGTGGGTTTTACCGTGAACTATAAAGAGAAATGTTTTTAAAAACAACGTTCCACATTAAAAAATTGGCTTAACCAAAAACATCTTGCAAAACATAAGCTCAAAATTACGTTCATGTTAAACATGTCATGGTTCTAATTCAATAGATGTATCATACATAGCAGTACAAATCAGTTAGACAGCTCAATTTTTATGTTAAATGTTAGCTCAAAAACACAACATCGACAGAAAATCGTCCATTTTGAATGCATTTCAACTTGGGTTTTGACAATACTTGAACGCTTTTGCCATTCTGTAAAGTTATATATGTACAGTACGACCCGAACCTCACTTTCTAGTGTCACTAATTCTTCTCAACTCAGTTTATGACCCGAATTAAACAGAAAACGATCTACATTATTGGTCCTTTTTCGTGCCCATATGTTGTGACATTTTCCCACTAATTCCAATGCGTGTACAGTGTACACACTTCCGTCATGTATCTAGCCCAGCTGTTACCTTAAATACTTCTTATCTCCAGTACAAAATAACTTTAAAAATCAAACAAATATACAAAATATTAACACAGGTTTCCGGCAAAATTATTATATGGCCTATGAAAAAAATACGAAAAATATTCTACTAAATGTTATTAGAGACGTACGTACGGTTGTGCACACTGAACAATTATGTATTTTGGTATTGCTTTCAAAGAATATTTTTCATAAACACCAGATCTTCTTAATATTTTAACCAAATTATTTTGTGAAATAGATAACATCTTACAATAATTTCGGTGTGTTGAGATGAAATATGAAGCAGTGAAATGTTACCAACATAGATCTAAGCCAGGAACTTAATGATAATATTTTCCCGATCGTTTTCGGTAAAACATGTAGACTGTGTACGTGTAAACATGGTAAAGGAAATTATGAATACTATAGTATGTTCAGTATGTCATTGTCAAATATAGTATGTTTATACAATGAATAAACCCATGGATCAAGCCAATGAAATTCATTCAAGGACATGGAAATGTGTTCTAAATATGCTCCACAGATACAAATCTTGATTAATGATCTAATCCAAATATTGAGAGAAATAAATATTTTTCTAAATATTACAGTGTCCTTATGATAAAGGAATACAGAATGGTTTGGGTTAGATGTTATAATTCATGCTAATGATCTGTAACAAGATATCTAGATTTGTATTTCCATATATATTTTTTAAACATTTTTCATTTAAGTTTGGTTTGTTTGTTGTTTTACGCCGCACTCAGCAATATTCCAGCTATATGACGGCGGTCTGTAAATAATCGAGTCTGGACCAGGCAATCCAGTGATTAATATCATGAGCATCGATCCACGCAATTGGGATCGATGTATCAACCAAGTCAGCGAGCCTGACAACCCGATCCCGTTAGTCGCCTTTTGCGACAAGCATAGTCGCCTTTACCGGCAAGCATATGGGTCTTCAAAGACCTATTCAAAAACATACACAAAATATGTACCAAATAATTAGACGGAAAGGTGTTTGGTGCTCGCAGAAAAATAAGTAGTTTTGTTAAATGAATTCCTGTTGGCATTTGTAGGCACCTCCTTTTTCAATATTTTATTTGAAAATGTAGAAAAACATTCTGACAAACCACCTATTGTTTGTCCTATATCATGTTTGAGTTAGTCCCCAAATATCGCTAAGCGGGTGAAGTAATGATTAATTAATCTAATTATGATCTTATAATTCTTAATGGATTTCTAGAGAAAGAATTAGATCGTCTTTGGTGATGGACTGTTTGGCATGTTATCGAGTTTATCATGTTTATTGATACTGACAGTTTGTAACACTAAACAAATATGACGTAGACGTTATTACGTCATATCTATGGCCACCGCGCGGACGTAGTAGAAGACACCCAAGACCCATAGGAGGGAAAATACTTCGGATTTGTTATAGTGTTGTGTTTGTTTACCATTTTATTTTTGTATTATTGTTTTGTTTAACTAACATATAATGCACACATGTGTTGTATCTACCCCGCCCTCATACTGAAGTTTCCGGTGGTGAACTATGTTTTATGAAAAGCAATATTGGAAACAAATAATATTCAGTTTTTCAGTGTGATTACGAAAATGTTTGGAAAATAAACAAAACACGCTTACTGAAAACATTTCTTTCAAAGATTATATGTCTCTATATGACTACGTTAATGCGTATTTTTAATGGGACTATGATTCTGGTCCGTTTTCCGACTAGCATTTATAATATAATTGGTGCGTTGAGTTTCCTTAATCAATGCAACGTACGTCTCAAATGCACAAACAAATGGTTGCCTGAAATCCAGAGTGACATGTAACTCCCACCACTACAGTATTGAGATAATGGCTGTTGAAGTTTTGAATTGTTGTCATTGAAACGAATAGTCTTAATCTAAGTCTCAGAATGTACTATACATAAGTTTTAGTGGTGCTTGTGCACATGCAATGTGTTTTGTTTTTTACTGAAACCACATTTCTGCACCAGGATTTTCAAGACACCACAAACCCGTACACGTAATACATTGACAACTCGATCCATAGTAAAACATCGATTCGGAACAAATTTCACAAACATTCAAACCAGTGAGCCTGACTTATCGGGTTTTCACATGTGTTTTAAGCAGATATTGCAAATGACTGAAAACTTAAACCTTAATTTCTAGGTAAAATAACTATTTAAGGGGAACATTTGGCCTTATAGTCATAATTAAGTTCGTGACAATAATTAATGTCAGCTACTGCTACAACACCAGATGACAACAATGAGTCTGAATCATTTTCAAGGCAAACACGTTGCAACAATGTAATGTTTGTGGCAGGCAATTTCTGGGTTATAGCGAAAACGGCACCTCAGCAAAACGTCACCGGGCGAAAACGTCACCGATTGGCGAAAACGGCACCTCGACTCAAGCGAAAACGGCACCTCGACTCGAGCGAAAACGGCACCTTATTTTTTTTTTACCTTGGTCAAATAAATGATATTAAACTTACATTGTAACTTGCAAAGGCCAATAATTGTGAGATGTTTAAACAAGTTTACATTAGAAATTAGCCTCTGCTCCAACTATAATCCAACTTAGCTTATACGCAACTCAACTTATGGTGAAAACATAACATGCTTTGACGAAAGATAATAGAAATTAAACTCACATCGTCTGTTACAAACACAAATAATTGTGAAATAAAACAAATAAGAAATTAGCCCCCCACTCCAATTTACTCACCGACTTTTATTCACTATACGCTTTGAAGTTTTAAGTACCTTTACTCAATTTAAGCTGAAACTGATTTAAGAGACCTAACATGGTGCTGTCAGGTCACAATTATTCACAATGGCCTATCGATGTGTTGCATGCGAGAAGAATGTCAGAAAAAAAATCAACATGCTGTATCCTTTGTGACTACAAAAATCGTTGTTATCGTTATTAAAAATAGAGGTGCCGTTTTCGCCCGACACATAGTAGCCGTTTTCGCCAAATGCGGTGCCTTTTCGCCAGAGAAATCGGTGACGTTTTGCTGAGGTGCCGTTTTAGCCTGCACCCGCAATTTCTTCTTCTTTTTCTCAACACTGGAGCATAGATATCTAGATTCTAATAAGATTTCATATTTTTCAAGACTTTTCGGTGACAATGTATCTTTTCCAAAAAAAACGTCGACATATTAATGATTACAGAGTACAAAACACGAATATACTGGTAGCGATATCATCTCTTAATGATTAATTTCCCTTAAAGCGAGATGTGGTTATAGCTGACTTAAGACAGCTGCCTCCACAAAATACAATGTTTTGATATTATATTGGCGCTTCTCGCACCTGTTATTAAGCAAAGGTTGTAACTTAATCCCCAAACCGAATTATGATTCATGTTTTGTAATGATAGTAATAAATATATTTGTATACGGGAACTACTAAAATTACACTACAACATAATTATCAAAGCATACAAAGTACATTTATGATGTCATCCTGTTTAGTATAAAATTCAAATATGCGCGTATTCCGTTTTAAATACCCAGTCTGACTTTCAACTACATTCTTCTGCAGCGGGTTCTTTGACAAGTTGTTGCATGTACTGTTAACTGTTTTGACTGTTGAAAATGGGATACCTCATCTGACAATAGATCAAAATTACCGGTAAACTCATTTTGTTTGTCATTTACCCAAACATCATTCAACAGAAACAAACATTTAGACTGTAAGCATTGCTGATCAGAGACGACAGTTGACACTGACGTAAACATCTCTTGCTCTGTTCTTGACTGCGAGATTGTGCTTCAGGTTTTTGGATATTTGTTTATGAATGTTCAAGCAGTTATCGCCGACCGAAACTTCACACAAATGTAAAACTATAAGTTTGTAAAGTCTTAGTTTGTATTTTACAAGAGGTTTTCCATCATGCATTAGACATAATAAACTAAATAGGCCTATATAGCGGTGTATCAATGTATGTGTTCTGCTAGCTCAGTGTAGACACAGACTATATGTCAAACGGAGACTTCTTCTTACACTGAGTATTATGAGGGTAAACGTTTACTCAGTATATTCAGCATCGTTTCACTGAATGGTAAACATGATCTATGTTATAATGTGATGTATTATGGTTCAGTGCCAGAAGTAAAATTGTCAAGTGCAATGATTCACCGAATGTAGCCGAGACTGGCGTTTGGGTTCTACAGTCAAGACATGACCCTACACACAGGACCATGTAACTAATAATAGTAACAAACAAACTCGGCCTCATCTACGATTTTATTGCTAGTTTTTTTCACTGTTATTATTAGATACATGTCCTGTGCCCTACATCAAGTCTTGACTAGGACTCCATCGAGGCTCACGGCTACATTGAAAGGTACTGGCCACCACCAGTTACCACATTTTTTTAATTGTTATTTCTGAAATATCCTCTGTATGAAGTTGACTGTACCAATAACTTTGAATTTTGTGAAAGTATGAGCAAATGTGATGTCGACTGTCGACTAACTGTACCAGTTTGTATCATTGTCTAAGCAGCATGTGCCATGTGATCACACAAACCTATTCAGTTACATTTTTAGCTGTCTCTGGTATAACATTCAAATGTTTTATTCTTTAAAATTATTCCAGATGACATAAACTTATATACCCAAATTTAATATACACATTAGGGCTGGGACGAGTCCAAATTTACTACCCGGGTACCCGACCCCCTATTATCCGACCCTACCCGGGTCCTACCGCAAGTCTCAAGAGTTGGGAACAAAATGTCTGATGAGTAATTGTTTTACCGCAACCCTGGCTAAAACTATTTAGATACATGTATCAAACAATCAGATCATGCGTTCACTGAAGTTGACTGAAGCTTTATCTTTACTCAAACATATACAAGTCAACAATGGTCAAATGGAATGTGTGCATTGTCATGAAGAAATGCGAGCATTAGTGACTTGTAGTGTTACCACTGAGCTATAGTGAGTTTTTGTCATTAAACAATATATCACATGACTAACCACAGGTCCGGGTAGTCCTATGGGTACCTGGGTCCTACTCAGGACCCACCCGACATGAGTACCCGAGTTACCCGTCCCAGCCCTAATACACATGCTTATCCATGACAGTTACTGTATTCGACATAATAAGCGCCCAGGACGCTCTCAAAATTAGAAATAGGGGGCTCTTATTGAATATTATTTTGGTGAAAAAAACAGAGCTGAAAGGTAAATTTCGTGGTTTATGCTGACAGCCTGAAATGTTTATGTATGACAGATATATTTTTTCAGAATTAAATTGCCCATAATTAAGGATGCATATAACACATAAGTGTGTATTATACGCGAAAAAACGAGTCTTGAGTACATTGATCAATCGCAAGGGGTGCTAATTGGGATTGTTCACTAGCCAATATATTAGCAAATATCGCTGTGGGCGCTTATGAGAGCGGGGCGCTTATTACGTCACATACAGTATGTGCTATGGATATTGCGATATATTCAGGTTATGAAAATTTGGTCCAGGGACAATTGCTCTGGTTTCAATACTCTTAGTTTTAACAACATGAACAAAGGAATTATTACTCTGTAATAATAATTTCGCCAAGGTGTATCTTGTGCTAGTACAACATTTATTTGAACTTAGTGTGTATTTCATATTTATTCTTCGGCCTTCAATAGCATTGATGCATATACAAATAATAACAGTAGTTTTTTATGATTGTAGTGATTAAGTTACAGTTGGTGCAAAGATGGCTGACAAACCAAAGGTAAAGCGTCGGAAACAGAAACTACTCAGTTCCAAAGATGGAGAAGAGGAGGGTCTGGTCAATGCAGGAATTGTGAGTACTTTTGTCAAATCTTTGTTTTATCACTTGAAACACAAATTCACCTGTTTTGAGTTCAAATATTATTGTTATATAACTTTGAAGTATCTCCGTTCCAATTAATTGTTTGATTCCCGAAGAAAAATACTAGGGTAAGCATGGTAAGGAGATAGGAAAGGGAAATGAATTTTTTTAATGTTTTCTTTCAAGGCCTGTACAGATCTATAGATAAGCTGTGTATTTGTGTAAAATACCCCCCAAAAGTATTCAAAACTCAATTACTTTCAATTTACTTGTGTACAGAAACACATGCATTAAATGAAAAATTAAAATGTATAAGAAGAGCTAGGTAAATACCCTATGAAGCTTTTTCAGCAAGTGTACAAAGGAGCTAATTTACAAAACACAATTACGAGCTAAGTTACTTTCCGAGTCAAGCCTATATATTTAGAACATTATTTCAGTTTTTTTAAATCTTGAAATGTTCACAAAGTTTGGGAAAAACCCAATAGAGTGATGAATAGATGAGTGAAAAAATATTGGTTCCCCAATGAAAAATGTAATAACCCAATTAAAATAGAAACCCTAGAGTAAAAACTCAGTTGCTCAAAAAGTTATCTAGAGCTCTGCCTGTAGTGACGGAAAGAATTTTAAATTAGTGACAAATGATGATTTCTTGTTGCTGTAGGACTCCGACACAGAGGCAGCGTACCAGGCCTTCTCCCAGACGGAGGGGGAGTCGTCAGCTGCTGAACTCAGTGTATGTTATTATCATATTAATTATTGTTCTTACTAGTGCATGGTGGCACATGGTCCTGTGCACAGCATACAGGTCACTATCACGAAGAATAGTGATGGGTGTCTTCGTAGAATTTCTCGGGCTTCGGTCCTGCCTCACACTGAAACACATGTAACATGTGGTCTGTCCTTAGGCCAGTGACTGTCCCAAATATGCCTCTGTACACTCTGCAGTGAATGGGTACCCGATAGGATGAGATTGTAATGTGACCATTGACCAATGTTGACCTAATACCGCCTCATAATCAGCATGGGTTGTATACTTCCCAGGGAGCTGAGAATGAAATTCGAGTGTGCACCTATACATTGACCGGGTTAATACTAATGTATGGCTATGAGAACTCACTGAGTGGAATTCAGTGCATTATGAACAGACTTATCATTAAACCCTCATCTATCATGTATGTGTTAGAAATTCCCAAATCCGTAAACAAAGGTCAGCCAGGTGATTCCTGAAAGCCTGGTTTTGATTATGTGGATCTGTAAAAGGTGTTATCAGAGTATGTTATATCCTTGTAGTTGTACAGTGTTCGAAATCAAGCCAGAAAGTCGAGGGGTCTTTGTCATAAGCCCTGCAGCTCTGGATTAAATAATATAGGAGAAAACTTCATGGACTTCAGGACCCCTCTTATTTTCCAACACGGTACCTTGGTCAATATTGTAAATGATTATAGTCAAGAGTAAAATACTTTGTAGTATCAGTTAGCCAAATATTTCTTCTAAATGGCCAGGGGGCACGGGTGGCCCAGTCGTCTAAGGCGCCGCAATTTGCTGTGCAGAGTTGCGTCCCTTGGGCACGCTAGAAACCTATGATTGTGGGTTCGAATCCCGGTTCGCCCCGATTATGTTTCTAGGTTTGTCAGCACTATACCCGTGCTCTTGGGTTTCACCGAAGTGGTAAACCTCTGAGACCTGCATCACTTCGGGCTTTCCTCCCACATTAAGCTGACACGCCGTGATATGACTGGAATACTGTTTAAAGCGGCGTTAAACACAACTCTCTCACTCACTCTAGATGGCCAACATATTCAAAATAGGTGAGCGAAGATATTGTGTGTGTACGTATGTTATGATACTGACTGAAGTGTATTGGTGGACTGTAGGCCAGAGAGGAAGTGGAGCAGGCCCATTCCCTGGTGAAGGATGTGAAGACACGGCACAAACGGCGGCAGAGGGAGGTAACATCATGAGGTCTATGTGACCAATAAATTCACAATATTATGTCCTGTAATTAAACACCATTAAACATCATTAAACTGTCATTAAGATCAGATATATGTTCTCTCTACAGCTAAACAAAGAGGACATCCCATTATGGGTCATGTCAGAACGACCTTTTTGAACTTTGACTGACTAATGAAATGACTAACAAGAAGTTGATATTAGCCAATCAGAAAGCATCTTCGTCGAGCTATGATTCAAATTGGCAACTACGCTTTGAAAAATATTCTCACAAAGATATCAATTCAAAAATTGAAAACTGAACATACTGGAATGTCTAATAGATGGCCTAGATTGTATTTCAGTACTTCACACATGCAATGCAAAATCTCTTTCATTCAAATGTTTATCCAACTGAAACAACAGATGGACAATTTATTTGATAGATAATGGACTGTTGTTTGGAAAACCCTGTGTTAAACATTTGGAGGTTCATGATTAGAAAACACATTCTGACTGTCACTTTCCTGACCTGGTAAGCGACACTCTGATTGGTCAGATGAAAGTTCGTTCAGACGTAATGGGATGTCTTCAGATCTTTGTTTAGCGAAAGCTAGAACTAAGATCTGATTTTAATGAGATTGGTAATTTAACATGAATTGAGGTAAAAAAACAACTTTTTAAAATTCTTCTTACGACTCATAACTGATTAGGTGAGTTTAATATTGCTGAAGAGTGCCATACTGCATTAAACATTTTGATACAATTCTAGTTGTCCCAACTGGTGACACCTAAAGATGACGTGAGCGGGGAGCTGAAGACGATGAAGATGAAGAGTCGCAAGAAGATTGAGGAGGAGACAGCCAGGGAGGAGGAGCTCGCTGCAGCCATTGCTGCTGCCGAGGCAGAGGAGTCTGCAAGGGAGGCTGAGGCGCCCCAGCCGCTGGAGACAGAAGATGGGACAATCCCCATGCCAGCAGAAGAGGAGGTGACAGAGACAATCAAACCAGAGGAAGAGACCACACCTACAGGGGAAGGTGGGTGTAGTCACTTGACTAACTGTTGGTGTGGTCATTAGTAGCAATAGGGGAGGGGTCGGAGGAAGAGGCCACGCCTACAGGGGAAGGTGGGTGTAGTCACTTGACTAACTGTTGGTGTGGTCATTAGTAGCAATAGGGGAGGGGTCGGAGGAAGAGGCCACGCCTGCTGGGGAAGGTGGGTGTAGTCACTTGACTAACTGTTGGTGTGGTCATTAGTAGCAATAGGGGAGGGGTCGGAGGAAGAGGCCATGCCTACAGGGGAAGGTGGGTGTAGTCACTTGACTAACTGTTGGTGTGGTCATAAGTAGTAATAGGGGAGGGGTCGGAGGAAGAGACCACGCCTACAGGGGAAGGTGGGTGTAGTCACTTGACTAACTGTTGGTGTGGTCATTAGTAGTAATAGGGGAGGGGTCGGAGGAAGAGGCCACGCCTACAGGGGAAGGTGGGTGTAGTCACTTGACTAACTGTTGGTGTGGTCATTAGTAGCAATAGGGGAGGGGTCGGAGGAAGAGGCCACCCCTACAGGGGAAGGTGGGTGTAGTCACTTGACTGACTGTTGGTGTGGTAAGTTTAGAAGCAATAGGGGAGGGGTCGGAGGAAGAGACCACGCCTACAGGGGAAGGTGGGTGTGGTCACTTAACTGACTGTTGGTGTGGTAAGTTTAGAAGCAACAGAGGAGGGGTCGGAGGAAGAGACCACACCTACAGGGGAAGGTGGGTGTGGTCACTTAACTGACTGTGGGTGTGGTCAGTTTATTAGCAATGTCAAGTTAACACACAACATGTCACATTTTGATTAGCAACCTTTTACCATCATGAAGTGTTAGCATGTTTGTGTTGTGACAGTCTCCATGCCGGACACCACTATGGAGACAGCACCACCAGACACAGGCGAGATCACCATGGCTACAGTTCCAACAGAGTCGACGGAGACAACAACAAAAGCTCCACGAGGATCATCTCTCCGAGCCAAGATGAAGAAAGTTCTTGAGAAAGCTAGGGTGAGAGGAAGCGTTTTTTGTTCAGAAGCCCCCTGGGAATTCTGAGGTACTGCATGCTTGACATCAACTGTCTCCAAGCATTCATGGTATTTGGTTTCGGCCCCTTGGTATTCTAGGTTAGAATACTCCCCAGTAAATAATACTGGTCGTCAGAGCAAACTATATGGATGGGGTGGTCAGCCTCGGTGACACTGTACCCAGATGAAGTGGATTAGTGCTCATAATATCAATCACTGAATTGTCTGGTCCAGATTTGATAATTAACATACTGCCTTTATTTGTTGGAATATTACTGGGTGCAGATTTTTCAACAAACAAACATTTGTTTTTTTACTTAATTTTGTTTGTTGCAGGAACAAGCTGAAGATGAGATGAGAGAGGAGGCTAGAGAGGAGCGTGCCAGACAGCGGGACATCAGGCACGAGAAGGCGAGGACACGGTTCGACACAGAGGTGAGTCAGACAGTGGGACATCAGGCAGGTTCGACACAGAGGTGAGTCACACAGCGAGACATCAGGCAAGAGAAGGCGAGGACACGGTTTGACACAGAGGTGAGTCAGACAGTGAGACATCAGGCAAGAGAAGGCGAGGACACGGTTTGACACAGAGGTGAGTCAGACAGTGGGACATCAGGCAGGAGAAGGCGAGGACACGGTTCGACACAGAGGTGAGTCAGACAGTGGGACATCAGGCAGGAGAAGGCGAGGACACGGTTCGACACAGAGGTGAGTCACACAGCGAGACATCAGGCAGGAGAAGGCGAGGACACGGTTCGACACAGAGGTGAGTCAGACTGCAGTACATCGGGCAGGAGAAGGCGAGGACACGGTTCGACACAGAGGTGAGTCAGACAGTGGGACATCAGGCACGAGAAGGCGAGGACACGGTTCGACACAGAGGTGAGTCACACAGCGAGACATCAGGCAGGAGAAGGCGAGGACACGGTTCGACACAGAGGTGAGTCACACAGCGAGACATCAGGCAGGAGAAGGCGTGGACACGGTTCGACACAGAGGTGAGTCAGACAGTGGGACATCAGGCACGAAAAGGCGAGGACATGGTTCGACACAGAGGTGAGTCAGACTGCAGTACATCGGGCAAGTGAAGGCGAGAACACAGTTCGACACAGAGGTGAGTCAGACAGTGGGACATCAGGCAAGTGAAGGCGAGGACACGGTTCGACACAGAAGTGAGTCACACAGCGAGACATCAGGCAGGAGAAGGCGAGGACACGGTTCGACACAGAGGTGAGTCAGACAGTGGGACATCAGGCACGAGAAGGCGAGGACATGGTTCGACACAGAGGTGAGTCAGACAGTGGGACATCAGGCACAAGAAGGCGAGGACACGGTTCGACACAGAGGTGAGTCACACAGCGAGACATCAGGCAGGAGAAGGCGAGGACACGGTTCGACACAGAGGTGAGTCAGACAGTGGGACATCAGGCACGAGAAGGCGAGGACACGGTTCGACACAGAGGTGAGTCAGACTGCAGTACATCAGGCAGGTTCGACACAGAGGTGAGTCACACAGCGAGACATCGGGCAGGAGAAGGCGAGGACACGGTTCGACACAGAGGTGAGTCAGACAGTGGGACATCAGCCAAGAGAAGGCGAGGACACGGTTCGACACAGAAGTGAGTCACACAGCGAGACATCAGGCAGGAGAAGGCGAGGACACGGTTCGACACAGAGGTGAGTCAGACAGTGGGACATCAGGCAGGAGAAGGCGAGGACACGGTTTGACACAGAGGTGAGTCAGACAGCGGTACATCGGGCAAGAGAAGGCGAGGACACGGTTTGACACAGAGGTGAGTCAGACAGCGAGACATCCGCCAAGAGAAGGCGAGGACACGGTTTGACACAGAGGTGAGTCAGACAGCGAGACATCAGCCAAGAGAAGGCGAGGACACGGTTTGACACAGAGGTGAGTCAGACAGCGAGACATCCGCCAAGAGAAGGCGAGGACACGGTTTGACACAGAGGTGAGTCAGACAGTGGACATCAGCCAAGAGAAGGCGAGGACACGGTTTGACACAGAGGTGAGTCAGACAGCGAGACATCAGCCAAGAGAAGGCGAGGACACGGTTTGACACAGAGGTGAGTCAGACAGTGGGACATCAGGCAGGACATGGTGAGGACATGGTTTGACACAGTCACACAGCAGGACATAGGCAGGAGAAGCCTCAAAAATGTTTTACCTTCACTTCTGGAGCTCTCATAAATATAATCCTGCACATGTTTTTCAGATCACTGAGGAGGAAATGGAAGAAAAACTTCAAGCTCAGAAACTGAAGTTGCGCTGGAAGAAGAAAGGGCCAAAGTCTGATAAGGTAAGACGCATGTATTTACCCTGTTTCCCATTGACAGCCAGTCTTTCTCTATTCATTTTCCCAAAGTGTTTTACAAAAACACAACTTGAAAGATATGTTATTGCCTTTGTATAATATACTTTGACAAAAGTGTAGGGGATGTTAAAAATCACCAATACAATGTCTTCTGATCTATTTGGTATTGGAAAATGGAAGTGATTTGATCCTATCTGCAGGAGAGTAGGTGATCATATTTTAATGGGTGTGATGAGATGGTGACGCACTAGGTCGTGAAAGTGGTCGGAATATCAAATTCCAAATTTACATTTTGCAGCCAACATCACTAATGTGTTAAATAAGTGTCTTTGACCGTTCAGTTCGATGAAAACAATATGCATCTGCTCACAATCAGGAATGTAATGGTGGATAAAGGTCACATGTTTCATGACTGTCACAATGTTGTGTTTGGGAGGTGCTTTTTTTTCGGACATGTTATTGCCATATAAATCACTTACTTTCATAGCCAGACATTGATGTATTTCCCCCTTAAAACAAATTATCTTCTACTTTCTATGTATTGTATAATTCTTTTAACATGTTTACAAGAATTATTTTGTATACTTTTTCATGCAGATAATGTGTGATGTGATACGTTACAGGAAATGGGAATGCCAACTGCAGAAGAGGCGTTCGACTTCTTCACTCGGGAGTATGAACCCGAACCGGAAGTGGAGGAGAAGAAAGAAGGAGAAACAAAACCCGAGGACAAGAAGGAGGAGGAGACGGAGCCAAAGGAAGGGACAAGCGAGGAGAAGGAGGAGGGAGAAGGAGAGGTGGGGACAGTCATTCCTCTAGATATTGGAATGTTTTCTAAAAACATTTGCTTTAAGTGAGATTATGTTAAAGAATGGGCAAAATCAAGGTCACCCATTCATTTCTAGGAGGGTTAAACCTTGACTTAAACCAGAGTGCTGAAGTTGATGTTGTTGGGTCCTGAGATGTAGTTTCATTTATTAGTTTCACACAGAGAAGAGCCTTAGAAAGTAGGAGAAAACAATAAAAGATAATTGTTTCCCTTTTTTTCAGGAAGGAGATAAAAAGAAAGATGACAAACCAGAAGGTAACTTTTACAAAACTTTGCATACCCAACTGTCTCTAGACATCAAAGTACTAGAATTGGGATTTCGGGCACACTTGGGCCAAGAAGAACCCTTTTTTAGCCCACATGTCTTTATTGTCTTTATTGGCAGATATATCACACTAGGAAGCACTGTAAGCACCCTGTTTGTTGATTCTTGGTTTGTCAGCACCATCCGCATCTGAATCTAGTAATTCTGGTTTACCAGGCAATGCATAGTGTGGCTCCTGCATACTTCCAGGAACTGATAGTACCATACAGGCCTGCACGTTCTCTCCGATCGAAAGATCAACATCAGCTATTGGTGCCAAAGTCACGTACCGACACACATGGTGACAGGTCATTTCAACATGCTGGCCCATGGCTATGGAACAGTCTGCCACAAGAAATCTGAGAAACAGAAAATCTGACAAACTTTAGAAAGACACATTTAAAACCTGTCTCTTCAAGAGAGCCTTTGACTAGATCAATGAGGTTCTAAGCACATTTGAGCAGTTGTTACTTGGAAAATGTGCTATGCAAATTTGTAAGAATTTAGCAACACGCATTGCCATGGGTTTTCCTCCTACATTTACTCGACATACCATTGGTTTTTGGTGAGGAAGGGTTATTAACATCCATGTCACTCATTCAGTGGGAGCAAGGGTTGCTGTGTCATCATGGTCATTTGAGACACCAACTTCACTGTGCAGAGTTGCTTCCCTTAGTCATGCCAGGATCATATTGTGTGTTCAAATTCTAGATGGGTCCAGATCTCTTGGTTTGTTGACACCATTCCCATGCTCCAGGGTTTACCCAAGTGATCAACATCAAAGACATGCATCCATTTGGGCTTTCCTCCCACATTAAGCTGACACTCCATGATGTGAATGAATAGGGGTTGGGTTCAAAACAAAATAGAAAATAATTCACTCGCTCACCTGATCCTAGGAGGTTGAGTGTGTCAGTGAGTGTGTCAGTGAGTGCTCTGTTTAGTGCTCTGTGCTCAGTGAGCAAGAGGGTATCCTGAGCTTCACCAAAATTTGTAAAATATCATATGTTATGATGTAATATATCTGTTATACTGTTATATATCTGTTATATATCCATTGTGTTAAGCATCCATTTACTGTTATGTATAGTATATACCATATATCATTGTGATGGTATATATCTGTTATATTGTTATATATCTTGTGTCATATCTGTTATTTTGTTGTACATATCTGTTATACTGTTACATATTCATTATGGTGTAATATATCTGTTATACTGTTAGGTATTCATTATGGTGTAATATATCTGTTATACTGTTAGGTATTCATTATGGTGTTATATATCTGTCATACTGTTAGGTATTCATTATGGTGTTATATATCTGTTATACTGTTGTATATTCCTTATGGTGTAATATATCTGTTATACTGTTATATATCTCTAATATGGTTATGCATCTGTTTGAGGATGTTTCTGATCTCTGCACAGATGAGAAGCCCCTTCTAGAAGACTTTGGTGTGGAGGGAGACGAAGGAGGGTACGGTCAGACCACTGTGGGCCGAGCCGAAGTTACTGCCCCTGATAAGCTGCGAGAGAAAGAAGAGAAATTATTATACATCCCGTCACTCATCAGCCGTAAGTTTGTTTGTTTTTTGTTTAACGCTGCACTAAGCAATATTCCATCTATATGACAGTGGTCTAAATAATTGAGTCTGGACCAGACAATCCAGTGATTGATATCATGAGCATCGATCCACGCAATTGGGATATATTGATGACATGCATCAACCAAGACAGCGAGTCTGACCACCCAATCCCTTTAGTCGCCTTACGACAAGCATAGTCGCCTTTTACGGCAAGCATGGGTTGCTGAAGACTTATTCTACCCCAGATCTTCACGGGTCACCATAAGTTTGTACCTGCAGAAGGCTAGCATCAAGGCAGCATCATACACACATTGAGTAAACTAATCTTGTTAACAGGTTTTAAATATATAATTGTCAACATACTTCAAAAATCAAAATAAGTTGATCATTTTACCATCATGATTCATCACAAAGTTTGGGGAGGTCAGGGTAGCCTAGTGGTTAAAGTGTTCGCTCTTCACCCCAAAGACCCGGGTAAGATTCCCGACATGGGTACAATGTCTGATGCTCATTTCTGGTGTCCCCTGCCGCGATATTGCTGAAATATTGCTAAAAGCAGCATAAAACTATACTCACTCACCGCAAAGTTTTTCGACAGTAGATACCTAACGATCTGAAGTAACCATGGTAACATGTAACCTGTATACTTCACATTGGGACCATGGAATTCCCCTTTTGCACAAGGCACCAGTGTTTTTTAACTGTATGTACAACACTTAACGGAAAGCAAACATATTTTAGTGACTTAGTGCTTGTGTTAGTTTAGAAGCTTGCCCTCTAAAAGCAAGACAAAAGAATACTTCAACCCTCACAATAAACAAAAGAACTGACCAGCCCAAGTTCAGCTTGGGGCAATCAGGCTGGAAACGTGTACCGTACATAATCTAATAAAATACACCAATTACACTCTAAAACCAATACCATATGTATCCTGATAAACTATAAAAAAGACACTGCCACACATAGTGTATCCAATTGTTTAGGTGCACGAAGCCCACACTTGAGCTGATTGTAAATCAAGTTCAAGGGGAGATGAGGGAGGGTACAAAATAAAAACGAAACATGCAGCGGACTTTATGATGATACGGGCTGTGCCTGAGAACCCAAGACTATTATTTTTTTATAGCCTTACACATGAGTTGTAACCATAGCAGCAACAAAATGCCAAAGTTGACAAAAATGTGCAGGGGAAGTTTGATGTATGGGGCCAGTTTTATTCTAGTTCATAACATATTACAGATGAAAAAATGCATGCTTGGATTGTATGCTTGATGGATTCCTGTAACGTGCATCTTGTTGTGTCAGTGCCCACATCTGAGAAGGTAGGGCAGGACCTGGCCCCCCGGTTCTTGGAGGAGGAGGGTCTGTATGTTGGCACACGACCCCTCATCCCCACCCGCAACCAAAACAAGATGGAGAACAGGCTGCTGCACGAGCCAGACAAGGTACCCAATCTATTTTTGATTTTACTTTCATTGAAATTAATATAATAATGATAATTTCATTGAGACCAAATAAAAATTCAGACTTAATCTGTTTCCTGTGTGAATGAGGCAGTTTTTAGGAAAGTGTGATCTGCAGATGTTGATGTGTTGTAGGGAAGACGTTGGTTTGGTGAAGATGGACAGATCATAGCATTGCCGGACCCGCTGAGGTCTACCCCCTCACGGCCAATCGTACCTGAGGAGGTGGAGCCATACCTGGAAACAGTGTTTCGGAAGGTGAGGAACACCATCATAGTCTACTCGTTTCATTACCCTTTTGTTGTTGACAAATATGTGACATTATCGCGTCGCTATGTCATATATCTAAATAAAAATAATATTGCAGCAGCATGTATACATCGCAAGACTCAAGTCCTTAGAAGGCATGCTCAAAGTCTTGACATTATTACAGTAAACTATGATTATAAAGAATACGCTTATAACAAACTAACAGATGTAAAGAACTGTTTTCGGTCCCGTCCATTGCTGTATATATGTTGATATATGTTTGTAATAAACTAACATTAATGGTCCCTTTGAATTCATTATGACCGTAGTTTACTGTATTTGAAAAAATTGGATCCGTGTGCATTCAAATTTTATTCTCAGCTCCTTTGGGAGTATTTAACCTAAGCAGCCTCTGCCGAGTACCCAGTTGCTGCTGAATGGGTGTGGGGTAGGACGAGCGGTCTAGAAACTGGAGTCAAGCTTGCCATGTGTGGTCAACCTTGGAACATGTGCTTGCTGTGTTTCAGAACATGTAGACAGTACAAAGTGCATGTATTTGAGTTTAACTGATCATTTGATTTCCTATGACTGCGGTTTAAAGTAGCCTTATATCATACAGGCGATCATGCGTGAGTTTGACTGCCGCTACATAGATGGGGCTATTGACGGCTCAGGGCGGTACCAGCTTGACGTCGACATCAACTCCATCAGCTTCACTCATCATCATCTGTTCAGCAAGGAACATGTCCTGTCTCAACGACTGACAGAGCTCAACCGGCTGTATCTCGTCAGAAAGAAAAAAAATATCACAGAATTCCTCATCGAGAAGGTTTGAATAATCATTTGTTAATGCTTATGTGTATTTCTTCAAAATTTGTAACCATCAAGTTGTATAGTTAAGCATATTTTACGACTAAGCTATGATAATATACGAGATATATATTGAGACACTTCGAGCATTGTATGTGCGGTATTCTGTGATTACTGATTTCAGTTAGAGCAATAAATCATTAATGTTTATATTATACTGTCAAAAAATCTGGGAACTGAAATGATGTTTGTCCAACACAGAGTAATGGAAATTAACCCCCTCAGAATTGCAGAGATCATCCTGACTGATTATATGTATTGGCAGTTGGTACAATAACTGGAGACATTTTGTCTGATGTTTCATGACCAACATTTACCATTCTCACTTAAACCATCTTCTAGAGGCAAGGGAGTTACCTGACTATAAAAGTCCACTTTCCACCCTTGCCAAACTAGGCTGGTATTATGGAGTTATTTTGGGGGTGAATTAATGAGTCTACATGCATAGTCCAGTCAAAATCAACAAACAAAAACAAAATCAACATCCGATTCGTAAACTGTCGTGCAGATTTCGGTCGATTGCAGGATTTGCAACATAGCATCAACAGATATTTTCCCAATCTTTTAACGTTTTTAGTCAAGGTGCTCATGTGACTTGATGGATTTTGTGAAGTAAGACCTGTTTTATTACAATATGGATCTTGATTATCGATCAGATTGGCTTCACTGGGCACCACCATTTTGTTTGAAGCAAATGCAAGTGATGTCAGAGGTTGAATCTGATTGGTCAATAGGAGGAACATAAAGGGATATAACTCGTAATAGTCACTGGTGGGGCTTTGATCGAACCCAGACATTCAGGCCTAGTTCGGCAAGGGTGGAAACTGGACTTTTACAGTCAGTTAACTCCCCTGCCGTGGGAAGATGACGTAGACTAGTTTACCCGTGATCATGTAGATAACCATACAAGAATATGATCAAAGTTCATTCAATAAAATCAGTTATAATTGACATTTAATTTTTATAGCATTAATATCCTAAAAATCCTTTCCCTTTTTACACATGTTTAATTGGAAAACCTACTGAATACATCTGGGTCCTTTTGTGTACTTTCAGCTGAGAGCTCTGAAGAACTCGGCCCTCCATTTGAAGGATCATATATTGTCACACAAGGTTTGTACGCCATCATTTTGATGTGTTGATAGACATTCAGTTTTGTATGATTCAAAATATATATTTCAAACCTTGTTACCAGGTAACAAGATACTGTTCTCCGACTTAAGTTAGTCATGTGATTTAAACCGCTAGAGAACCAAATTTATGGGTCACTATTTCTCTAATAATGGTTGTAAAGACTCTGGACACTGACAACCGCTGGATATTGCTGAATGGTGATGGAAGCTGGACAATTAAGAGAGAGGAAAGCGGTGCGGTCACTAGATTGTGACTACACTGGTTTTACAACCCGGTGACAATCACGGCATCAAGTAATCAAACCAAACTAATGTTTGATAGCAATGTAATGATCCACCTTTTCTAATCATAAGACAAGTATAAGAAATATTATAACTGGCCTGTAAATATTCCAATCTGGATCATTAAAAAAAGAGTGGTTGATATTGTGAACAACAATCTATTTTGTTTAGTGTCTGTCAGTCATTGAGCGGCTCATTCTGTGCCCACCACTCCTTCACAGTGAGTGCCGTGAAGACCCGGGGTAGAATAAGTCTTCAGCAACCCATGCCTTCCGTAAGAGGCGATATGCTTGTCGTAAGAGGCGACTGACAGGATCGGATGCTTAGGCTTGCTGATTTGGTTGATGCATATCTTTGCATCCCAATTGCATAGACTAATGCTCACGATGTCAATCACTGAATTGTCTTGTCCAGACTTGATTATTTACAGACTGCCATCTTTAAGCTGGAATATTGCTGAGTGCGGCGTTAAACAACAAACAAACAAACAAACAAACCTTCACAGAGAGCTTGGACACAGGTCATGTCGTCTTCAAATTCTGGTCATATAGTATCTGTTCCTGATCTGGATTCCTGTTGCCTAAAATAACATTGTTTCAATAGGGAGAGATGAGTGTAGCGGACAGAGCAAACTACGAGAGGAGGCTGGTGGACTACAAGTATGAAATAAGGTTAGTTCACTGCCGTACAGTCCACCCTCATTAATCTAATCATGGGACAAAGGTGTCTCTGTATGCAGTTGGCCACTTATTCCTGTTTTTGTGTGGCACACTATGCTACACTTCTAACATGACATTATTACAGCCACATAGTGAAACTACAACACAACAGGTACATAGTAATGGTACATTTTTCATAAACATTTCAATAATTTATCCATAAATTATTAATACATCAAACGTTTGTGACAATAAACTAAAACACCCTCTTCAGTTAACTGATCAATTTGCTCAGTAACTTCCAATAACTCAGACCAAGAGGGTACGAACAAGTCACAGTTAATGGGGAGGGGAGGGATACTTTCTAGGAATACATGCACATCTTACTTGTCCTGCTTGTGGAGTGAGAAAAGTAGAATGTGGTCATATTTCCGTGTCAAAATGTTGAGTTACATCAGCCTTTGTAAGGTTTCCACTATAATCACTAAATGAAAGCTCCTCTCCTTGACTGTTGAAATGTTTTGTTGCTATCTATCTGATAAGATTCAAATATAAAGTCATGGCTGTGTTGTAAGAGAATGTCCACAAGAATAATCTTTACAAATTAGCTCATATATCAGAAAATAATATTTTCTGTCAAAATTGTTCTGGATATGGTTAATGTCAACTTAAATTTAGAATTTGAATGAGAAATATGTTCATTATTTTTGTCTGTATTTATGTCCTGACAAGTATTAAGCTTGGATAGTATTAGTGTACATACACTCGTCACTTTCCTTAATCTCAGGCAAACCCGTGTGATGCGGGACCGCGAGGAGCTTACCGACCGGCAGCTTCTGAAGAACATCATCAACACTTGGAAGGAGGTGAAGAAACAGAGAGAGTTCCAGAAGTTTACATCCACCACTGTTAAGCTGCAGGTCCGCAGGTAAGGGGGAACAATGCCGGTGTCGTCACTGAGGCGAGGGATGCCATCCACCACTGTTAAGCTACAGGTCTGCAGGTGAGGGGGAACAATGCCGGTGTCGTCATTGGGGCGAGTGATGCCATCCACCACTGTTAAGCTGCAGGTCCGCAGGTAAGGGGGAACAATGCCGGTGTCGTCACTGAGGCGAGGGATGCCGTCCATCACTGTTAAGCTGCAGGTCCGCAGGTGAGGGGGAACAATGCCGGTGTCGTCATTGGGGCGAGTGATGCCATCCACCACTGTTAAGCTGCAGGTCCGCAGGTAAGGGGGAACAATGCCGGTGTCGTCACTGAGGCGAGGGATGCCGTCCATCACTGTTAAGCTGCAGGTCCGCAGGTGAGGGGGAACAATGCCGGTGTCGTCATTGGGGCGAGTGATGCCATCCACCACTGTTAAGCTGCAGGTCCGCAGGTGAGGGGGAACAATGCCGGTGTCGTCATTGGGGCAAGTGATGCCATCCACCACTGTTAAGCTGCAGGTCCGCAGGTAAGGGGGAACAATGCCGGTGTCGTCACTGAGGCGAGGGATGCCGTCCATCACTGTTAAGCTGCAGGTCCGCAGGTGAGGGGGAACAATGCCGGTGTCGTCATTGGGGCGAGTGATGCCATCCACCACTGTTAAGCTGCAGGTCCGCAGGTAAGGGGGACAATGCCGGTGTCGTCACTGAGGCAAGGGATGCCGTCCACCACTGTTAAGCTGCAGGTCCGCAGGTAAGTGGGAACAATGCCGGTGTCGTCACTGAGGCGAGTGATGCCATCCACCACTGTTAAGCTGCAGGTCCGCAGGTAAGGGGGAACAATGCCGGTGTCGTCACTGAGGCGAGGGATGCCGTCCACCACTGTTAAGCTGCAGGTCCGCAGGTAAGTGGGAACAATGCCGGTGTCGTCACTGAGGCGAGTGATGCCATCCACCACTGTTAAGCTGCAGGTCCGCAGGTAAGGGGGAACAATGCCGGTGTCGTCACTGAGGCGAGTGATGCCGTGACATAATCAGGCATGGTCAGTCATCCTGCATCTCCTGAGTGTTCTCTTAGTAAAGATACCAAACTGAAAAATGGAAAAGATGAGGTTACTTTTATATACCCAAGTAAGTATATACTTTTTGGTTAACAGCTTGAGAGTGAAGTCCCAGTCCTTTTAATGTTTTCTAGGGATTTGTGTTGTGTTGTTGACAGGAGCCTGAAGAAGACCCCTTTGACATTACCTTGTGTTATAGAGAGGATATGATGAAAGTAGAGGATCAGTCCCTTCTGCCTTGTGTATTATAGAGAGGAGATGGATAAGGAGCAGGACCAGTCCTTTTAATGTTACCCTGTGTTATAGAGAGGAGATGGACAAAGTGCAGGACAAGTCCCTGTAATGTTACCCTGTGTTATAGAGAGGACATGGACAAAGTCCGGGACCAGGAGGTGTGGAAGCTGGAGATGGAGGAGGAGTTGGAGGAGACGCGGGAGGAACATGAGGAGGAATACAACCGCAAGATGGCCATCTTCCGGGAACAGAACCTGTTGTGGGAGAAACAGCAAGCCGACAAGGTTTGAAAATGTCTGCTTATGAAATGATACCTGAGGTATTCAAAAGTTTTGTAAATATTTCTTACATTCAATATTCAGAGATTTTTTGTTTGGATGTTGGTGCTTGAAAAATAAACATCTGACATTGCCTAGGAATTAGATTCTATTTGCAGGTTGTCTCAGTCAATTCATTATCCCCCTACAAAGTGTTTTTCAGGGGGTATTAAAATGGACACTACAATATTTCTTCAGCAAACTTTGTACATAGATAGTTTAGTGGTGAACTGGTAGCTTTTGATAGTTTGGAACTTTGAGAAAAAAAGTATTCTCATTTCCATGACAACAACTTTGACTTTGACTGAAAATAGCTACAGTGCTTGTTTCCGGAGCCGATCTTGAAACTGTACAATATTTCTTCAACAAACTTGGCATATACATTGGCCTTATGAAGAACTGGTGCTTTTTGATAGTTTGGGATATTTTTAAAATTAATTTTACAAGTTTCCATAGTAACGACTTTGACTTCGATTGAAAAGGGGGTAGTGCTCATATCCAGAGCTGATCTTGAAAAACTGACAATATGTCTTCACCAAACTTGGCACATAGATACACCTAGTGGTGAACTGGTGCCTTTTGATGGTTTGGGAATTTTTTGGGAAAAGTAACTTTCCATGGCAACAAGTTCCATATGTTTATCCACGACAAGTATTTGCCATTGCTGGTGGATATTGATGCCTTCAATGGTCTCCATGCTTTTGCCACCCTCTGATCATGTGAGAAGTGCAAATGTATATTTGCTGTCATGTTCATGTTTCTACAGAGAGAGGCGGAGAAAAAATTGAAGAAGGGACGTAGAGCATCAAAGGCATCGAAGGCATCACGACAGAGTGGCAACGCTTCAGCCACAGAGGAGCAGACTGAGGTATGACACATTGATGTCCTGCTAATGGCATGATTCTGTCAGTTCTAGTTCTCCTGATACAAATGAATAACAGGTTAGAAGGTTGGCTACTCTGTCATCATGCAGAGGATGCAAGTTCACTGCTCCACATTGATGAAATATTTAGCCTCTTTTCGACCAGTGCACTGACACTTCTGATACTTTGATTCCTCTAATGCTGACAACTGAGTGGATATGCTTGTAGGAGTCTCTCAAGGCTGCCCAGGAGATTGTAGACGCGGAAGAGCTGCCGAAGCCTGAGATGCCGGAGAAATTTGAAGAGCAAGCCATCAAAGAGGCAATCAGGGTCAAGGCCATGCAGAACAGGAGACGACCAGGTCAGTGAACACCCTGGAAGATCAGTAGCCCATGCTTGTAAGAACAAAACTGATTCCCCCACCCCCTAACACTCCTTGTATTCAATATTATCTTACCCCAGGGGGATTCTGGGTTAGTAGTAGCCCCCTATGGTGGTTGTAAACTCAGGTGGTTAGGATCGGTGACTTGGTTCAGTGAGTGTCATCGTACCCAGACAGCGTAGATTGTAGCTCACAATTTTCAACAATCACTTTAAGTTTATTATAACCGTGTTTTACTGTACACTTATTTGTATTTGTTCAGTTGACCTTGATCCAAACTTCATACTTTCATTAATGAGTTTCCCAGTCATCTAAAATGCCCTTGTTTCTATGTAAAGTTGTCTCCCTTGGCCATTAAACTTCAAGGATCTGCTTCACATGGATTAAATCTAATGATTAGACCTGATTATGATCCTTGGTTTGTTAAGAATTAACTTTACTATTTTGGGGGTTTTTTTTAAATAGTTTTTTTTTACGTTTATTCCTCCATAAACGCAAAAACATTTAAGTCATTCATCTAAATAAATCTATCAACAGTAGAGACTCCACAGACTGCTTATTTAATCATTAACCCTATAACCTATAACCTGTAGAAATCAGTGACATTATTCAGGGCAGTAATGCAACCCACGTCATGAGCACCATCAGGAAATAGTACACTGCTAGTGGTAACTTCTTTCTGGTTTATGGAAACATAAATGCCAAAAGTTGCTTGGTTAGCCATAGCCAATGAAATGCCTTGGAATCACTTGCATTCATTTATTCTGCACCATGCTTTCCTCAGATTTATGAACATTGCAATGCATTGTGCTTTCTTCACACATTTAGCTGACATGGTTTGTCATTTTCATTATGAAATGTACTTTATTATCCCCCGCCCCAACGAAGTTGGCAGGGGATATAGAAATGGGTTCCGTCCGTGTGTGCGTGCGTGTGTGCGTGTGTGCGTGTGTGCGTGCGTGTGTGCGTCCCGAAATCGTTTCCGGAGCATAACTCAGAAACCGTTAAATTTTTCTCTACAAAACTTTGCATGTCTAGCAGACTCATGCTGAACTGGTGCCTTTTGCTATTTAGGAATTTTATAAATTTTTAGTTTTTATGTTTCCATGGCAACAAGTTGGACTTAGGTTCTATAAGGGTGGTGTTCGTTTCTCGAGCGTAACTCAAAAACTGTTAAATACTTTCTTACAAAACTTTGCATGTCTACTAGGCACATACTGAACTGGTGCCTTTTTCTATTTAGGAATTTTATTAATTTTTATTTTAGAATTTCCATTGCAGCTATTTTGACATGGCCTAAGAGAAATGTTCAGTCAGTTACCTGGTTTGGGACCATAACGTGTTAAAATGGCGGGGGATATAGATGACTTCGTCGACTATATGCTTGTTTCTCTACAGGAGAGCCCAAGCTGTTCCCTGAACTGACAAACACAGCCAGCGTCACCCCATCAAACACCTGTCCCAGGTAAATGTGCAAACTCAACCAATCAGCAGCATTTTTGTGTCAAGGATGATTCCTGTGTCTAAATTTAGATCGAGATTTAGTGATGTAATCGGTTCATTCAATATCAAAACCATTATGTTTACAGTAATGTGCTGTTATAACAAACTCAAAGGGACAACAAATTGTTGTTTGTTATGACCGTAGTTCGTTATGAGCATATATACAGCAATTGGACGGGACGAAAACATAAGTTTGTTATAAGCATGTTCGT